GATAGTATGTATCACCATAGGAAGACGATCTGATTAGATTTTGGAGCACGTATGTCAAAGGTCAAGGGTCACAGAGGTCAACTTATGAAATTCCATACACTGAGATTGTTATCATGATATCTCAAGAACCACTGGAGATTTAAACTTCAAACTTAGTGATAGTGTGTATCACTATAGGAAAACAATCTGACTACATTTTGGAGCACGTAGGTCAAAGGTCAAGGGTCATAGAGGTCAACTTATGAAATTCCATACATTGAGATTGTTATCATGATATCTCAAGAACCACTGGAGATGTAAAAACTTCAAACTTAAGGATAGTATGTATCACCATAGGAAGACGATCTGATTAGATTTTGGAGCACATAGGTCAAAGGTCAAGGGTCACAGAGGTCAACTTATGAAATTTCATACATTGAGATTGTTATCATAATATCTCAAGAACCACTGGAGATTTAAACTTCAAACTTAATGATAGTGTGTATCACCATAGGAAGACAATCTGATTTGATTTTGGAGCACGTAAGTCAAAGGTCAAGGGTCACAGAGGTCAACTTATGAAATTCCATACATTGAGATCGTTTTCGCGATATCTCAAGAACCACTGGAGAATTTTCACTTCAAACTTAATGATAGTATGTATCACCATATCATAATATCTCAAGAACCACTGGAGATTTAAACTTCAAACTTAATGATAGTGTGTATCACCATAGGAAGACAATCTGATTAGATTTTGGAGCACGTAGGTCAAAGGTCAAGGGTCACAGAGGTCAACTTATGAAATTCCATACATTGAGATTGTTATCATGATATCTCAAGAACCACTGGAGATTTAAACTCCAAACTTGTTTAAATTGCTCTATGGCGGAGGCATCATTTTCGACTGCGCGCAGTCAAAATTCCATCTAGTTTTTTAATAAACCAATCATTGTTATTGCTACTTATTATTATGTATTCTCAAGACAGGACTTGATTAATTCTGGTGATTAGTTAGGATTACATAACATACTGAAAATAAAGCTAGAATGAAATAAAATATGACTTGACATGACAAAGTGGGCAGCTGATAACCTTTTAATCCAGGTAATCCAGGTAAAACTAGACATAATACTTGTTTGGAACAAGTATAGGTGGGCTGGTCAACTAAAAACTAGCATTTTGATGTAATGATGTAAACGAAATTCACCTTCCATAGGCATAACACGCAACGTAAGACATTTCTAATATGTGCCCTTTAATCGTAATTTTCACTATGATGAAACATCAAAATGAAAAATGGTGTTGACTGAGCTTGTTGAGAATTGTCTCAGCTACATCATATCGAAATTTTGAAGAAAATTGATCAATATTTACAGAGATACAATCAATTTTCCATAAATATGCTGACTTTTAATACGCAAATTCGTATTTTGAGTTCCAAGGCCATTGTGATGATGTCACGATACACTTAATGGCCAAATGAGACATGGAATCATATCTTCGACTCATACTCTATCTAAATATGAAAAAAAATTGAAGGTCACAGTTCATATGCGCGCGTGCACGATTTCTAATAAAATGCTTGAAATGACCTGAAACATATGCAAAATAATTTTGAGACGATTTTGAGCATTTTGAAATTTTGCGCGCGCATTGTCGCGCGGATGTACGCGCATGTGCGTGTTTTTTGACCTGAAATTGACCGGACGGATATTGACCTTGATCATGATAAATATGAATGAGAAATGATTTTTGGTTATGAAGATATGATCAAGAGTTTATTTTCAGAAAATTTCACAAAATGGCGCCTAGATGACGTCATCAGTCAAGGTCAAGGTTGAAAAAATTTCTGTGTTTTGTTCAATGCCGATACATATGTGTGCCAAATTTCAAGGTATTTGATTGAACCATTTTCAAGTTATCTTGCTCACAAAAAAGTGGGTCGAAATAAGAAAAATAAATAAATAATAATAATAATAATAATAAAGGCAATTTTAACAAAATTATAAGGTGGTCTGTATTAGATACAGCCCACCTGATAATAAAGAAGAAAGAAAATTCTGACGAAAACAATAGATGATCTGTCATTGACAGACCACCTAATAATAAAGGCAATTTTAACAAAATTATAAGGTGGTCTGTATTAGATACAGCCCACCTGATAATAATAATAATAAAGGCAATTTTAACAAAATTATAAGGTGGTCTGTATTAGATACAGCCCACCTGATTACTTTTGAATGGTATATGTACCAAGTATAAAATTTATCAATCTAAATGTTTTATCAGATTGAATTTTGATTAAAAAAGATAAATTGACAGGACATTCTAACTTGCAATTCTGTCATTTTGAAATGTTATAGTGATACCTTTTTGCATTGTGCTATCTACTGGAAAGTAATAAAAAATGTCCCTTTTCTGAATTTGCTTAGTACCAGACCTACATGTTATTGATGGACCAAGACATGCAAGTTTGTAGTAACATGTACACTACTTATTGTATGGAATGGGGCGAATTCCTCAGCTTTATGCCCCCCTTACCGGCATTGTATCAATCACCGCTGGCATACAATGTACATCATCCATGATGACCGATGACTACAGAAATGGACTATAATCTCTCTTATCAAATATTTTATAACCACTATTATGTTTGCGTTGTGATACTGAAAACCCCAAAGCCTAAGTCGTCTCTAAAACCTTCTATTTGAGCGTGGAAAAAAGTTGCCTCAGATTTAGCTGAACCTGCTTTAATTGTAAACACATTGTAATACTTCAGTCATTACAAAAAAGGTGGGGCATTATTCCTTTTCCGCTTGTACATGTATCTTGCTTTTTACTCTAAAACAGTTCTCCATGCTTGTTTACAACAATTTCGAATTCCAGTAATTTGGAAGTAAATCAAAGTAGAAATTTGAGAACTTCAAATCTATTTAGATTTTAAAGAATTTTTACTCCTTTGATATCCTGAATTGCATTATAACTGGCTTGACATGAACGTTTGTAGCTTATTGCATATTGCATATTGCATATTGAGTTGAGTTTTTAGTTTACTTCATAATTTTATAGAAATGCATGGAAGGTGTACTGACCCTTAGCAATGTAGAATGGACTGGATGACCAGTTCTAGACTGTCAATAGGGATATTTGTGTGTGTGGAGGGGGAGGGGAAGGGGCATTGGGGGCAGTTGCTCCTCCCAAAAAGTCACTATGCATGCTTGAAATTAGTAAGGCAAGACAGCAGATTGTATAAGTTGATGAACCCCTTTCATTTAGTTTTGCTTGTCCAAATACTTTCTGCGATCTTGTTGGAGAATTTTGTCTGACACCCTACACCTCTACCCCTTCAAAATGGTCTTTTAATGCCCCTCCCCTGTCCTGGAAATGGATGTACAACTCCTGCATGTAAATCTAAATTATTCTATGGATTAAACTGACATAACCTTTTTTCTATAACTGCGGTCACTATGAAATGATAAATGCACCACAAAAAACCCACCAAAAAGTTGCCAAAAATGACTTTTTAGTTTAAATCTGATTCACAAACACTACACAAAATTCCTACTTCTAGATTGGTTGGTGCTTCAAATTTTTTAATTAGATAAAAAAGAAAGTATACCGGTACACTTTTAGGGAATGCTTAAAACTACAATTTGATCAACCTGTCAAAATACACCTTTATTACGCTCTAACTGAAAATCACACCATACAACTTCCTGCTGGTTTTGTGTGGTGAGGGGTCACAAATAGACAAAACATTTGTACTTTGGAGAGTCAGTTGTCCCTGGAAGTAAATAAACAAACCCCCTGGATATAAATCAGTGTATACTGTAGATTAAACTAAAATGATGAGTTTTTTGTAACTGTGGTCACTAGTTATAAATGGTCAAAACATTTGGACTTTGGTGATTTAGCTCTGGGTCAGAGAGAGATAATAGGAATGCAAGGTCCAAACTGACCCATTGGTATGGTCGGGAGATTTACTCCCATTATACCCTTTTCACATCTATTTTTCTTAACCCCGGACTATCCTTAACCCCATACTATCCTTAACCCCATACTATTTTTTTTGCTGTTCACATCTATTTTCTTAACCCCGGACTATGTGCTTAGCCGGGGTTAAGACATTTCACGCGATTCACACTACGTTCGCCTTAGCCCCGGACTATTCGATAGCTCATGAATATTAATGCTTTTGCTACCGCGCATGCGCCTTTCGACTAAATGAAGGGGAAAAACCCGCGCGCTAAATTCAATATAAATATAAATTCAATTGAACTATAATCAATATCGGTCAACGAACTCTTTGCTTGTGGTAAAAAGACCAACAATATACAGTACGGTACGTAATAATTTTAGCTCGCTCGTGTTGTGTTATCCAGCCTTGCGCAAAGCGTTTTCCCTTCATTATTTTACCGATACAAATCAATTACCCATTTTTCATCCAATTCACTTGATAAATTTACCTACGTAAATATGACTGATAATGATAAATGCAATAAAAAATTATGAGCTACATGTTCTTTCACTATTTTTTTAATCAATTTTATAATAAAGATTTTTTCATAATGACCTCTGCCTCCTAAAAGACTAAACGTCAATACAGAGAGCATGCATGCGTAACGTGAACTGCATGCATGCGTAACGTGAACTGCATGCATAGCGCGCGATAAATGCAAATTCACGACCACACGACCACGCTGTCTGTGATTGGCTGTTGCTTAGCCCCGCTTCTCCTTAGCCCGGTTCGGATTCACACTACGCAGCTTAGCACCACAATTGCCCGGCTAACCCCGCAATTGCCCGGCTAACCCTGCTATTTTGCAGGGCCAGATAGTCCCGTACTATTTGTGGGGTTAGCCCACTTTGGCAAAACGTAATGTGAACAGAAAGCCGGCTAAAATTACCCCGGGTAATTGGTGGGGCTAAGGAAGGAATTGGTGGGGCTAAGAGCCCCCTTAGCCCCACCTATTTCCCGGGGTTAAGCAATATTTGGTAGATGTGAAAAGGGTATTAGTATCATAAGAGACAATGTCCCAGGTATCATTATGGTCAGTTCTGTGTTTTTGGCTGTGATCTTAGTGTGAGCTACGTGTGCACACTGCTTCAGTCATACATGTATTCTTTGCTTGCACGTTTGCCATTGTTTGGTAAGTACATGTTTGGTATACTACCAGTCACTGAAGGTCACTGAAACTACATTTACTTGCAAGTTTTCAGGATGTGTGCAACTGTGCATAGAATTTAAATGTGAAAGAGTGTGTTTTGAGTTTCAAAGTAGGTGTCAAGCAGAGAAATCAACAGAAACAGACAACCACCCCCCTCTACGAGGATATAGCTGAAGGGCGAAGAGCCCCCTAAACTCTTCAAAGAATCAGAGTTCCCCCTATAAAAGCCAATTTTCTTGTTGTTTTAGACGTATATCATTCATTATGTATATTTAGGCCAAATTTGCATTTGCATTGGAACAAAATAAAAGGAAGGAGAAGAAAGAAAGAACAAAAAAATCTAAGCTGCACAATTTTCTGCAATTTGTGGAGATTCTCGACAGGCTGTCAGCATAAATGGTTGGCTGTTTTTTAATGTAGTTTGTGGCCAGCCTGGTTCGGTACGTTGAACAGACTTGTCGGGTTGCACATGTAAGCTCCTCCAATACCAGTCAAGACTACTATGTTTGTGATGTTTGTTTGTGGGATTGTCTCCTATGTACATTGTACATGATTGTCTCCAATGGGCTGTAAAGCATTATTAGGCTGAGTCTAATGAAATAATGATTTGACAAAGGAGTTATCACAGAGCAAATCCTTAGTTTGACTTTAAAACAACAAGACAACGAGCTCTCGCAAGGTAGATTGGAGGACATTGAGATTGAAAGAGAAAGGAAGCGAAGGAAGGAAGAGTAGGAGAGAAGAGCTAGAGAAGAGAATAATAATAATAATAATAATAGCTCGTTCTTTTATAGCACATTTCAGGACCTGCAGGCCCTCTCAAAGGACTGTTTAAAAAAGAGAAAGAAAGATATTTGTATTGGGGAGATTCAATGGTGTCCTTTTTGAGCTCTCTACACAATTAACTTTTCATTGTGTGCGTAGAATTACTGTATGAGTCCTTGCTACTGGATGAACCTTTATTTTCCCCCTTTTTACAAGTGCTCAGCAATAGAGAGGCCTTGATACATTTATGCATATACCGGTAGTTTCTTTTGTTGTTCCTTTTGCACCTGTACAGTTTGTGGATACATATAAGGGAGGGCACTGCAGGGCAGGCATAAAGCTACTGCTGTTCGTGATGTGGTGTTTGCACTTTGCAGAGGGTCTGTTACTCTGTTTTTAACTTAATTTTTGTGGTGGTGATAAAAGAGTTAAATTAAACAGATCTCGTTTGTTGAAAGGTGAGGCGAATAATGATTATTATAGGATGGTCCAATGTACGGTTTTATGTTTTCATTTTTTCTACAATGTTCATGATTTCTTTTAAGTTATGTGATTTAAATCCATTTGATGAGTTTTCATTATTTGAGGCTGAAAGGTTTGGGAGTGAATGTTATGTTGCAGTACATTCATGTAGCTCTAATTTCCAGTTTAGATGGATGGTGAAGATACTTGTCAAAGTTTTTTCCCCCCTGTTTAATGAGTTTTCATTTAACATTGAATTTTAAGAAAAATTTGCTAAAACGGACAGGCGGTTTCGGGCAGTTCAGTGACTGCTGGTGAGTAAAAGGAGGGGCGGTTTCAGGCGCCAGGCGGCGGTTTAATTGCTAAAAGGTTAAGGGCCCCAGAAAATGTTGAGCTTTAAAATGCTCTATGGTACATTCTGAGGCATTTCTGACCGGTAAACTGAACATTTATGTGAGTATTTCTTAGCTTTTTTTCAGCAATTTTTTTTCAGAAGGAAAAAAGTGGGGGTGTAGGAACGTACATCACTAGAAAGGGGGTGGGATTTGAGGGGTTGTGACAAACCTAATCATATATTTTTTATCAGCAAATTTGATATTTAGTGAGTACCTTGTTGACAAAAAAGCAAAAGTTGGTGTTAAATTGTTAATAATAATTACAGTGCTTATATAGCGTCTAACACTTACTTTGTCAGAAGTCTCTAAGCGCTCTACAATAATGCAGCATAATTACCCTGGCTTTAGCAGTGCAGCTGTGACGCGCGCTGCGTTTCAAGGAATTAATTCCTACCAGGTACCCATTTACTTCACCTGGGTGGAGTGTGGCAAATGTAGATCAATGTCTTGCCAAAGGACATTAGTGCAGCGGCGGGACTCGAACCACAGACCTTGTGATTGACAGTCCGGCGATGTATCCACTGTTGTTGGTGAATTTTCAGGTGGTCGTGTGGTGATAGATTGTATCTGTTTGTTGATGCGGCAGTGGTCATTGGTGTTTATTCTTAGTCAAGATGATTAGTTGCTTTTGCTTTACATCAACTAGATAGTAGGTTTTTGTAGCTTTTTAAAGATATCAGGGACAAAATTCTACCATTTTTGGCAACCTGCTAAAATTGCAGGAGTTACCAGCAGTTGCCAAAGTGGGCCACGCCCACACACTTTCTGATTGGATGTGTACATTATGTGAGCAGCGGTGCATGACTGAGTAGGAGTAACTAATGTTAAAGGGGAAGTCCACCTTGATATTAAGTTGGTTTTAATAGGAACAGAAAAATGAGACGAATATGTTTGTGAAAGTTTGAGCAAAATCTGTTTAAAAATATGATAGTTTTGAATTTATGAAGTCGCGAGCAACCAAACATAATTTTGGAAACTCTGTGACGTATCTCTCCTTCCCATTTGCTCTGTACCTGAAGACAATGTTCAATCATAAATTAATCCTAAAATAATTATTGCAAATATGAAACATATTTATTCCGTCATCAATAACTAAAAAATGAAAGTTTATGAAATTTCTGTAAAGATCAAATCATAGAGGACCTCGCAAAATTAAATTTTATGGAACTTTTTGACAAACATACAAGATACAAGATATTTTATTTGGTCTTTGCAAACAAGTTACATAGAAAATTGTTTTTCACTGGCGTTACAGTCATATTCAACAAATGCATAATTACAAGAAATAAATACATCACGTTTATAGAATGAAATAGATGAAATAAGGAACAAATACATGCAAAAGATAATGAAGTGACAAAAATGGTCATTGGTACTTCAAATCATGAGTTTCAGAATTAGGCCTTGGTCATTGGTATTTCAAATCATATGATTAAATTCTGACGCAGAAGTTTAACGTTTAACCTGTGAGTTGAATTTATGAACAGAGTCGGGTACAAATGAATATCTGAATCGTGAAAGGCGGTTTGGGGTGGAGCGAAGTCGGAGACCAGAACGATTAAATGAATAAAATAAATGAAGTGGATGCGTATTGTCTTTCATCATCATGATTGTACAGACCTTATCAACAATTTGCTCAGTACAATGAGACTCGACAGAAGCTAATTCTACCCCAATTATGTGTTGTGCTATTTTACGTGGCCTTTCCAATTTCTTCTTGTCCTGTTTTGAGAGATTGCCAAATGAATATATAATATTGAAAAGCAGGACACTCTTTATTATTGAATTGTATAACAGGGTCAGCAAACATACGAGCACAAAATATTGTTTCACTCAACTTATCAAAGAGCATAACAAATGATGCCCAACCTCTTGCTGAATCTTAATAAAAGAATCCTACTGCTGCCACCAAATTATTTACATTTAGGGGTCATTAATTGAATAGTTATAGATGATAGAATTTACCAAATTATATCACTCTCATGTAGAATTGCCAATTTGTGTTTCACTGATGACCACCTTAAGAATTCATAATTTTCTTCATTTTTTGATATTTATCAGATATTGCTCATACTTTCACAAATTTGTTTCTCTCATTTTTCTGCTGTTATTAAATACAAGCTGATAATTAGTGTTGACTGCCCCTTTAACAATGGAATACCCTTGTATTCTCTAGTACATCAATCTGGGATGGCTTTCTCTTCACATTGAATGTACCAGTCTTTCTTTTTCTTTCTTTTTCGAACTTAGCTTTGCCCCAGATAGTCCTGAACTCTTGTATACAAATATATATTAATACTGTTTGCCTACTCTTTTCTTGACAACCGTTTGAAATTGAAACTCAATGGCCCGAATTTACAAAGGAGGTTTGTCGACAAACCTTGGTTTTCGTACGTCATATGACGCATTTTACGCGTTTTTTACAAACCTGGTTTGTAAAGAACAAAAGGAGGTTTGGCGAAACAAAAGGAGGTTTGAGCTCAAACCTTGGTCTGAGCTCAAACCTTGCTTTGTGAATTCGGGCCAATAGGTCTTCATTTCTATAGAATACATTGAATTCATACAATAGCATGTTTTCAAACTTGTGGTTATTCAAGCATATGACTTGAACTTTATCATTGTTTAAAAAGGTTGTTACAAAGGTTTGTTCATGCCTCATGGGAGATCTGAAAGCTGTAGGGGCATTCACACGTTCTCATAAAAGAAACTTCTGATTATGGTCATAATATCTTGTTTACTGTGCCTATTCACAAGTTGGTAAAAATCTCACAATCAAATACAAGTAGATAACACCTGTAATGCGCATGCCTGGGATAAGATCCATGTTGAATGACCCTGCCCCTGCTTTGATTTTGCTCGCCTGCAATACAAACATGAATGTTGAAAAGAAATATTGATATATAAATCTTGCTGTTTTTCACATGCATAGTGCTTAACCTTGCATTAATGAGATTTTTGTATTCATACGCTTAACAAAAGTGATTTTTTTAAATCTTGATAAAGATATCAATATTATAACAATCAAGTGTGAATTACAAAATCAGTTTATTATGAGTGTAGTTAACAACAAATGGAAATGACTAAAAGTTGTTTTAATCAAGTTTATTACTGTACCGCCTCTATTCAACATACAAAAAGGAGCAGACAGCATTTATTACCTCTTTCAGATACCGTATTTGCCGGCGATAAGGCTGCAACCCAAACTTTGACATTTCGTAGAGGGAAAAAAAAAAAAAAAAAAAAAAAAAAAAAAAAAACAAGCAGACCAAACAAAGAACACTATTTTTCCTACAAACTGATACCAAAATTTCTTATTCTTAATCTTATAGTTTACAGCAAGTTTACCTCAAAAATGATTGTAATTTAGCAAATCTACTTCGATTTTTAAGCTAGTACTGTATCACTTGCAGATTTGGTATCCTACATATACCCCTACCACGACGTGCGGTGTAATACAAAATTGCGACTTCGACTAGATGTGCCGTTGCCTTGCGCGGCAGCTCCCTCCGTAACGCTCCCTTTTGTTACTTTTTAGCGATGCAATAGCATTTACTTTTTTTTTAATTTAAAAAAACAAATTAAAAAAATTTGAGGAGAGGGGGAGGGGGGGTTCCTCCAAAACACACCCATAAAAAAAAAATTTGAGGGGGGAGGGTTAAACTGTAAACTTGTTTCAGTTTCTTCAAGCTTATTAACCCTGTTGTTTTTATCTCTTTGTGTAGCACATACGAGAAGACAATGGGGGAAGGTGAGGTGACAAAGTTTACCATTGAGGAGGATCGGGATGAGAAGCTGGTGAGTATCTTCAAGATGATAGTGATGATCGTCATTATCATTGTCATCTTCATCAGTAGCATCATCGTTGTCATCTTCATCACCATCATCATTATCATTACCATCACCATCATCATCATCATCATCATCACCATCATCATCACCATCATCATCATCATCATCATCATCATATTCATCATCATCATCATCATCACCATCATCATCATCATCATCATCATCATCATCATCATCATCATCATCATCATCATCATCATCATCATCATCATCATCATCATCATCATCATCATCATCATCATCATCATCATCAATGACTTGATAAGGCTTAAAACTGGAAAAGGCTTAAATAATAAGTAATAGAGTAAGTAATAAAATAGATACAAAATGCAGAGTGATTGGTCAATGGTATAGCAGTGTTGAATACAGTAGTGGACGATCCCAGATTCCAAACTTCAATCCTTGACCCAGCCTTAAAACTAACTCTATCTTTTACCTTAAACCTAATGTAAAAGCCCAGTTGCATTAGTATACTTTTGAAGTAGAGCTTGGAGCAATCATCGCCAGAGAAATCTTCGGAGCACTGTATAAACAGAATACATTATCAGTCGTTTCTTCTAATTTTCTTGTTGTCAAACTCCAGATTTGCAGTGGTTACCAGCGCAGTCTTTTGAGGGTCATCCTGGTCTATTTCTTTGGGGTCATCACGGCTGGATTCTTCCTCTTGTTGGTCTACTACTGGAAACGTGACTGGGGTCTGAAGCTGACCCATTCAAGGTGCTCCCTACAGAATGCTGACTCTATACTCATTCAGGTATGTGGTATGCAGCATCTTCTATTCTATTGTTGATTCTAATAGTAGTAGTGGTAGTGGTAGTTGTTGTGGAGTTGCTCTCTATAGAATGCAGACTGCATACTCATCAAGGTAAGTGTATTTTTTTTTGACAAATGGGAGTGTTATCATCGACTACATCACCATCCACTGACCAAATTGCTAATTTGAGATTCGCATAGATTTAGTGATCTCACATTTCAAACATTCACAACTTTCTTTTTATTGGTACGATTTATTTCAAACTTATAGCCATACTGTTTCTCTAATTTGTCTGCTTTCATACAAATGAATTTATTACATGGGTTAGATTGCCCTTATCAGAGCTGCCAACCATTCCGTTTTTGCCGGAATTACTCCCGTTTTTTTCCTCCAAATTAAGGTACTACGTTTTTTCTTCTTAAAATACGTTTTTTAATAATTTTTTAATTTTTTTTTTTAATTTTTTATTTTTTATTTATTTATTTATTTTTTTTAAAATTTTTTTTTTACATACCACACGTCAAACAACTGCCCTTAAATGGTGATTTGATCACGAATTCAATAGAAAACTTATTTTAAAACATACTTGAAGAGAAAAATATTCTCAAAAGAAAATAAATGCTGATAATACCAAAATAACCACAAAAAAAATTACCTGCTTGTATGGAAAAAACAGCATGATGAATGAACATTTCTGCATTGGAAGTGTGTCACGCGTGGTTGTAAGGTTCTTTTTATGAATTCCTTTTTTTGGCTTGAAATTCCTTTTTTTTGCCATCATGATTCCTTTTTTTGGTCGCACAAGGTTGGCAGCTCTGCCTTAATATCTAAAGTTATAATTGATTTTGGTGAGTACTGAGGGTTCCATGGACAGACAAAAGAACAAACCAATGAATACTGGACAAAATGGGTACAGAGATGTCGCTCTGTAAGTGAATTGCCAGAAGTAAGAAGAGATGGTCTTGGAAAGTTACTTATAACAGGAACTGTGGAAGCCAGGCAAAAAGAATGGAAATTCTCAACAATTTTAGTTTTTACCAAATGGGAGCAGTGCCCTGAAAGTGCATCACAGAGTTGCCAATAAGCATTTCATCAACTATGACTTTTAAATTTGATAAATTTTTTATCCTCTATCACATTTTTCTCACTGAACTGCTTTTTATTGTTGTTCTTATTGGTTCGTTTTAAACCAACTTGACGGCAGTGTAGATCTTCCCTTTAAAACTGATTTCTTACCTGTGCAAGCAACACAAAGTTGTGTCACAGGGTCTTGGTATGTAATATTGCTTACCGGTAAATCAAACTTGAGATGCTTTTTCAGGTTTTTCTTGCATACATGTAGGTTTAGGATACTGCAATACTATATTTCTTTTATCAATTTAAAGGATCACACAGGTATACCTATTACCTTCGGATCCTGCCATCTGCTTGTCACTGTAGCATACCTGAAAGGTCTAGCGGTAACCCATACTAGTGCATAGAAGTGTTCACCTTATTCCAGAAAGTGGTCATATACCTCATTAGTAAGGAGAGATGACTTTCCACATGGTGTATTGTAAGATGAGATAAGACAGGGAATCAATTGTCATGCTATAGGGATTGTGTTGAAAGAAGTCATTACCGTATTTGCCGGTGATAAGGCCGCACCGACGCATAGGCCGCACCCCAAATTTGACATTTCAAAGAGGGGGGGGGAAAAAAAAAAAGGAAAAAAAACAAACTGACAAAACAAAATAATCATAATTTTCTCGAAAACACTATTTTTTTTTTACGAACTGATACCAAATTCATCCATATTCTTATAATTTACCGAAAGTTTAGCTAAAAAAGTGATCGCAGGCAGATTTGGTGTCCGATATACCCCTACCACAATGTACAGTGTAATGCGAAACTGCATGAAATGGAAAAACAAAATGGCGACTTCGGATGGATGTTTGCGGCAGCTCCGTTAGACTGTCCCTTCCTTTACTTTTGCAATGCATTGGCACGAACTTAGATCAAGATCTATCGGCAAATGTTGTGTTAGGACGTTTATTTTCGTCTTCATGTCAACAATGCAAGCTAAAATTGTCTGTAAGATGTTTGGAAATGTCCTGTACCATAGTGGTATTGTTATTTTACCGTTTCTAGTCCCATACGTGCAAATTCGTGTTGGTTTTGACTTTCGTTTTTTTAATTTTTTACTCTTTCGTCGTAAAGGCCTCCCTGAATTTTTGATATTTTCTCTTCCAAAATTACTGCGGCCTTTACGCCGGCAAATACAGTACTTGTCATTAAAGGAAGCCATCAAAAGGATTATAAAAACAAGGCATGATTTGCGCTCAAAACACTGTTAAACTATTAGGGTTTTGGTCGTGTGAATCTACTCGCTTCCATGCTAACTCATTTAGAGCAGTGACACATGGCGCATGCACACTACTCGCACCAAAAATAGAATGAGCAGACACCAGCATCTTTTAGGTTTCTTTTTTCTTTCGTGTAAACATAACATGTTTTTTTTTTGCAATGTAAATGGGCCTATTTCTGCAAGGCTATGAGCAATCATCCTTGGTTCTCCATTTGTTTTTTGTGTTTTGTAATCAAACGATGTATAGGAAATGTGCTTCATGCAATCGCGCAGAGTTCATTTCCTATTGGTCTCAGCTGTTGTTTGATTAATGAGGGAAAACGTTGGTTCTCAAGGTTTTTAGCATATGAACATGTGAAAATTCCCCAAGATTTAAAATATTAGAAAGAAAGCTTAGTGATACAGGGGCAAGGCAAGATAGAGAGAGAGAAAAAGAGAGAGGAGAAAAGGGGGGCAGGAGGGACGGAGTGATGGATTTACAGGGAGGGAGGGGGAGAGAGTTCAAAATGTGGCTAACACACAACTTCTGGTTTATACACATTTCCTATTATACAAATCACTCTAAGATCCATATCAAATAATTGGTCACGCGTGATCACGTTAGATTTGTTGAGACTATCCCACGTTTTTTTTGGAAAAAGCATGCAATAGTTTCCAGTTCTATATCCAAGGATTTAAAAGTATGTGATGCGCAGCAGTGTGCATAGAGGTTTATAGTGCACTTATACTGTGTGTGGGCCTATACTTGCATAGCACTGCACCTAAACAGAGGTACATGTAAATGGGCTTAAATGTGTGCACTTAAATGTGTACACAAGTACGCCTACCGGTATTAAAAATTGGGATTTATTTGTTAGCGATGACACAAAACAATTAATTCTTTTTACATGAAATAATAAAGATCTAGAAGTTTTGTTGTATAAAAGAAAAGATGCATGCTTTCATTTGTTCATTGAACGATTTCTCCGCTTATATTAAATTGAATGCACCTTATTCAACATCAACATTCAGTGCATTTTTATGTGCAGGGTTATTATGTTCCTGTTTCAAACTACCTCTGTACACGTAGTCATGTACATCTCTTGCCTTGATATTTTACATGTTTTCTTGTGGAAAGATTGCTAATATATGTTCCTATAGATACATGTATATATATATATATTGTAGTTTTGAAAGTCTTTGGTTTTGCAATAACTTTTCCCTATGGGTCTAGAGTAAAATATTTAATGCCCATACTTATGTAAAACACATTTGTAAATTGTTTATATTTATTTAATGATGATTCAGGATAACATTTTGGGGTCAGTTTGCACTCAGCAGTGTTTCTAATGATCTATCTTTATTTGTCTATTTTTATATTAAATAATTATCATAATTTAGCATAACATTTCATTTGTACTCTTTTCATGATTTCTCAATCTCATACCTTGTATGAATATGTTTTGTAATTCCTTTACCCTTTGTTGTTTGTTTTTCTTATACTCTCCAATTTAGGATGTCAATTTCTGTTCTTGCATTTCCTCTTATTCATTTAACCACATCCCTTCATTTTCCCCGTTATTTCAACCCACCCAGGATTGCTTCCAGCGGTACCATGTCGTTCCAGTCTCCAGGGAGGTGGTCGGAAAGTAAGTTGATTTTCCTGGAGCCCCATTCTTACTTTGGCATCAAAAATCATTTTAAAGTGAAATCAGTGATTTTATACATCCCCATGCATAGTGAAAATTGTACCATAATGAGTGTGATCTGACAGTCCTAGAGAAGAACATCTGAATCACTCTGATTCTTGTAAGGATTCTCTTCATGTAACAGACTTGTCTTACATATCATCAAGATTTGTAGAGGTGCAGCTACTGTATGATAATGATTGTTTCATACATGAACTGCCAGATTGCTGTTGTTTTTATTAACGTTATGCCTAAAAGAGAGAAGGAGATATGACAAGGCATTGTTTTATGTCATTGTTGTTCACTTCAACAATCACCATGATTAAATAGGGCTCTATATCAACATGCATCAAATTTACAATACTTTGATGATAAAAAGAAGCAAAGTGAGTTCAAGGGAAAAGAGTTACAGCATTAAAAAAAAGACATGTTCGCAATAAAAGAAACTGAATCATGACTATTTATTTATACCGGTAGTTCACAGCCTCAATAAAGTAAGCAAGTCTACTGGGGTTATAAATGCATGTCTAATACATGTGGAGTTTGATCGATAAAATTACAAAATGCAATAGAGCTTCTGAGTTGTATTTGTGTATCATTCATAAATTGACAAATAATAATCTTTGTGTCAATATCCTGTGTAATTGGACTGGAGGATTTGAGATTCAATATGTGTGTCTGGCAAGCAATGTGTGGGGAATGGACGGACTACAGCTAGGTCAAAGGGTATAGTGATCAAGTGACAAAACACTTTACACGGTGTACGTGGTGTGTTCTTTATCACAAGTTTACAACTTGCGTAACTGGTTATTAGCCGGGGTCTAAGTACTACTTGTAGATTGTAGAAGATATACATCATAATATTGACACTGTGGCAAACATCTGTCGGTTAAGCATCTCAGCAAATACTGATTACATAAAGCTGTGCTTTGATTTAGGGATATTTCACAATGTTCAATCTCTTTGACACTGTACGTGATATTCCTACAGTGAATCCCCTTCTTAATTAATTGCATATTTTTTATTCATTTACTGGTATCTAATTATTCAAGAGAAGTTGGTCTTCAAAGTGGTCCTCAAAGTAATGACAATAGAAAACAGTTACAAACATGATAACAAAGAGGAAAGGCAAACAAACTAATAAATAATACATAAAACTATATCATCTAAAAACTAAAATTAAGGTCTGATATTTAAAACTTACTCTTGATCTTCAAGCTCTAATTTTACTGATCAGTTCTTATAAATAGAAGCATTATACAAGCAAACAAATGGCTCTTACATGCAAATTTTGATTCGCTCGTCACAAAAGCCACCTTGAGTTTCCTCAATTTGATAAATTCTTAGATGTCATGTTCTCATGCAAAGTGGATATTTATATGATTTGTGCTACTTTCTTTTTTACTTTATCAACCAGTTTGAGTGATATTAAGCCTCATCTTCTTTAGTAATTCAGAATAATAAACTGGTTGATAGTTGATAGTGACAAAGACTATATGTTTATATCTGATAGTATCTAAACCATGAATATGTTGGTTATCAGGGTTTTGTGAAACGGGTTGTCCACTTCCTGAAAGTTGGTTTCGTTGACTGACCCCAAGCTGTAGAGCGAACCATGTTGGGGCCATAGTTATAATTTAAACCCTTTTATGGTGATGTTCATAAAATTGATTATAAAATTTACTTTATAAATTTGCTTTCTTAACTAATTTCCTTGTTAATTTTATTGTATTCATATTATCTGTAATGTTACCCTTCTACATGTATTTATGTATTTCAATTTTTTTTTTAAATACTCTGTATGTATTGTATATGTTTTTTATGAAGAATGAAATAAATACCAGACCATACCATACCCAATGGCATCAACATGTTCATTTTCTTCCCATGCCAGGTCTGTTGAGAAGGAGATTCTCCAGGATGTGATGAAGCATGATGTCCTCATGGAGGATACATTCATGTACTTCTGCTTCCATAAGATCAAGTTCTTCTGGAATCCACAGGATCAGTGTTTCTTCAAGCTTAGGTGAGTCAGATATTCTTTCTAGCAAATAAAAGGGAAATAAAGTATGGGGGGGGGTAAAACTAGTGATAGTCGGGTTTATAGACAGATTTTTCTTGAGGTTACAAGGCAGTGAATACTACTATTACCTCAGCTTCAACTGAGCTACTATTCTCAAAGACTTTGTTCCAATGCGGTCCTGTTTACTTCACCTGGGTAGAGGGTGGCATATATGCAGGTTATTGCGTTGCTTGATGATGTTGGTGCTGTGCTGTGGCATGGATTTGACCCCTGAAAAATGTATTTTATGACACATGCTCTGGCAATAATTTCCCCTCTGTCGATTCCTTATACTAACTGAATTCCTTACTTTACTTTATCAAATATTGTGTGTAAAACCCTCAGCTTTTTGTACAAAGTAAAGCCCCGAGTAATTGTTGCTGGAGCAGTGGTACATGAGGTCCACTTATCTGTTCCTAGACCAAAGCACTCAAGAAGTGTCTTCAAACAATCAGAGTTGAGCTCTAAAAATAAGTTAGTGGAGAAGAAGAATTGAATCTTATTGTTCTGACTAGGTCAATGGTACATCCAGTTCATTCTAATATTCATGGTGTATTTAAAATTATAAAAAGGTCCCACACGATTACTAATGCAACAGTGCATACAACTGTTATGTACTATTGCCAGTTTTTCCTAGAAAAGTGTTCATTCTGTGACTGATAGTCATTGTGATTTGTTCTTGTTTTAAGGGGCCTGGATAAACACACTCTTACTGATGAGATCTACAGGCGAGCTAATATTGGTCTTGACCTTCGTGAAACAGCTCAAAGGTAGGTATAACCTTGCGCCAGACTGATCATCAAAAGTCTCCTCTTACTCCTTGATTCACTTTGTTGTATCAGATAGTAAGATGACAGATACGGGATTTGAAACTTTTACTTTAATAGTCAGTTGCTTGACTGTTCATTTTCTCAGGCAAATCAGTACTGTATATGTGGATGTTTCCCCAGTCCTGTTCAGCTGACATGCTTACTTTCACTTAACTCAAATGAATTCTGAGTTTTCTCATTTTCTGAATTTTCTCATTTTCTGAATTGATCAGTTTTCCCTCTTCAAATTGGCAACAATTAATTTTTCATTTTTACTCCTTCATAGTTTGAAAAAAATTAAATTGTTTAATGAATGAACCATTAATTAAAATTTTAAAAAATCAATTAAATTACTCTTATATGGGAAGGGCATAACATAGGCCCTACTGCATTTGAAAAAGACTTACAAAAAATATGTGTTTTTTGCTCTTTCTGCTACTGTATAACAAAATAAAACACAAAAACATCACTAAAAGGAGACACTCTATTGCTATGGGTTAAAGAAAGTCTTATAGAGTGTCTCATAGAATGGCTTATGCATCTGTATGGTGTTATTCACCCTACATTCTAACTTGCAGAGCACAGACAAGAAAATGCAGTTTTGAGCATCTGTAGTCTATTTTACAAACAACTGTTTAAACGAGGTAATAGAAGATATTACAGGACTGGTATAACATGATGACATGATGAAAATTATCAGCTACCATTACCTGATATTTTATTCATATTGCAGTTGGGATATTAACAATTTGAAGCCGATATTTCCCCTTACGATTGGGTTGTATTACGGTAATGATTGTGAGAATATGAAGATATTAATACATTTCTATAATTATTCATCGGTAACAGGTGTATTCGGACTGTAATGGAGAAAATAAGGTCTCAATTGATATTATTCTGATCATTAACTAGTCACCATATGTTTGTGCAGTTAAAATTTGATGTAACATTATACACACTATGTTATTGATATTCCAGAGCTAAAGCCAGGTTATAATGTCTAAAGTCCTTTAGAAGCACATGCAGGCGTTATTTCATAATATTATATGCGCTATAAAAGAACAGAATAATGTTATTGTTATTACTTTTGGAAAGCAATTAAATCCCAATTTGGAACACCCACACATCAAATGTGCTTACCATGGAAGGGGGCAACTCCACCCCCTCTTATAGAACCTGTTTCTCATGTATGATTTTCCTAGTTAATCGTACGAGCTTGAATCAAACAAACAGCTTCCCCAGTAGAATAAGAAACAATAAGTACCATACTCACAGCACTTTAAAAATCACAGACTTGAAGAGAACCAACAACAGCAAAATACACAGATTCATGAAATATTAAATGTCTTCACGTTCTACTACTGGGATAAGAACTACTGCATATATTTCTAAACATTATTTTCTTTTCCATTTTTAGGCGAACCTTGTATGGACTTAATATGATTCTTGTACGGGTGAAGTCCATCCCTCTTCTCCTAATTCAAGAGGTGAGAAAAAAACTTTTTGTTTTCCTTTATAATACCTTCAAAGTTATATTTTGACATTATTCAAAAGTGTAGTTTCTAATCTTTTGTATGCAAATGAGCATTGTGTGCTGAGAACTGGTTTTCTATTTACACTGTATCTTTTTAGATTCATATTGGAAACTCTTTGGAGAATTGATTTTTGGCCTGGGATACTTTGATTGTACATGTTTATATTCTTCAAATTAAACTATTGAGTTATTTGTTCAGGAAGAGCCATATTCATGTATTTCAGTTGTTGAATATATGTTTTTATGCCTGTTTACGAAGTACTGTAGCCAGAGGCATTATGTTTTCGGGGTGTCTGTCCGTCCTTTCGTCCCTATGTCCCGCTCTCGTGATCGCATTATCATTAGAACCGACGGACGGATTAGCATCTAACTCAAGACATGTATTTATCTTGCAGAGCCAATGAACTGAGTAGAATTGGTGGTCATGAGGTCAAAAGTCATGGGGCTCATTGTGTATGCAAAAACTTTATGAACTTGCTGGTATTCATTCACTTAACAGTAAAACAGTAGTCAAATTGATAATTGATTTCTATATCATCTTTTAAAACTTACCTTTCCATGTGCATGAATGTGAAATTTATATTTGATACATTTTATCCAATTCAATACATGACATTGTAAAGAAAAAGTATGAAATTAAGTTCCATGCTTCATGTGCATGTAGCCCTCAGTTAAACTAAAAAATGACTGTAAAAGGAAGAAAGTGACTTACCATTATAAGAAAGGTAGAATAAAAGGAGGAAGAATGCTGGTTTTTTTTAACTACAATCATAGTAACACCTATAACAATAGTAAATTGTTTTGAACAAATGTATTTTGTTACTTGATGGGTATGTTGCCTTGTAATTACATTCTTCCAATCAGCTATAATATGTCTCTTAATGTCTGTTTTCTTGAATTATTCATAGATATATCATTTCATTGGCATTTTGATTTTCCTCCTCCAGATCTTGAATCCATTCTACATCTTCCAAATCTTCAGTGTGACAGTGTGGATAGTGGATGAGTACCTCTACTATTCAATCTGCATCATTGTACTGTCTGCTCTCTCCATCTCTATCTCGCTCTACACCACCAGAGCTGTAAGCAGTACTGTCATTTGATTCTAATAATGATCATCATCATCAACATTATTATTATACAAATAATGAATGGTTATGAGTTCAATAGTGTGAATATTTTCATGAGTTGAATAGAATTAATGTTAATCTTTCAACGAATGAAAATATTCGCACTATTGAACGAATGAAAAACATTCATTATTTGTTTTATACAACATCAAAGAATATCTAATAGAACGTTACTCAACAAATTATGCTTTACTCCTTATATTTATTAAAGTTGGAGCCAAGCCTTCTCGATTACATACATTCAGATTGCCTTCGCGTCAGATACACACAGGGATACGCGCACGGCAGAGATTTACGCAGTCTGCATATAACCAAAAATGCACGCCCGTGAAATGTAACATCTATTGAATATCATGTGACCAACACACCTCCAATCAAATGACAAGGATCAACGTAGGTGTTGTATGAAAATTAATAATAACCTTTTCTTGTATAGCACATATGACGTGATAGTAAAACGTCTGTATGTGCTTCCAAAGGACTTATTATCCCTGTGTGAGCTTCGGCAATAGTAGCACTCTGTGCATTGCAAGATTAGATCCTGCCAAGTAACAGCTCTCTAAATTTAGATCGTGGCAAATATATATTAATGTCTTGCTAAAGGATGTTAAAACTGTGAAAGGGATTCAAACTCAGTTTGGAAGTCAGGAGATTTATCCACTATGGGAATCTTGTAGATTAATGATCAAAAATACAATAGCTCTCTCAGAATAACTAAAGATATTGCTTGGGGTGATGTTTCCTTTAAAACTAAAAGGAATGGGTTATTTTTTGTGCTCTGTCTAGGTTTTTTTATTTTTGTATATCTTTTGCAATGCAAAAAATTGCCACTTGTGGTATCAACAGATAATTGGTAATGGCTGGTCAAACCTGATAGAGGAGTCCTAAATGGGCCAATCAAATCAATTCGCTGAACCTCAGATGATGTACTTTTTCATTGATCTATTGAAACAAAAAAGTCTAGGGTTTTACATAGGTATATGACAGGAATTTTTTTCCAGTCTGTAAATGATGGAATGTAGTACATTAAAGCCCTGACCTATTTAGAATGCAATTTAGCTTTTCCGATGCTTTCCGTAGTAGTTTTTAAAAATTGTGTTCTTTTTTTCTTTTCAGCAAGCAACAACTCTAAAGAATATGGTGAAATCCAATGTTACAGTGCAAGTATTAAGGCCCAATGGAGGTAAGAATAATTCATGATTATAGTTAGTAAGGTGGTCCACAAGGGGCTGAAACATGTAACAGCCAAGACAGGTTTGAAAATCAGCAACAGGTTAATATTCATTCTCAACCAAAATAATTTATGAAATATCAGTCAAAAAAAATGTGTTAGAAAATGCTTCAAAACATGGCTCAGATTGCACCAGAATGCATCCAAGATCCTAATAGAGCCCTTAGGCAAACCATCGAGTCTGGCCACAAGGCACTGTGTGTTTCATTTCTCTTTTAAAGCATCTCTTCAAAAAACACTTATATCAAAATGTCATCATAGATGGTTTCAATATGCAGTAGACAATTATCAATATCTCAAATTTTGGTCACATTGCTATGTAATTTTTGCTATTTCATATTAGAAGGCTGCATTAGATTAAGATTTTTCTTTCAAGGTCACCATTCTAGTCAAGCCTTGCTTAATTTAGATAATACTTTGAATTTATAATAATATGTTATAGAAATATTAAGTTTGTTATTATATGTGTATAACATTTTAATAATAATAATAATAATAATAATAGCTAGTTCTTATATAGCGCTTTTCAGGACCGAAGGCCCTCTCAAAGCGCTTTACAGATATATATATATATATATATATATATTATTACCCCGGTCATAGGATTCAGGCTTACCCGCACACAATGTATGCACATTCTCCACTCCCTGGGGAGCATTCCAGCCAGGCGTCTTTTTTACAAGCGCACACTTGCTAATCTAACCACATTAGCTTTCGCATCCTACCGGGTACCCATTTAACACCTGGGTGGAGAGTGGCAAATGTAGATCAACGTCTTGCCAAAGGACATTAGTGCCGCGGTGGGACTTGAACCGCGAACCTTGTGATCCACAGTCCTGTGACATATCCACTCGTCCAGGACACTCGTCCAGGACACCTCTAACATGAAGTTATCATTCTTTGTATATTTGTATTATACCTTACGTTAATATGTTCTTTGTTATTCAGTTATTGTAATTGGAAAAATGCAGAAATCAAGTAAAAATCAAATTAAATCAACCGTATACCAAGCATTAAAGGCATCGTTTAACCATGTTAAATCTGTGATATGGTGTAATATTGAAGCCCAACTAAAATTGCGCTTCAAGATGATCAAGAAGTGCCTCAAAAAATAAAAATCTTTGAGTGACTGGTTTTACCATACTTGTTTCCCCCAATAGACTGTAGTGTTATGAAAACCATTTGGCAAACTGCTTTCAAAATTTGTAATTCCAATCATAAATATCTTGATAATCAGACAGGCGATCGGCTTGTAAAAGTCATGGAGTTCCTGACTGACCTAAAGGTTTATAATGATCATTGCAGCATGAGCTAAATCCAGAATTTCGTTTCAGAATCTGAGACAAAGTTACTGGATCCCTTTAAGTAAAATCATTATGTTACAAAAATAGGCCCTGGTGACATATTGTGACTGTAAACATTATCTTTTGACTCTTGACAGAGATTGAGACTGTTTGGGAGGATCAGTTAGTGCCTGGTGATGTAATCATCATACCATCATATGGCTGTACTATGACCTGTGATGCAGTCCTGGTCGCTGGTAACTGCATTGTCAACGAGAGCTCTCTAACTGGTGAGTCTCTTATCTTCCTCTGTCTCTCCATCTACCCTTCTTCCTCTGTCTCTCCATCTACCCTTCTTCCTCTTCTCTTTATCTTTCTTTCAATAGAGTACCGAAGCTGTGACATTAAAATGTATTTTTAAATTCCTCAACTTTTTCTTCATTTTCCGAAGAGCATCAAAAATATTGTCCAAATGTTGAAAACCAATTGAATATGTTAAATATTGGCTGAGAAATGACCATCTGAGTAAATAGATTTCCTATAGGAACTCAGTGTTATTTTGCTCTGGCTCGTTATGTTGAGTTCCTATAGGAAATCTATTTATTCAGATGGTCATATCTCAAATTTTGTTTTCGATAGCACATATATCTATTTACAACCCCCACCCCCTAGAACCGCGGATTTTCAGCGGGTCCTGCTAGTCCATAAATAATCAAATTATGAAGTAGGAAATCAATTGTTCTCATTTTTAAAAACCTTAACTAGGTGAAAGTGTGCCCATCACGAAGACGCCCCTCCCTTGTCCAGAGACTGGAGAGTTGGAATTCTCCATGGACGAGCATAAGAGACACACCCTGTTTTGTGGGACGCAGATCATCCAGACGAGATTCTATGCAGATGAACATGTTAAAGCTGTGGTAATACTTACAGGTAAGTTGACATTCCCTTAAACACCAGCGAAGATTCTATGCACAAATCACACAATTATAAGAGAAACAGAAAATGCAAAGACTCATAAACTAAAATAAAATGTACAGTTTCACAACTTCATTCATTCTTACCAGCCTTCCACTTCAGGAAGAAGACAAGTTTGGTCTCTGTTTATAGTATGTATATGTTATACAGTAGGCTTACGGTTGCACCATGTAAGAGAGAGGGGGGGGGGGGGGGAGGGGAGGATTTTGGAGTCCTGAAAAGGACTGTCATGAATCTTTCTTTCTTGAGTGTTACCTATGATCGCTCTGAGACATTTATATACAGGTATGTGACTCCTGATGGGAATGAGTGCAGTTGTGAATATGTGAGTAAACTGTTATTTTCCAGGTGTATGTTCTTTGGGGCCCAACTGTTCATCACATTATATTATTGCAGGAAAGAAATTGGATTTTGTGGTACAAATAATACAAGAAACCAGGCTTTGTGGAAATTCAAACTAAAGAAACAAAAACATGATGTTGACCTATTAACAACAAAAAAGTTTTGGTTTGTTTATTGTTTTATTCTACAGGATTTTCAACAGCCAAGGGTATCATGGTACGATCCATACTCTATCCCATGCCAACAGAAATCAAGCTCTTTAGAGATGCTCTGCTCTTTGTAGGAATCTTGGCTGGTTTTGGTAAGTACCTTTTAGTATTTTACAACTATGAAAAATAGCAGGAATATGAAGCATGAGTGAGATATTTCATATCTATTGAAATCAGAACTTACAGCAGGAAGTTCAAAATATCTTTGAAAAAGAGGTAATCATGAGAATAATACTTAGGATATTCAGAATATCATAAAATATATATAGAATGTCTTCTTTTATAATGATCCTGGCCAGTCTCAGTAAAACTTTCCAGTAAGTTTTGAAAGAATGAGAAAGAACAGGTAGTCAGGTCAATATACCGTAAAAAAACACCCCAACCCCAAAAAAATTGCAACAAAAGGTTTTTCAACGGTTTCTAGTAGTATTCGAACTCAGGAATAACATACTAAAAGTAGACCAAAATCGAAGGTTCAGAAAGCTGTTTTTTTCAAGATGGCGTCCAAGATGGCCGCCGATACCTTAAAATGGCCATAAATCACTTATTATCCATCCTAGAGACATAATTGTGGTGTCTATCTTATGGTTTCGGGGGTCAGAGAATCCATTGAGACAAGTAAGAATTGTTTGTGATGGTCTACGTAACCCAAAAATCCAATATGGCGTCCAAAAAGGCCGCTATAACATAAAAATGGCCATAAGTCACTTATTATCTATCTGAGAGACGTAAGTGAGGTGTCTATGCTACGGTTTTCGGGGTCATAGAATCCATTAGGATAAGTTAGAACGTTAAGCAGTGGTTTAGGAAACCACAAAATCCAATATGGCGCCAAAGGGCCACAAAACCACTAAGATTTCCCAATAGAGGGCGCACTTTATGAACAGGAAATGAACTTATGTTTCTCTCTCACCCTAATGGCGTCACTCCCCCCCCCCCCCCCCCCAGGAAAAAGGGTCAATTCAACTATTGACAGGTCATTGTCAACACTGAGGGAGGGGGCCGAGGGGGGGGGGGGGGTGACAAAGACAAAGTCTAGACACACATTCATAATACCTACCATACAATTAAAAATGTTTAAAGACACTCAGTAGTCGTCGGCTCTTATGGGGAATTCGACACCGTCGGGTGTTTACCCAATAACAGGTGTTGTCAATCACCAGGGTTAGCCTTTAGTTGTATGACCATTAGACCTTATGTAATATGCCTTGCTTTCCCCTCACCCGAACTACTCTTGAGTGTTCTCCGAGAGATTAGGGGGGAATTCTTGACTGGCCTACGGGTTTGCTGTGTGCGGATTTGCCGTTAATGGTATTTCCACCAAGTCTGGTGTAAGCAAAGTGCCTTCTGCACATGGAAACTGACGCGTGACTCCCTTTAAAACCTCGTGTTGTTCATGTCATCTTATAGCGAATACACATGCAGATCTTCACGTTCCTTCATTTTGATGAGGAATGTACTTTAGTAAGGAAAAATCATCTTCTGCTTATATCAAGTGACTCGTTAAATGGATTGTGGCATACATCAAGTTGGCAATTAAGGTCCACACACACACTCTGTTACTTGTAGTCCGTAACCTCTGCATGTATAGTGAGGTGTGCTTCAAGCAGTAAAGAAGTCGCAATGAATCAACTTAAGAAGATTACTAGGTGGCAGGTGCAGCCTCCGTATTTGACATCAGTGGAACCAGATGATTGTCCTCTTATTTCCAGCCCCAGTCTGTGACGTCCATATCTTCTCACTCTCCATCCATGCCGTGACTTGGTAGCCCGGGAGGTGGGGGGGAGGGGGGAGGGGGAGGGGGGTACTCACATATTAGTACATATGGGTGTGTGCCACTCTAATGGGTTACTTTTTAACCAAAAATCCCTAAACATGGGCTTTAATTCGAGAAAAAATGTATCGTAATGATGCAACTGAGTCATTACAGCGGTCACCAAACATGACAGACATTGCTTTGATACCAAGTTCCTCTAAGTTAGTTACTTTGGCTAACTTGGTAGCAGGAAAGTACTAGCACAGGATTGCACAGGTTGCATTTCACAAGCTTCTGGAAGACTGCTTTCTTTCCTATTCCGAATATTTGGGAAGTCGGATCACAATCGGTGTAGGCATCCAGAAAAATTAGTTGTGAGCACAGATCACGTACGCAGGTCTTCTTCCAACTGCTTACAATTCTACACCTTTGGAGCCTTGGCTGCATTATAAGAGTGGAAGTATAGTTCCCTGCTATCTGTTCCAAAGATTTTGCGAAGTCCAGTTCCTTTCATCAGGGTACCGATTGCTTCCATCTAAATCATGAAGGTTTGGAAGCAACCTAATTGCAGTCAATCCCTTTCAGTGGGCTATTCTGGGGGTACATCAATGATTATAGCTCAGCGGCCTTTCAATATGCTGTTTTCACAGTCTCGTTCAAAAGGAAAGACAAAGCTACGACTCTGGGAGAGATTTCGAGAGTAAAAATTGTACCTGAACAAACCATAAATGCTGCTTTGCTTTGCTGTTTCAACGGTTCCTGGTAGTTTAAAAAACAAGGGAGCTTTAAGTAGCAGAGGTGATGAGCTTTGAGTTCGTGCAGTCCGTTCCGACCTGCACTTTTCGAGGCTAGGAATGTGTTACGGAGGTCTGAAAAGCCTCAGCTAGCTCATGCTATAACTGATCATGCAAGTAAAGTGTCGAGTGAAGCCGTGAAAGAACACAGAACAGTATGATTGTGGTTCCTTGGTGCATCGGATACCATGGAAGACAGGAGACAGCTTTGGCAGAATATATAGCACGCCCATGCTCATTTCACAAACCCCCCCCCCCCCCCACTATATGGTTCTGCAAATGTAGTTTTTGATGGCTATGGTGGAGGGCCGTCAATTAATGATAATACACACAAGCGACATGGGCAGAATGCCCATCCAGTTGTCAGATTCAATGCAGACACAGTATTCTCAGGTAAGAAGGATGAGTTTTAATCAAGAGACTACAATAAGCAGGGACTCATAAAACTCATTAGTGATGAACTGAGGAAGAGTAATTGCATCGTCATCTATGTATCCGGGGATGCAGATGTACATATTGCTAAAGCTGTATTGAATTCTTCTCGTCGTCAGTCTACTATTCTGATTTGAGAAGGCACTGACATATTAGTGTTACTCTTGCATTACGTGGATGTAGATAGCAGGGTACTATACTTTAGGTCTGGCAATGCAGCCAAGGCTCCCGAGGTGTATAACATTGAGCAGTTGAAAGTGGACCTGGGTAAAGATCTATGCTCTGGTTGCGATTCGACTTTCAGGATATTCGGAATCGGAAAGAGAGCTGTCTTCGAGAAGCTTGTGAAATACAGCCCCACTCAAAAATCCAGTGCTAGTACTTTCCTTCTTCCAAGTCAGCCAAAGGAACTTATAGAGGAACTTGGTACCAAAGCAATGTCTTCCATGTTTGGTTGCTGCTGTAATGACTCACTTGCATCATTACGATACAACTTGTTCGTCAAGATTCCCTCCTACACCAGCCTCCACCAAATTCCACTCCTTCAGAACATACTACCAAGTCATGGCGTAGATGGAGAGTGAATTATAAGACATGGACGTCCCAGACTGGGGCTGGAAATTAAAAGACAATCACCTGGTTCCAGTGATGTTGAATACGAAGACTGCCGCGCTGCTTGTAACACACCTCGCTGTACCTGCAGATGTTACGGACTACCATGCAACAGTGTGTGTGGACCTTGCCAACTCGATGTATGTCACAATCCATAGAATGAGGCAGAAGATGATTTATTCTTACTCAAGTACATTCCTCATCAAAATGAAGGTACATGAAGATCTGCATGTGTATTCGCTATAAGATGACATGAACAACACAAGGTTTTAACATTTTAAATCGTATGGTGGGTGGGTAGTATGAATGGAATGTGTGTCTAGATATTATTATTAAGTTGTTACTTTGTCATTGTCACTCCCCTTCCCCTAGTGTTGACAATGACCTGTCAATAGTTGAATTGACCCTTTTTCTGGGGGAAGGGGGAGGTGGGTGAAACCATAAGCCTAAGGGTGAGAGAGAAACATTATAAGTTCATTTCCTGTTTATAAAGTGCGCCCTCTATTGAGAAATCTTAGTGGTTATGTGGCCCTTTGGACGCCATATTGGATTTCATAGTTTCCTGAACCACGTTCTAACTTATCCTAATGGATTCTATGACCCCGGAAACCATAGCATAGACACCCCAAGTTTGTTTCTCGGAGGGATAATAAGTGACTTATGGCCATTTTTATGTTATGGCGGCCATTTTGGACGCCATATTGGATTTTCGGGTTTCGTAGACCATCACAAACCATTCTTACTTGTCCCAATGGATTCTCTGACCCCCGAAACCATGGGATAGACACCACAATTATGTCTCTAGGATGGATAATAAGTGATTTATGGCCATTTTAAGGTATCGGCGGCCATCTTGGACGCCATCTTGAAAAAATAGCTTTCTGAACCTCCGATTTTGGTCTACTTTAAGTATGTTATTCCTGAGGTCGAATACTACTAGAAACCGTTGAAAAACCTTTTGTTGCAATTTTTTGGGGGTCAAACCATATCTTGACCTGACTAAGGAATTTATGGATCAATTAGAATATCTTTTTTGTAGAACCCATAGACCCCTTTTCTACCAGGTTTAAACCAGGTTTAAGCTTCATCCCTAGTCAAGTGAACTGTGTCTTTGACCCAGCATTGCATTTACTGTAATGGTATTTTTGGAATGTTCAATTGGAATTTTCTTTATTCCTGATGACTTTGAAACCCTCAAGATTTGTCTGCTACTTGTTATGAATTATGATTTACAGTATTGATTTTATTTTGTCTTTGTTTCTTTGCAGCCTTTATTGGTTTCATCTATACAGTGATTGTTCTGGCATTAGATGGGGTAAGTTTAAAAAGCAAGGGTGTCTGTAGATAGAAGAGAAAAAACAAACAGTTGCAGTTAACAAATTAGCTCTTCATTTCTTTAACACTATTTGTCTTTTGTGTTGTAGAGCTGTGGTGTTCAATTTAGTTGGTGATTGGATGAGTCAATGAGCCATTCTTTATTAAACAAATGGTCACACATACGACCTTTATATTTGCCTGCTTTGCCACAAAATCAGATTGCATCTTATTAATTTTTATATCACCAGTTTCTTACAAAAATATTTCTCTTTGAATAAATAATTTCCCTAAAATAATGTTTTGTACTTAGACATTTAAAAACACCTCTTTTGCGTGGTCACACGTATGACCAGCTCAGTTTTCACTTCTAAAAGAAAGCAAGTTTTCTCATTTATGGAAAATTACTGTCCCTCTTGCGTTGCCTGTCCCTCTTATGTTGCCTGCCCCTGTAATCATCAAAGTGTTTTTTTAACTTAATTCAGACTCAGAGAGCATGTCAGATTAGTCAACCTACAACTATGTGCATCAAATATTGACTTGTATATTTTTTCTTCTTCTCAGACTCAAACAAGAGAGATTATTCTGAAATCTCTAGATATCATTACCATTGCTGTTCCACCAGCGTTGCCTGCCTCTCTTACCATTGGTATGGTGTATGCTCAGTTCAGACTTAAGAAACGTGGTATTTTCTGTATCAGCCCTCAGAGGATCAACCTGTGTGGTACAATCGATATTGTCTGCTTTGATAAAGTGAGTCTTAAAGTCTAAAGCACTTTCACTTATTTTATTCAAATTGGAATGACACTATTAGAGTAGTAGTAGTAGCTCTATACAGAGCAAATTCATTTTTCATTTCTTTTTACATAATATAAACAATAACAGACAATAATAAACGTAATGACATAACAGAAATGAGCATTGAAATATCTTTGACATTGTTTTTTGGTCATTGTAATGCAAAATTATTTGGTTACAGGAAATGAAAAAAAAAAAAAACCTACTTGAAAGCTTCCTATAGGAACTCAGTGTTATTTTGCTCTGGTTCGTAATGTTATGAACCAGAGCAAAATAACATTTAGTTCCTATAGGAAATCTTTTTATTCAGATGGTCATATCTCAGTCAATACTTAACATATTCAATTTGTTTTTGGCATTTGGACATCATTTTTGATGCTCTTTCAGATGCTCTTCCTTTCAAATTGAGAAATTCTAAAACTAGTTTGTTGATGATGTCACACTTCACCACTCTATTGACAGTTGTCACTCTCCCCCAGGTGCAGTAAATCAGTATATTGTAGGAAGTAATTCCTTGAATACTATCAGCACCTTAAAGAAGTATTGTTTTAGCAAGGGCAGTTATGGTACTTTGTAGGTGAACATCCTCGTGGTGGGAAATGTGCATAACATAAATGTAATTATTACCCGTATCAGACATCTGAGCAGTGGTTTTACAAAATCATATTACACTTGTGTGTAATCTTTAAAGGGCTAATCGGGGAATATGAGACCATATTTACCTTTCATGAAAAAGCCTATGGACTTTACGTGTTAAAAAAGCATGAAATATAAGACCATATTCACCACGCCGTATTTTGTCATTTTCATTGCGCATCTATTATGCGTATGAGAACCTGCGCACTTTGCACGCGCTCTATTGTGACGTAATAATTACACCAAATTAGGTACACTGTTTGCAGTGTGTCGACAATTTTGTCAAGCACTGGATGCACAGTGCTAGTTTGACAAAGTTTTTTCAGTTCTATGAGATTGTCTTGTATGTATTTGCTCTAGATATCTGATTTGGATAATAATAACAATAATGACTGGCTTAACTTTCGGGAGATACCATATATATTGCCCTCACAAGACCCGTATTGCCCTCATCTTTGACTCGGGGCAATATGAGTCTAGTTGGGAAATATTATGTGGTATCTCCCTCAAGGCCAGTCCATATTATATAAATGTATCTATTAGTATTATCTTGTTCATGTTTGCATCAATTATGCTGTGAGAAACTTGACATTTGACCATTTTGGATGCAGATAAAAACATCCAGTATATTCTATCTTTTCAAAGATTTTGCTTCACTTAAACTTGATAGGCCTGTAATGGTGAACATGACTATATACAGAATAAACCCATCATAATAATAAATAATAATAGCTAGTTCTTATATAGCGCTTTTCAGGACCGAAGGCCCTCTCAAAGCGCTTTACAGATAGATATATTATTACCCTGGTCATATTATACTGGTTCTTTTTGCTTGAGATTGATGTTGTGATTGGATTATAACTCTTTGTGAAATGGATCACAATTTTCTTATTTCAGACTGGTACTCTGACTGAAGATGGTCTAGATATGTTGGGTGTTCAGGAGACATCTAATGGAGGGTAAGAATGTAGAATACTTCAGCCTGTGCTTGTAGCTCCCGTAGGCTTCTTACATTAGATTGGATTTCTTTGATAGCTGTTATTGTGTGTCCAGCAAGAAGGTACTAGCAGAGCCATTCCTAGCTAACTTAAATCCATGGCCATTCCCTTGCTAGCACCCTCCTGCCAGGCTAACAATGCTGTATAGTTCAACAAAACATTTGACCAAAGTTAAGCAAATGAGTAAATGTTAAATAATGCAGCTTATACGTTGGCAATTTTCATTACTTAGCGTACCTTTGCATTTGATTTGAATGTTACTTAACTAATTATGCATTTGACTGATGTTGCCAATTCAAAAAATTTGAATGCTCATATTCTAATCCAGAGAAAAATTAACAAACTCAAACATTTTACCTTGTGTTTCCGGCTCTGTCTCTTGTGTATTTCCACTTTTAAAGAATTCACTTGCTTATATCCCATTTTAAAATTCCTTTCAACAAACACCAACTCTCTCTCTTTGTTGGGACCTTTTCCATATTTTGATACTTTAATGCTGATATTGAAGTTTCAATTCTATGCTAATGTTTCAGTTTAAAAATCGGTCCAACAATTTTTAACCTTCTCATCGCTGTCAGGTTTTCTCCCATGGTGACGGACGTCCAGAGCCTTCCTGTCGGCCCCTTTGTGTCTAACATGGCAACGTGTCACTCATTGACCTATATCAATGAGGAGATCGCTGGAGATCCTTTAGATGCTAAGATGTTCGAAGCTACGGGATGGGTAAGTACAAGGCTTCTCCCAAACGTTCATAACTTGTTTTGAATAGAATTATTTCTTAATGTTTTTAGGGTTACGCCATGTAATTTTTTCATAGGAATAAGAACCATAGAAAGGGCTGGTTTGCTCTACTAAGAGCGCTTTGATTTTAAACTTTTCGATCAATATGCTTTTATTATGGAATTATCAAATATAACTTTATTATGGAATTATGAAAATATAACTTTACTTGACGTTCTGTCTGTTTCAGTGTATAGTAGGGCTGTCATGTTGATACAGTCATCATTAATAAAAAAATATTTGAAGTGGTCGTCACTTATGGAACAAAACAACATGGACTTGCCCAAGAATTCCAACTTTAGTTCTGTAAATGGAAGTCTATTTTGACAAAAACTTACGCAAAGTATTTCTGACTTGTCATGCAGGAGGTGGGTCATTTGGAACATCAAAATGCTATCAAATATGACAATATATGACAATCACAACTGGCATTTGCACATGTGGGACTATCATATTGTCACGAGGTGTTAACTCGTGTTTTAAAGTATATGGTTTTATGCCCTTCTGGCTCCAAACATGTAATACATTTGTTTTGTTTGCCTATGAACCCCGTCAGGCTAGCCAAAGTTAAACTAGCAATAATTGAGACCATTTAATGAGGCAAAAAGTTTATTAGTTAAAGGTAAAGACCAGTAATGGTCATGCAATTGCATTGTGAAAGAAACGTTGTGGAATCGATCAGAAAAGTATAAGTATTGGTGTGAACTGCAAGGTTCTGGAATCATCAAAATGATAAGAAATTTGGCCCAGTCTTCGTAAAGTTACAAGCACTGTACACAGAAAGATGTATATGGGACTACACACATGTGCGCGACACGTGCGTTTATCTCTCACAGACCATGTAGCTAAACTAATTTACCAAATATATCGATCTAGTAGGCGGTTTCCCGGCAAAATTTTTGTCATTATGTATTAATCAAAACATTGTGTTTCACATGATTGGAAATAAGAGCTTCCATTTCATTTTTTGAAATTAGGGCGTTTCCAATACTGGTCTTTACCTTTAATCTCTTTTTAAATCAGGAACAAATGAAAGCATTCATTATCTGTGTAGATTTGTCAACTATTAATTTGAAGAGTAGAGAATACTACTCTGTTACATTTTCATCCAATAAAAAGATGGTTTTGCATTTCTTTGTTTGATGTTGATGCATGAATTTCTTATTTTCTATACTTTATTTTTGTTCTTATGGTTAAAGTCGTTACATGAAGGAGATGCTTTTAGGGTATGTGGGCTCCTCGACTTCTTTCATGCTGTTTATCTATCTTGCATTCACTCCATTACAGCAGATATTAATCACTGCATAATATCTTCAGCATCTGATCATACATGTAACCTGTTCATTTGGTGTGAAAACAGGATGAAACAGAAAATGCTCAGAAGCACAGTGAATGAAAGAGAGAGAGAGAGCGAGATGTACGTAAACTCTTTTTTTTAAAAATTACAGAGGAGAAGAGGAGAAAAAGAGACCTATTGGTTTAGCTGATGTGAGTTATTGGAAAAGTGATTGTGTAAGTAGGAGAAGGAGCATGTACGATTACGGTAAACACATATACCACTGGAAGTACAGCAATATGAAGTGAATGGTGAACAAAAATAAGCCAGTTCATAGATATTATCTGGGCATGGACAGATAACGGTAATTTGCACAAACCTGTAAATAATAATAATAATATTGAGTATTTACATAGCGCACATATCCACCATGCAAGGTGCTCAAGGCACTCCAATATTACCCCTGCTTACGTGTTCATGAAATTGAGATAATCATTCACTTGTGCACCATTTGTATACGAAAGGGATTATCAAAGCACCTACATCACTTTGGCAGTGATTATTCTAATTCTCCATGAATAAACAATCTGTGGATATTTGAGGCAATCATTTGTACCAGGTGCTATCTATGAACTGGTTTATTGGTTCACTGTAATGTAAGTTTACAGAACTTATACTCTTGGTTTCATAAAATATGAAATTAGTGATATAAATCATTTATTTCATCATAGTCAAATAACTATTTCATTAAGTTGGATATAGTTCTAATGTCTATATATATTCATCACTATTTTCCAAGTTTATTGTACATTTTTCAATTCTAACACACTCAAGTATTTTTCACTTATGATTCAATGAACATTATCTCAGTTTTTTGGTATACATTGTGCATTTGTATTCAAATAATACAGCGATCCAATCTAAGGAGCATTAGGGTTCGTGAATATCAAAGCTAGTCGCTTTTTTAAAAGGGTTCCACATTATAATAATAATAATAATAATAATAGTGTAGACTTTAGAGCACACACACCGTCCAGGGATGCTCATAACGCTAGCTCAGCAACAGTTCTCTTTGATACAAGTGGATGGTCAAGTGGATACATCGCCAGACTGTCGATTACAAGGTCCGCGGTTCAAGTCCCGCTGCCGCACTAATGTCCTTTGGCAAGACATTGATCTACATTTGCCACACCCTACCCAGGTGAAGTAAATGGGTACCTGGTAGGAATTTATTCCTTGAAATGCTAGAGCGCCGCATGGCAGCCATGCTAAAGCCAGGGTAATAATCGGGAGCACCAGGAGGGTCAAATCTGACTGACATGAGCGCTTTACAAGAACCTGTTATTATTATTATTATTATTATTTTGCAATATTTATATAACCCATTTCAATCCTCAGCTCTGCCCGGGTAGCATGGTGTACCCTTGTACATATCATTTACACCATAACAACAAGTGATTACTCCAACACTGACAAATAAAGCAAATCAGGCAATCTTGACCATGCCTGATCAATGTTTAAAGGTGAAATTCTAATGTAACTAATGTAACACTAGAAACTGGTAAGCTAACAGATGGCTATTGTACAAGTATTAGGTCAACTACATATCGGGTGATTTATAAAAAAAAACAAATACAACCACCTCCATAGCAGCTGGGATATACGAGAGATTTGCCGGAACAATAACGATGTTTTAATGATGTCACTATATGGACCAATACTGCCCAAGCAGACGACATCCCATAAAGAATGAACATAATTGCAAAGCTATTATTTGTCAAATTATAATGAGTTTAGTGTATATAAATGTAATGGCATGTCAAACCATTCAAAAGGGGATAATGGATAATTTATGGCAGGTCATAAAAGATATAGATAATGTTGATGTTGCGTGGGATATGTGGTTGACTCTATTCAATAATATAATCAACAAGCACATACCAGTATGTAAAAAGCGGATAAGAAAAAAGGCATGTCCATGGATATCTGACGAGATTGTTAAGCTTATGACGGAACGTGATAAAGTTCTCAAAGCTGCTAAAGCTAACAAAAGTGATGATCTTTGGGACACCTACAAATATCTAAAGAATACAGTTATTCATCTCATGAGGAAAAGAAAAAGAGAATATAATGCAGACCAGATCTCGCAAAATCATAACAATAGTAAGCAAATGTGGAGATGTTTGAGAAACCTTGTGCCTAAGTCATTACCTATATCTCCCAATAGCATAAATGTTGATGGTGCTAATGTGTCAGACAATGCAAATATTGCTGAAGCTTTTAATGACTTTTTCATTTCTAATGCTACTAAGATTACAAAGGACCTGCGAAGGAATAAGTCTCAACTGAGAGTAGACGAGGACAATAATATTGGTCCAACTCATTCGCAATTTAATTTGAATTTGATTACTGAGGATTTTGTATTGAAACAGATTGATAATCTGAGTATAGATAAAGCAACTGGTGAAGATCACATCAGCTGTAAACTTTTAAAGATGACGAAGAATGTTATCGCAGAGTCTCTTTGTGATATCATTAACAAATCCCTGTCTACAGGAGTTGTTCCACGTGAATGGAAAAAGGCTCGGGTAGTACCAATATTCAAATCTGGAGATATTTCTTCTTTGAATAATTACCGTCCCATTTCGATATTACCTATCGTGAGTAAAATTATAGAAAGGGCCGTCCACCAACAACTCAGTGAATTCTTGGACGTGAATAAATTATTACACCCTAATCAGTCTGGTTTTAGACCTAAACATTCAACAGCTACTGCCCTTGCAAAACTTGTAAATCAATGGTCGTTGAATATTGATAACAAAGAAATTTCTGGAGTTGCCTTCATAGATCTTCGTAAGGCTTTTGATACTGTTGACCATGAGCTACTTCTACATAAACTAGCTTGTATAGGTTGTAGTAATAGGACTATTTATTGGTTCAAATCATATTTAGGGGATCGACAACAAGTGACCCAATTCAAAGGAGCCAAGTCGCATCCATCAACCATCAAATTAGGTGTGCCACAAGGTTCAATTCTTGGTCCCCTTTTATTTTCAATATATGTTAATAGTCTACCTGAATGTACTCCTGAAGGTATCATAGATATGTATGCTGACGATACGACACTTACCGTCAGTGCAAATGATGCAACTGTTGTGGAAGAAAAATTAACTGTTGCGTTAAACAGAGTCATGGCATGGATTAAGGAAAATCGTCTTGTTCTTAACACTGAAAAAACTTGTGTCATGTTAATAGGCTCTCCTGCTAATCTCAAGAAAATTGAATCTTTCACCATTTCATTAAACGGCAATTTGATCAAAAGAGTTCAATTCACCAAATGCCTAGGACTTTTGATAGATGAAGAATTGAAATGGTCTAAACAAATCGAAAACGTAAGTAAACTTACCCAGAAAAACATTAGCATGATAAAGAGAGCAAAGAGTTTTTTGCCTCAAAAATCCTTAAAGTTACTTTATAACAGTCTAGTGTTGCCACGATTAGATTACTGCTCTGTTGTATGGTCGAACCGATTTCATTCTCATACAACTAAGCTGCAAAAAATTCAAAAGAGGGCCGCAAGAATAATATTGAACAAGACATATGACACACCGTCGGCTGATTTGTTCACAAGTCTTAAATGGATGACACTAGACAAGCGGTTTGAGTTAAGTCGCTTTATGATGATATATAAATGCGTTCATAACTTAGCACCCTCTTACCTTCAGATAGGCTTAATCAATCCTAATGATGTACATGAGCATCATACAAGGCAAATAGACAGTGGATGTTTACGTGTGCCTAGATTTCACACTGATTGTTATAAGTGTAGCCCAATTGTTTCTTCCATATTTGAATGGAATAAGCTAGATAATTCGTTGAGAACGGCTTCCTCTGTCAATTCATTTAAGAGATTGTTTAAACAAAGTTGTAATTTGTGAATGGCTCAGCCGTACATACACTACGTGCATGTTCTGTAATATTTACATGTCTTATTCACATAATTGCGACTTAATTAATATTTTCCTATTGACATTACTGCTTACTAGGTTAATGATATATGTTAATTTTGCAAACGAGTATTATTTTTGTAACTGTTCTGTATAAATGTTATAAACGATGTAAATATGTTCATTCAGGGCCCCATGGAAGACCACTACTTGCTGGTGAATGGGCTACCCTGTCAAAAGATCAGAAATAAATAAATAAATTAAAAAAAAATATGACCTGATTCTGATAACTAAAATCTTTTGCTTGTAAATACACAAGATAGGGGTTGATTAACAATCAAAGAAACCAGACTTTCAAATTGAAGACCCCCCGGAATGATATTAAGGACGGCATTTGTTCCCTCTTGAAACGCCGAACATACCGCTGTGTGTACAGCTGAATAAACAATGGCGTCTTATTTTGTTTACAAGTGACAGATTCCTTTATTTTTGTATCGCTGCATTTGTCATCAAAATAAAAACATGCACAGGGTTTAGAGTGAGGTAATTGATTATACATTTAGCCGTCGGTAGTGAAGTAAGAGAAAGTACTCAAGAGAAGATGAAAACACAGGCAGTGAAAATGTGTGAGATGTCATGGGACATCGTCTGCTTGTGCAAATCATGTCCATACTGTGATTTCACACATCTCAGCAGCGTTCGGAGAGCTCTTCAGGTGCTATGCCGGGCTGTATTTAAGCGTTTTGTAATTTATAATAATCATTACTTTGAATGTTTCCAAGCATTGAATTTTGATAACCTGGTTGAATCAAAGTTTCAACTTTGCAATAATGAAAATAAAGTTAGTTTTTAAAATCAATGAATATCTACTTTAATAAATCCTATCACACCTCCAAAACTTAAAAAAAAGATCTACATGTATATGGAATATATGAATTGTCATAACTTTGCATATCTCTCATTGTCTTGTATTTGATAAAAGTACATTTTAAAATGCATATTGATGCTACATTTGATCCCATACCATCATTTACATTCAATTCTATTCAATTCAATTCATATTTATTTCATTTGCAACAGAAAGGTAAACCAAGATATTACATTTTTTTCATACCTTATTCATTTTTTCTGGTAACTATACAATTACACTTTGCACATAATAACAAGCAGTCTTCACAAGTTGACAGTTGCAATATCATTGGAGAATAGTTATCATGCAATCACCTCCTCCTAATCTTCGATCAGCATTGTTACCATGGTTACCAAACTTATTCCACTTTATATTCCATATACTAAGAATCTTGCTCTACGATTGGTGTAAAGTAAATCATGTGATGAAAGATAGTTCGCCCATCATTGATGGGAAAAGCAAAAAGTTTGTTACACTATGGAGATAGTACTACTATCTACACAGTGCAACGCACTTTCACTGAAGATAGAGGTACTATCTACACAGGGCAACGCACTTTCACTGAAGATTATCTAAAAGCGCACTAAAACAGGCGTAATTAAGCGCGCATTACCAATGAGCGCAATTTAAACAAACACATGCGCGCATCGTACCCTCAAGGGGCTGGGTTAAACTGTAACTTTTTTGGTGTGAATTTGTGTCTTTTATACTGTGTAGATGCATACACGCCCTTTTCTTTTTGTAGTTAAATTGTTTTAGATGTGGAATATAAAGCAAATAATCACCTTTTGGTTTTAGGGGATGGCAAACTATCACTTCCTCGTTGATCAGAAAGTATACGCTATCTTTCCTCAGCTTCGCTTCGGAAAGATAGCTACATCCAGATCGCCTCGGAGGTGATAGTTTGTCCCATCACCTTCACCAACGGTAATTATTTGCTTACTATTGCTGATTGATTTAATGATAGTAGAACATATTTTATGTTCTAATCACTAAGTTACAGTTCTTCAGACATCTTCCCCCAAAAGTATGGACAATATATGAGAAATTCCACATTAATGAGTATACAAGTCATGATGCAAATAACCGCTTGAGCTGTTAACATCTTTTCTTACCCAACATAACATTCTTAAAGGAATAAAGTAATGATGATAATGATGCCTCTATTTCAGAGTGCTCAGTAGACTTTTATTGTCCCTCAGAGACTCTTGCTAGCTAGTAGCTAGGCATCCATATATGAAGTTCTTAGAGCATTATAGAAAATTGTTCTTTGCCAAGTTGCCCTTTTTCTAATAAAAGATGAAATGCCTGTAAAGGGTAGATCACTCAGTCAGTATATCAACTTGCAATGTTATGACTGAAGTAATGAGAACGAACATACCATATTGCAGGTAATCTCACTACAAATTTGCTGCTTCTTTTGTTAACCTTACCTTTTTCCTTTCTGACTGATTTAGACCCTTGAGGAGTCGAACCCAGCAGAGACCAGTAACTATGATGCGATGGTCCCAATAGTAGTCCGTAGTCCTGGTAAACATTCTGATCTGAAAGCAGGCGGAGATAGTGATGTAGAGGTATATACAACATGTACTGGTTTTCCAATGAGGATGTTGTGTGTGGTCCCAATGATGGTGTCTAGTCCTGGGACCCGTTTCACAAAGCCTCTTTTCAAAGACAAATGACAAAAACCAGTGACAAATCTGCTGATAACCAATCAGAAGCAAGGATTTCACTAGTTTATAACAAAAACTGTCCCTTGTCACTGATAACAAGTTTTATGAAATGGGGTCCTGGTATACAGTACATGCTGATCTCAAAGCAGGCTGGGACAATGATGAAGAGGTATACTAAATAATATCTTGATATATAGGTTTTTATCAGGTTATCCCAAACTTTCTGGACACCAAACAATGTAAGTTGAAATTTGGTTTGATTTGATTTGTGTGCTATGGTGTCAAATGGTTTCTGGAATGACAGAAACATTTTTGTAAAAATAATTTTTAAATGTTTAAAATCAGAGTCTTTAAAGTATGGTTTATTTGAGTTGTGAAACAGGTCTACATGGTATAGTGGATTGGTTCAAGAGAAAGATGACAGTGCTGAAGAGGGGTGGAGGCTAAGGATGCCTGCATGTGTACTGTATGACCTTTGATTCGTATTGCATATTGTCATGGGGAAACCAAAATATTAATTAAGTAATTACATTTGAAATGATAGCAGGGTTCAAAATGAGTGATTGCCAGGATGACATTGACCCCCAATTCCTGCCAGACAACCTATAACTAGTGTCATTGTTATTTGGTTGAAGCTCTATCAGTGTCTTTGGTATTTCTATATCATGTCAATTTGGTGTAAATGGCCACCAGAAATATAATTTTGGGAACCTAATCAATTGTGTACAGTGCTTGGCTAGCAATCTTGATTATAAGATAAGTAAGAGCACTGTGACGGTTACTGCACCGTCCATTGTTTGAGCTCATATTTTTGCTTTGTTCATCCATCCTACAGGATTTAGGTGAGATCGGTATTATCAAGCAGTTTCCATTCTCATCCAGTCTTCAGCGTATGAGTGTCATCACCAGGGCAATGAATAGCAAGCATATGTGTGTCTATACCAAAGGAGCCCCAGAGAAGATTGCTTCTCTCTGCCTTCCCGATACCAGTAAGGAGCCTTATAAGAGGTGTTACAGGAATGGGCAGGGATGGGATTTGGGAGGAAATATGTTGGATGAAATTTGCTTGTAAGTTGCATGATAAAAGCAAAATTTGTCAATAAGTACACCTAAGGAGCTCCAGAAAAAAATGCTTCACTCTGTTCATCCAACACTAGCAAGTAATTTTATCAGGGATGTCATTTTAAAATGTTTTTTTTCTTGGGAGGAGGGATGTCTGATAAGTTTGTGTTTGCCAACAAGTTAAATGGGGAAGGTGCTCAGAAAATTCTTCTGAAATTTGTCTACAGACTTTGAACAAGCTCACAAAAATGGTCTTAGAAGTTGGAATAGTTGCAGACAAAGATTAAAGTAGTCACAAGAATGACAAATATGCAAACATAAGAGGATTTCAAAATGTGTGATACATAGCTTAGTCATGCTCTCCGAGGTCAAAGCAGTTTAATGAATATGTTTTTTGTGAAGAACACAATGCACCTTTTGAAATTTTATGATATTTTTAGTACTCCACTATTTCAAATTTGTTCATCCCCTCCTCACTTTTGTCCCTATCATTAACCATCATCTCCATCATTTCTTTGTCTCTATCATTATTTTTTTCTCCCGCAGTTCCTAACAATTTTGAAGACACGTTGAGTTCCTACACTGCGGATGGTCTGAGGGTTATAGCGTTGGCATGGAAACCACTGGATACTTCATTGCAGTGGCACAAGGCCCAGAAAATACAAAGGTACCCTTGTTTATTTAGAGATGTTGATGTTTGTCATTACATTGTGATATTTATGCCAAGTTTCTTCATAACAAATTGTTAGTTTCTATGAGGTTTGAAATTTCTATTTTGAAATGGAAGAAAACAAAGCATTTGTTAATCATAGACTTTTATTTTGTGTTGTATTATTACTGTTATGAATATCAAATTCTGTCTCTCCTCTATTAATGGGTTACAAAAATATTCCCCAATCTCATGGAAGAGTGTATGTTGATGACATTGTAAACTTTATGCTTACTCTGTTTGATGCTATTGTGGAAGTGCTTTATATTATATAATGGCTCTTCAAAACTGTCATATTAGTGACATATGACTATTATACCTTATTATTAGTAGGACAGGTGTATCATCAGCCAATCAAAAGTAGTGAATAATCTGTTTCTTTCTTTTTTGTACCTTTGATTAGGGATGCGGTAGAGAGTGATCTTCAATTCCTTGGTCTCATGATCCTACAAAACAAACTCAAACCAGAGACTATTCCATCACTGCAGGAGCTTCATCAAGCCAAGATAAGGACTCTTATGATTACAGGTTAGTCACAAACAAACTCTTACTCTACTTACTCTTTATCCTATGGTATCATGATCCTACAAAACAAACTCAAACCAGCGACTATTCCAAATTAACCAGAGATTGTTTTGATTGTTCCAAAACTCTTTATTTCATGTTGCAGGTGACAACATTTTGACTGCAATCAACGTCGCTCGTAAATGCGAAATCATCCAGCCTGGGAAAAAGGTTGTGCACGTTGAGGCAGTCCCTCCACTCAACGGTGATAAACTGGATATCCAATATCAGACCGTCGAATTCCATAAGGAGACTGCAGAGGTGTCCACTAAGGAACCAATCGTAAGTTTATAGTAGCAATTGGTTTGGTTATGTCTTGGGGCTTGTATATGTCCTTGACTTGATGTTTGTTTTACAGGACGGAGTATGATGAAAGGATGTGCACAGGAATGGAAAGGCTTGCTCGATTGTGATGGTAGTAGTGGTGGGGGTAGTGGTTTTGATGAGGATGAAGGTGTTGATGATGTTGTTTTTCAAGATGATGTGTTTATAAGAAAGAGAGGGATTTGGAGGAGAAAGGTGATGATGGTAATAACAGTTTTTTGTATAGCGCATTTCAACTTCCATTGAAATGTTTTTAGTTCTCTGATGTTGATGACATCGTCAACCACTATACAAGTATATATCTCTTTTATATGGACTATTACAGGGGTCGAATGAAGTTTTCATTGACATAATGAATCAGAATAGGACGACGTATGCTATGGATGGCCAGACATTCGGTCTGATCAGAGAACTGGAACCAAATCTAATGGACAGGGTGAGTCAACATTCAGTATTTCAATTTATTAAAGGTAATACAAAGTTTTGGTATGGGAACATGAATTTGGTTCAAATGAACATATTGGAAGCATATGCGACCCTACAATATTCAGTGATTGTTGTCGGGGTTGAAATCAACTCTAAAATTATAAAATTGTAAATAATAAACTTTTCATGTTCAATGTTGTATAGCTCCCTCTCAAGGTCAAGATATTAATTAAGCTATAAAACAATGTTTCTTGACTAAAATCAACCAATTAGCTATTCCCGTTTTGAAATTATATATCACAACTACATATTCTGAGATTTTCATGGACACAGCTACCATTGTACGGCCATAGGCCCTATTTAGAATTTATCAAAATTTATCGGGAGCACCGGTAAATTGTTATATTCAATTTTTCTTGAAAGCAAAAGTGTTTTGAGGGCTAAATTTTCTTGTGCTTATAAAACATCCACAGAGGCATCCAATTATATCAAAATTGTAAAGAATCACTATCCACCAAATTTTCACAATTTCTCAAAACTTTGTATTACCTTTAAAAAGAAAGGAAGAAGAAAAACTTCAGAGTATAACATTGAACATATGGGTGTAACGGGATAAACTTTTTTTGTGAGAGATAATTCCTGACCATTCTTGTCTCCAAACTGTATACTTTTGTTCATTACAATGAGTAACTAACGGTATGACCATACCAACTATGTTTATTATATACTCATATCGAGAACAAACTATATTTTAATATTGTTTCAATAAGCTGCAGATATATTCCCTTCCCTTTTCCTTGTCTTTTGTAGTTAATTGTGAGTATCGGTTCATGTATCCCTGTAATCCCCCTTTCCCTCTTTCAGCGTGTATTTGTATTTTATAAACTTTACTTTAGTTAATTATGTTTTTTTTTAGTTTTAAGGAGCCTATTCACAACAAGCTCTGCTTTTCCATAGGCTCCGCCACTTTATCTCTTAAGTTAAACTTAATGGACAATATTCTGAATAGTGTGTACTGGCATTGTATGTACATGTATAAAATAATCATTTTCAATATGTTGTTACACTCTTTGTAAAATGAGATATTGTGGAAACCAATAAACTATCTATCTATCTATCTAATTTTGATGAGTAATGCATTATTATCAGAAGGAGCAAAGATTCAAATACATGTATGGTAATAGGCTGTGCTGCAGGTCATTCATGTACCTGATCCTACTTTGTTACTCTCTCCCTCCCTCCCTCTCTCTCTTCATCCTACAGCTTGCTGTCCATGCCCAAGTATTTGCGCGTATGTCACCTGACCAGAAGATGCAGCTAATAGACATCCTTCAGAAGCTAGAGTACCACGTTGGTATGTGCGGTGATGGTGCTAATGACTGTGGCGCCCTCAAGCTGGCCCACGCAGGGGTGGCACTGTCTGAGGCAGAGGCTTCTGTTGCTGCTCCGTTTACATCAAAGATTCATGATATCTCATGTATACCTGCTGTCATTAAGTGAGTTTGAGCCAAAAATGTTACTTGAAATGTGTCTTCTTGTAGTATCTTATAATAAGGGGAGGGGGGGGCATTAGTATTACTTTGATAGTCCATTTCAGAGTTTGTACACCACCTGAATGGCCCAAATGTCCCCAGATGTTGCTAACATGCAGAGGTCCCCAGCTCAGAATAATCATTCCTAAAGTAAAGGAAGGTTCTTGTATGGATAGCGAATATGTGGATTTTTTGTAAAAAGATTTGAAAAGACCGCTTACCCTGTGTATCCTAGTTTGTGCATCAATAAATAATGAGCACCTATCTAGCTTTGTCTTATTAATATTTACAGTTGGCAGACCTTCATCTGCTCATGCTACAGAATGGTGTACTTGTTTGTAAATGTATGATGAGAGCCAGAAGGACATAAAAGTCAGAGTCTATGAGTTAACACCCTTCTGACTCAGTAAATTTGTTTTCTATTAATGCAATTCCACTACCAAATTCAAGCTTAACTACTAAGCCACCCTGTTTTTCTTGATAAAACATTAATTCGTTATTTCTGTTGTAATCTGTCAGAGAGGGTCGTGCAGCCCTGACCACCTCCTTTGGAATGTTCAAGTTCATGGCTCTGTACAGCATGATCCAATTCACCACCGCCACCATCCTGCTGTGGGGGTTTGGCTACATCGGTGATCTCCAGTTCCTCTACATCGACATCATCCTCTCAACCGTGGTCATCCTCCTAATGGGAAGGAACCAAGCTTATCCTGTCCTCTCCAAAGTGCCCCCTCCTCCCCAGCTTATGACGGTCACCATTATCTTCTCTATGGTGTCAAGTGTGATCATTCAAATCATCTTGCAAGCCATTCTCTATGTGATTGTTCAGCAGCAGCCTTGGTGAGTATTGAGTTCAAGATTAGGGTTAGGTTTAGTGTAGGCTTAGTATTAGGGTTATCTCACTGTCTTCATGGTATAGAGTATAATAGATTACCTTGGTGAGTACAAAGTGTAGGGTTAGTGTTAGTATCGAGGTTAGAGTTATGGTTTTTTCCTGACATAACCCATTATCCTCTCCATGGTTTCTAGTATAAGCATCCCGATCATTCTATGGACAGTGCTTTATTTGATAGTTGAGCTACATAGTTGATGAGTATTTGAGTGTAGGGTTAGGGTTAGTTTTAGTTTTAGGGTGAGCTTAAATACCAGTCATCAATCTCTCTAGGGTGTAGAGTGTAGTTGTTCAAATTATCCTATAGGCTGTTCTGTATGTGGTTATCCAGCAACAGACTCAATGAGTAGGCATACAGTGAAGCATGTAAAGACCACTCTTTATATACAGGCTTCTTCAAAACATATTTCAGTTAAAAAACATTTTTAAAGCAAAATAAAATTTGGTCTTTGTGGGCAGATAATAATAATAATAATAAAAGTGGGTTCTTGTATAGCACTCATGTCTGTCAGACTTGACACTCCTGGTGTTCCTGATTATTACCTCGGCTTTAGCATGGCTGCCATTATGGGGCTCTAACATTTCAAGGAATTAATTCTTGCCAGGTACCCAGTTACATCACCTGGGTTGAGTGTGGCGTATGTAAATTAATGTCTTGCCAAAGGACATTGGTGCCGAGGCCGGACTCGAACCACAGACCTTGTGCTCCACAGTCTGTTGACGTATCCACTCGACCACGAAACCTGTACATATAGAAGAAAAACAAAACTTAGGACATACTTGATCGAGGGAAGTCTGTATGTTCAAGTTGTGAGTAATTTGCTCAGACTTTAGTAGTAATAATAGTCAAGAAGTGTTTTTATTCTAACTAGTACTGTTATTTCTGTTAATCATTTCTCTAGGTACAAGCCTCCTGTATACGATGACGATGGTATTTACATCCTGAGCTATGAGAACACAGCAGTGTTCATGTTAACATGTTTCTTATACATCAACTCGGCCATAGCATTCTCACCAGGGGCGCCATACCGTAAAGAACTCTACACCAACTGTAAGTCATGAATAACAATGAATGATGATAATAATATTCTGAATTTAGACACTCTTAATACGTCAACGATTATCTCAAAGCGCTATAAAGATATATTATTACCCTGGTCTTGGGATTCAGGCTTGTACACGATCAATTTATGTACACTCTCTATTTTCTGGGGACTGTTCCATCCAGGCACCATTTGACAGAAGCTCACAATGCTGAGCAAACTAAGATTGTAAATGTAGATTAAGATCTTGCCAAAGGACATCAGTGTTGGTGCAGTGGCTTGAACACACGACCTTCGCATCTCTACTCAAGTTTTTAGACCACCTGACTACGACACCTCTCGCATGGAGGTAGTTGGGCACAGAGACACCTCCATAGTTTGAAGTGAAATTACATTAAGTCCTGTTTATACATGAAATATAGAACTCCCTCAATTGCAGAAAAGGTAATTTTGTTTTCCTCATGCTTCTTTAACTGAAAGGGATAGTTGAGTTCTTGTTTAAGACCGCAAATCTCTTCAAAGTGCATGGTTATTGATCTTATTCTTATTTATGACATTTCTAGTGCCCTTTTAGAACCTAAAATTGCTATGAAGGTAATTTTAGACCCCAAAATGTGTGAGTTTAGATTGAATACCATCATTTCAATTCAGCTCCACTTTCAAAAAAATATGGTGACCGTTAATTTACTGATTAATTAATAATAACAATACATAGGCCGACTGGTTATACGTATAATAACCAACACAAAAAGCCAATAAAAAGCCTATGTTGGCATTGGCTGGAATAAAACGTATAAGGCGCTTTCTCGTTTTTCAACGGCTGGTTCAAAATTACCGAAGATTTGTGGGGCACCACAAATAATCAAAATGGTTATATTTATGGATATTTCAGCCGTCTCTGACCCGATTTTGATTAAACAAAGATGATTTTGTCATTTAAATTGTGTATTCTTTCAAATTTGACACTCAGTTTTCCATTATCTCACAATTTTTTTGTGTGTAGCGCTCCTGCAACAAAACTCGACTATCCCTTTAACCGTTTAAATTTATATGTTGTGTTTTTATAAGAAATAACATTACAGTGCATTCATATCCCATATCAGTATCGCAGCATCTCTATGACCTCAGAAAACTAAACAACAAAGGAAAAACAGGTGCTTTAATGGCCAAACCATAGCTCATACAAAACGTTTCTTAAACTAGGACAATTTGAGGAGGGTTTTTAACATGGATATAGTGGATGATTCCTTCATATGTGATGGAATAATGCTCCTAAATTGCAGGGGCTGCAGGAGTAAATGGCCGCTCCCTGTAAAATTTTGTTAATAATAATAAATATTAGGCCTGAGTCAAACCGTTTAACCGACGGTTATCCGACCGCATTTCTTGCTCCGTTTAACCGTTATTTGCATACATTTTGGAATGTGCTAATAGCCGATGATAAAGATAATCAAAGAAACCGCAATGTAATGTTACACCCTGTCCGCTGCGTGCCAGCTTTCTGGCAGCAGTAATCTCCATGAATGAATTTGTAAACAATAAAACAACCATGCCCTCTTCCCTATTTTCTCACCCTCTCTATTCCCTTCTCTCTGCAATGTGTTCATGTACCTTTTCTTATTACTGCACTCTCAGACAAGCAAAGTTCTAAATGTTTACACATTTGATGGTCAGTTCCTCTCACATCCCTTCTCCCCGAGTCTCTCTCTCTCTCTCTGTCTCTCTCTCTCTCTCTCTCTCTCAATATTAATATCAATCCCTTGCCGACTCGCCCCCCTAAAATAATGTTCATATATAAATAAAATACACAAATAATGATAACAATAATAATTGAAGTTTTAGAAATATCAATCAACAAAGTCTTGGACGTTGTGAGTAATTTAAGTTTTTGATCACACACAGCCACCCTTTCTATCTAGTCTCACTTGTCGTTCTTCTTCACTCTCTCATGTCCCTGCCTGGTCCATGCAGCTCTCTTAATACGGGGGTTTCTAAGCGCACAGGTGGTACTGTCACATGATTACTCTCCTGAATGAAATATAAAGCAGATACCTTCATTTTGAATCGGACATGAAATGGATTGATAAACTTGATTTATGTTTTGATTTATGACAGGGCCTTATTGTGTAGCTCTTTTACTCCTTTATGGGATGAATCTCTTCCTTCTGTTTGGGCCACCTGAAAAACTGCGAGAGGAGTTTGAGGTGAGTAAACCTTCATTTTGGAAACACTGTCTCATCACCGATTACATGTAGCTCTATTTCCCTCTCACAGTTTGGCTGGCTTTCTTTTTGAAGCCATACGCTCCTGTTCATGAGCCATGAATCCTACCTTTAAATTCTTCAGTTTCTGATCACAAATATTCACCAAACAATCTTTATTTATATATCTCTTGTACATGTTTGTAAGATTTATTGTAAATCAAAAGGCATGAATTCACCTTGTTTTTCAGAATACCTACACCTATTCTTTGGGGTTAGTTCTCCTTTAAGCATAGATAGAACAAGTAATCAAGGATTTGAGAGCATAAAGATCTAGAGGGAATTCCATGATTTATTAAAGTAATATTCTACTGCAGTGCAGAGCCATAGAAACACTGAAATTCAAGCAGAGGAATTCTTTTCTCTCAATTCTATCTGCAGCTGATGGACATCCCAGACTACGGGTTCAAGTGCATCATCCTGGCCTTTGCACTGGTTCACTTTGCTTTAGTTGAGATTATTGAGCTTCTCCTCGTTCCATGGAAGGCCCTCATGTCCTTCTTGACATGTCAGTGTCTGCGTCTCACGACCCTTAACACCTTCCAACGCCTCGAGATGGAAGAGGTCAATTTATTGTCATGACAACCAAGTGCTTCAATGTTTCTCAATATTTGGGTCACATTTGATGTTTTTTTATACGAAGACCTATTGGATGAGAGGATGTGCTCTGTCATGAAGAATGGCCAGTCATGATCTGTCTTACACATAATTATATTTTATGTCAAATTTGATGTGCATTTATGTGGAGACATTATTTTGGATTCAAAATGCACTACATCATCAAGTTTAAGGTTATCGTAAGGATTTTTGTATCAATCAAAGAATAGTAACTTTTTTAACCACTATAATATATTTCTTTTACCATTAATACTAAGAATACTGTATATTCTTTAAAGTGACAATTTTGTTGCATAATTTAGTTATTCTTGTTTCGTTTAAGTTCATCATGTAAATACATAAGAGTAAGACATTAATCCATTTTTATATTATAAATAATATTTTTTATACAACGGCTGATAACATTTTAGAAAGTGAAAAGCTAAATTTTAAAACAGACGTTTAAAAATAGTATTTAATCATTGCACAAGGCAATATTAAAATTAAAATTCCAAATTTTATATGCTGGAAAGAAGAAAACATAATGAAATATATTCACTATTTGTTTGAGGTAAGGGGTTCATATAAGTCCTTGAGCACAAATTCTTTCACCAGTCTACTTCTCTCATTTTTTCAGCCTGTCTCGTAGTTTTCTATGAAAGTTGGATTTACCTTGAAGGTAGTCTGTGAAGGTCAGTAATAGGGACTTTTAGATTTACACGACGAGAACGTGGACCGCCACGTGTGACATCCATTTAAGGTAATGTGACATCCTTTTAAGGCACTGCCCAGTGCCTTAACACATGCGGCAGTCCACGCTCTCGTCGTGTAAATCTTAAAGCCCCTAATGATATCAGGTTTTACAATGTATTTCATATAGTGATCTCATGTGATCCTGGGTCTGGTGACGTATCCTCTAGAACACCACACCTCATGTGATCCTGGATCTGGTGACGTATCTTCTAGAACACCACACCTCATGTGATCCTGGGTCTGGTGACGTATCCTCTAGAACACCACACCTCATGTGATCCTGGATCTGGTGACGTATCTTCTAGAACACCACACCTCATGTGATCCTGGGTCTGGTGACGTATCCTCTAGAACACCACACCTCATGTGATCCTGGATCTGGTGACGTATCTTCTAGAACACTACACCTCATGTGATCCTGGATCTGGTGACGTATCCTCTAGAACACCACACCTCATGTGATCCTGGGTCTGGTGACGTATCCTCTAGAACACCACACCTCATGTGATCCTGGATCTGGTGACGTATCTTCTAGAACACCACACCTCATGTGATCCTGGATCTGGTGACGTATCCTCTAGAACACCACACCTCATGTGGTCCATGATACATGTACCCTCTCAGTTATTAAACTGTCTTTTGATTATGGATGAAGTAATGGAATTGAAATGATATCTCTGTTGTGTTCAGCATTGTTACTCAGGCGATAACTGATTGATACATTGTAATTACCATAAACAGAACAACTGCTGAAATTGAAATAAATGCATATTATGTTGTTCCAATGATGTCAGACATGTAAGGTCACTCTCTTTCCTCTGCAAGTGACATTTTCAGAAAGTCAAGCATTGATCATGTGGGCCTCAACTTGATATTTACCATTCACATTGTAATGGATAATAACTTGAAGAAAAAAAATATGCTTGATATATGTAACTTGCAGAAAACATGTTGTGAATACTCTCACTGTGTTAGGGAGTCTATGTAATTGTAAGCTTTTCCTTTTGAAAATGTTTTTCAACAATGGCTGGAAAGCTAGATTTAATAAAATGGTCAAGATTATATAAACAACTGAAAGGAAAGCAATGAATCTCGACTATAATTGTATATTTGAATGGATAGATGTTTAGATGTAGCCTTCTGATATGGTTTCCTGTGTAACTAGCCTGGGAGCTAGATTGGAATACTCTCTAAATTCATTATGACACTGGTATTTTTTAATCTTGATTTTGCATGCTGATTCTGTGCCTTATGAAATATAATTGAATACATAAGTATAGAAAGTCATGTTTTAGAAATTAGCAATATATTGGTTGTAGAAGTATAGAATACACATATTCAACTAGTATGTAGTGTGTTAGCTATTGATAGATCAACTTTTTAAATTTGCAATTATGTATAAAGAAAAAAGCAACTAATATCATGTAATGCTTGACAATTGTAAATATGTTGACTTTGATGTCATGTAATCTTCAACAAAACTTTTAAATTCAAGCAGAAATAGCTAGTGCCTGTATAGCAATCGGAATATGAAGTAACAGAATAGCAAGATGAATGAAGATACATATATAGTCAACAACTCTTATTTAATGAAATATCAGTGAAAGTTGATTATTATCACTCAAATTGTATGAAAAATCTTCTGATAGCTATGAAACCTTCCTACTATCTGACCTACTATTAATTAATGTGCTAAGAATGATTTATGAAATGTTATTCTGGATGTCATAAAAGACTGATATACTCATTCAGGCAACTCAAACAGGGTCGATTGAGCTATAAGAGCCGATATCATTTGAGGGGTGAGGGTGCGAGTCAAAGTGAAGAAGAAGAAAAACTGAAACATAAATGTTACAATGTGACATGATACGGGTAAGTGAATCATATCAGCATTGGTTTACCCTGGTAAACAGGACCACAAATGTAGTGTAACTTACAGTACTGCCCTTGTGACAGTATATTTGTGTGTGATAGGATTTCTGTTATTCATGTAAAAACAACCATCGATTTATAGAATTGTGCCGACATTTCTTGTAATCCTTGCATTTTTTGTTTCCCTTTAATCTAGTATTTGCTTAGAGGCTTTTTCGGGAGTTGTGTAACAGTTCCTTTCCGGCTTATTCTTTTTTCCTCTCAACTTTTGATATACTTTAATATATAATATATGTACCCATCTATGTATTTTGTCAAGTCCATTATCAAATTTGAGCCACCCCCCCCCCCCCCCCTCACGGAAACCTTTGTCACCAGATGAATCATTTTGCTTATTGTTTTAAATTTTGAAAATGTGCCTTTACTTTTGATTTTTGTAAAGACTTGGAAATCATGCAATATATGTACATGTACATGTTTTGATTTACATGCATTCAATTTACCTATCTTCCATGAAATATTTGATTTATAAAGGTGAGCTTATTTTTAGGACAATTATAGTCAAAAGGAGCAAATTTATTTTGAATGAAAATGGAATGCACCAATATTATTCAATCTAATTTGATACATGTACAGTTAAAGATAAAGTTGAGTTCTGGTCATGCAATTGCATTGTAAAAGAAACAGTGTGGAACCGATCAAAAAAAGGATGATCATCTAACATGTAATTATTGGTGTGTACTGATAGGTTCTGATGGAATCATCAAAATGATAAGAAATTTGGCCCAGTCTTGGTAAAGTTACAAGCACTGTACACTGAAAGATGTATATGGGACTACACAAATATGTGGCGTAAAAATCTGTCCCGATTAAAGATCCACGCTTTTCAGGGAACATTTTTAATCTGATGTTCTTCCACACTTATATAATAACAATGATAACACACACAAATTATTTTTCACCTCTTCCCAGAACTCAACCTTCTCTTTAACTCTGCATAACTTTAAGTCACACAAGTCAAATTTGTTGTTGTTGACCAAACTGAAAAATGTATTACATGTATGTACACTTCACAAGTCAAACCATATACAGTATTTAAAGAATCAGGGGATTTCTCTCTCCTATGTGAAAATGGCAGATATCATAGCCTATGCGACTTTGAGCATGTATTTGAATTTAATTTTAACACATGGATGTCGAAACTACTACTGCCGATTAAAAATTAATTTAAAATTAAGTTATTAGTGATGTCTATACACTGTACATGTATCTATCATGCTTGCTTGTTACAGATGCTTTTTTTTCTTGCCCTATAGGAAAGGCTTTCGGGAAAATATTTGTTTGTCATAGGACATTTGAATTCTCCTGCACAACTCAAAATGTGCATGAGGTTGCTTAAAGGGACTTTGTAACATTGTTAAGATGAGAGATAGTGGTGCTAAGGTAGTGACTTCAATGCTAGATGTACAATTAAAGATAATCTGAAAATTTGAGCGAAAACGGACCATCATTCATGGTACAAATTGGGAAAAACTCATCCGATCGATTCCTTAATTCTCCCAACTATATTATTACAATTTAATTTTATTTTACGTGAATGGAAATCTCACAAAGCGATAAAATGGCTCTACATTCCATTCCAGACATTTAAGTGTTGACACATTTTTATAGCCTGTTTTTATGTCTTTTTTTCATGGAAAAACGGTTGGGAGAATTTAGATTCAGAAGCGCCGCACATCGACGCCCGTTCGAAAACCCGTTGAACTTTGTTAAAAATCTTCATATTGCGTGAATTAATTTCGGATTTGGGGCATCGTAGTTGGATAATCCATACATACAAACATAATTTTACGTGTTTTGCATCCTGATTCAACAGATTTGTGAAATCAACCATCACAATGTTACTTAGTACCTTTAAGCAGGACTGCACTACTTGCGCCCTCTATAGCCAACAATGCCTTAGTGATACCTGTTAATCCCCCATGGTCCCCTTTTTTCTTATGTTAATTGAGAGCCGATTTGATCAGATAACCACCTATCAGTGATGTAGGGAGGACTAGTGCAGATAAGCTTTAAGGAATGGTGGCATAAAAAAAAATTGTTGAAAATAATGTTTTTATCATATTGAGATAAAACGTTACTTTAATGGAGCTGGTATATGTATTACCTTGACTAGGGTTAATATTACTCTAGTTCAGATATGTAAAAAAAAAAAAAACTTTGAATTCACCAACATCTGTCATTATGCCTTTGGCATTCTTGACTCGTCTCTATGTCATTTTATTTCACACATCTCTGTAATGTTCTTTGAAGACAGGTGTTCTTCATGAATTTCATTTATAAAAAATTTGAATGAAATCTTGTCTGTTCATATTTTTGTAAGGATACGGGGCATTTCAATAAAGATGCATATATATGGAACAAGTCGTGTGTGGTCTGTGGAGTATATTTAATAATAATAATACTCAGTTTTTATATAGCGCTTACGGTATTAGAATCACTAAGCGCTTCCAAACTTGGAGAATATTACCCCAGCTTTAGCTATGCTGCCATTTTGGCGCTCTAGCATTTCAAAGAATTAATTCCTGCCAGGTACCCATTTACATCACCTGGGTTGAGTGTTGCAAATGTAGATCAATGTCTTGCCAATGGACAGTAGTGATGTGGCGGTTCTCGTGACCTTGTGATCAACAGTTTGGCGACTAAACCTCTCGACCGCGGCACCTCTATTTGTGATACACATGTATTTATCTTTCAGACTAGGAATATTGTAGAGTCTTGAGATCATGCTAGGAATTACCTATAGCATAAAAGGAATGGTCTTCAGTTCACAAAGGTATGAATTAGATGAAAATGATTTTCGTGCTCAAAACACAATTTATGCTGATGGTTCACAATTTCAACTGTGAAATTGAGTTCTTGATTCCAAACACGTATTTCATTTTCCATAATTTGGATGACGTGAAAATTACCCCAAATATCCAGATTTATTTTAAACATTTTTATGCCTCCGCTACAAAGTAGCCGGAGGCATTATGTTTTCTGGTTGTCCGTCCGTACGTCCCGTTCTCGTGATCGCGTTATCTCAAGAACCAATTGATGGATTCCCTCCAAACTACCTACAGAGCCAATGAACTGATTAGATTTTGCGCTCACAAGGTTGAAGGTCAAAGGTCACAGGGCTCATTATGTATGCAAAAATAGCTCGTGATCGCATCATCTTAAGTACCGGTTGATAGATTCCTGCCAAACTTTAGTCATGTATGTAATTAATAGAGCCAATGAACTGATTAGATTTTGGGGTCAAAGGTCACAGGGCTCATGATGTATGCACAAATAGCTTGTGATTGCATTATCATGAGAACCAATAGACAGATTACTATCAAACTTGAATTTTTTAAATTGCTCTATGGCGGAGGCATCATTTTCGACTGCGCGCAGTCGAAATTCCATCTAGTTTCTGATCCCATGGTTTTCCAAAGTTTTGTAAAACTTTTATTACTGTAGCTCCTGAAATATGACCCTTTCCTGAACTGTACGTGGCCTTTAACCTTTATGTTAATTTATCAAAGATAAAAAATGGTAAAATCAACCACATTCTTTTCACATGCATACATGTACGACAGATAATCATCTTTCATCAACATCCCAGTTTATTGCAACAATAGTCCCATGAAACAGACAGAACATCACTTCTTCACAAGCAAATACAACTTGAACTCTGTATCTCCACATCTATTCTATCAAGGATCACACATCCAATTATTTACTCTTCTCAAGACTTGCTTTCCTCCTATCTCCATCTTAAAAGTAATACAAAAGTTTTGGGAAATTTTGAAAATTGGGTGGACAGTGATTCTTTAGCCTCTAAAACTCTTCTGCTTTCAAGAACAAGGGAAACGCTCTCGGCGGTCTCGCCGGCATAACGCAATTCAATATGATAAACCAGAACATCAATGAGGTAGCCCTCGTCCGCATCTCGCAACAACAAATATCGTAAATTTTATGTGGTACACTTTTGAACTAGTCAAAAAACAAAATTTGATGCCCTGGAAGGGACATAATTTCATTTCATTTGCATAAAGTACCATAAATAATCAATGGAGCAAAATCTCAGTTCTGTGTAGAAGTTTAGTGTTCCAAATTTAGCTCTACCAGATAAGGCAAACCAAATTAAAATCGGTCAAGAAATGAGGGAAAGGAAGCAACTTTTGTTATTTTTGGAATAAATTTGCATAAATTACCATAATTAATGGAGAACAATTTCAAAATTCTGTGTAGAAGTAGTGTATCAAAGTTAGCTCTACGATATAAAGCAAACCAAATCAAAATCGGTCAAGAAATGAAGAAGCCTTTTTTGTGATTTCGAATAAATTTGCATAAATTAGCATAGATAATGAATTTCACGATTCTGTGTAGAAATTTTAAATCCCCCTCCCAGCCCTATCGTATGAAACAATCAGAATCAAAATCGGTTGAAAAATAACAATGAAGCATTTTGAAAATCTTGATGTTGATGCCACAACAAAGTCTAGGTTTGTTAACCTTAAATGACCTTTGACCTTAACTAAGTGACCTGAAATTCTTCTCACATGATTGGGGAGACTTGATAACCCTCTGGTCCAAGTTTCATTGACTAAGAACTTATACTTTCAAAATTATATAAAAAATTCAAAAACTTTCGATGATGATGCTACAACATAGTCCAAGTCTGTTGACCTCAAATGAACTTTGACCTTGACTTTGTGATCTGAAATTCTACTCACATGATTGGGGATACTTGATTACCCTATAGTCAAAGTTTCATTGACTAAGAACTTATACTTTAAAAATTATATCAAAAATTCAAAAACTTAACCTTGGGTTAAGTTTTTGATGTTGACGCCGCCGCCGCCGTCTCCGGAAAAGCGGCACCTATGTCTCGCTTTTTGCTACGCAGGCGAGACAAAAATTGAATATAAAAATTTACCGGTGCTCCCGGTAAATTTTGATAAATTTCAATTAACGCTAATTGTGCTATATAATTTCCCAACAAGAAAAGCTAATCGGTCAATTTTATTCAAGAAACATGGTTTTATAGCTTAATTAATATCTTGACCTTGAGAGGGAGCTATACAAATACAAAGAGTTTAAAATTTACAATTTTATAACTTCAGACTCGATTTCAACCGCGACAATGATCACTGAATATTATAGGATCACATATGCTTCCGATATGTTCATTTGAACCAAATTCATGACCCCATACCAAAACTTTGTATTACCTTCATGATATTCAATCAATCCTACACTGTACAAGTACAGTCTTTTCAAATGTGATACTCCACTTTTTTTTCAGTCTTCATCAAATTATTCCATGCATTCTATTCTCACCAGAGAAACTTTCTCTCTTCATATTCTTTGAGATTAAACTATTTTGTCAAGTCTGACATGACATCAAATCACATTTCCTCCATTCTTCAATTTTTCTCATCCAAATTATCTATCTCTCTTCAAAAAAACAATAACGGTATAAGATCAATATCTCTTCAAATCCAGTTTGTCGCAACATCCAATCCTCCATAACATCTACTTCTCAAAATCTCCACTACCAGACACTACAAAAACACATTTGCGGTCGATGTGAGTTTTGTTGTGTAAATAAATAATTTATTTACACCTGTGGACCATCACATACAAAACATCAGAAACTGGTTGTCTAGTAGCTTCTAAAAATATCACATTGCTCGAGTTCATGGACTCCTCAATCCACAACAGAGTTTGTGTATGATGTCAGCGACGATCAGGGTGGCGATGGCGCAACAGTTAATCGTCCTCCTCTTCCTCATCATCTTGGTTGATCTGGAAGTATCGGAGTTCGTAGCTCTCCTTGTTGGCAGCGACGACACGCAGCCAGTCACGAAGGTTGTTCTTCTTCAAGTACTTCTTGGTCAAGTACTTGAGGTACCTGATTGGACATTGACAAAACAACAAGTGAGATTGGCTTCATGAATATTTGGCATTATCTTGGCAAGCATTAAAACTATTGCATTAAAAAATGACAGATATCGTGTTACAATGTCGGTTTAAAGGCGTCGGTGAAGTTTTATTTAAACTGAATATTGAATAGCTGTGCAAACTCGATGCCTCTCAACTACAGTGAACAAATACTTCAGAACTATCAACATATTTTATAGTGCTAATTTATCTAGGAACTCATTTTAATCTCTGGTGTAAATTTTATTAGATAGGGTACCACACTTACTTTAATGAAAGGAATAATTTCAAGATTCTGTTAAAAACATGAAAATGTACGGCCTGTAATATATCTTGATGAACAATTTGATTGATTTGGGAGTTATTCAAGCCTGAGATTCTACCTCTTCCTCTGCTTGTTATCAAGCCCTTTGTAAATGTCTTTAAATCGAAACTGAAAACACATCTTTTTAATTAACTGTAAATCTAAGCATATCAGGAGCTCTTATAGCACAGTAGAATATATACTTAATGTTCGATAGTTTCTGCGCTCTATAAATGTATTATTATTATTATTATTAGTACAGTAAGCTAAAGACTCACCTCTTGGAGAAAGCAATCTCAGAAGTCACAGCGACCTTGCTTTTCTTACGCTCAATGACGATGTTGGTCGACAGGTTCTTGGTCTTGCCGTTCACCTTGATGCGTTCCTGAAGGAACTGTTCCTGTTGTCATAGTGAAATCAGGTCCAGTCCAAAGAGGAGATGAGAGAGATGATGAGGGGATGGAATAGAAGAGGGATGCTCCATATTAGGGAATGAGGCCCTAACATGATGAGAGCTTTGTTTAGGGAAGGTATCCCTAGATTGGATCAGGGAAGATCACCCTAAACCAGATTGGTGAAAAGGTTAATATTGATGTTTCATAGTGTACAATGTAACATCGCACAAGGCACGATCACACACAATACAAACAAGTAAAGATCAATTCACTCGCAGTAGTCGGTCTGTGTTGGATCGTTTCTAATAAGGTTGCCTAATTACATCCCTAACAAGTCTCTTTTTAATGGCCATCAGCAGGATCTATATGAACACCATCTAAATAAAGCCTCTACTTTTCTTCCTGAAAATGCAGACAGGTCATACTTCTTGATCTTATTACTCCTCGTTTCTTTTCTATTTTATCCCTTTTTAGAGGCTCAAAGGTGACATGAGACCATACCCCCTGATATTTGATCTCTATTTCAAGTACAACCATACATAAATAGCTCATTTAGTATTTATCACGAAACACTTTACCCATTTGTAAGTTTATTTGTCTTTATCATTATTTGCATCGAATACTTTGGGGCATGTGGCTGAGAGAATGACCCCCCCCCCCCTCCCGTTTCTCTTTGAGGTGAGAGGGGGGGTGGGGATGAAACTTACAAAGTTGGAGGCATCCATGATGCCATCTTCCACTGGCAGAGTGCAGTCAATGGTGAACTTCAAAGTCTGCTTCTTCTTCTTGCCTTTTCCAGTGGGGCGACCACCCTTCGTTGCTGTTTTCTGTAAAATTGAAGAAAAATATGAAGAATTAACATTTAGACTAAGCCCGAGTCATTACGGTTTTTGTGCTAAATGTTTAACCGTTAAAAGTATACGGGCAGTTTCGTTTAACCGTTTAGTAATAATCTGAAAAAGTGAAAATACAGTATTTGTAATAGTGCTGTAGCTCGGAACCCTGCTGGTCTTCAGACTGTCGGGCTGAGCATTCCGAGCCGGACTATGGCACAAATTGGGTCATCCTGATAAACAGAGACCAGTAATAAACAACATAAAACATGTCTTATTATTCCTCATCTGAAATCATGATTAACCTTGCAAAGTTACTCTGTGAAGATAGCTTGATATATATATGCCTTTGCAATGCAATGTTTGCACGTGGTCAGGGAGAGAGCTCCCTGCATGTATCATTGCCATATGAAATTATGTGGAAGTGTGTATCACACACACCCAAGACACACCCTGCCATGAGCTGATCCAAGGTAGTGATTATGTGGAAGTGTGTATCACACACACCCAAGACACACCCTGCCATGAGCAGATCCAAGGTAGTGACCAATCAGGAAGGTTCTCTAGCTATGTGGGTGGAGTTTGATACCAGCATAAATTACAGGTTGGTGACCGCGCGTGCTTTCACCGTACCCAGTTCAGTGGGAGGTCAAGAAGCCACGCCCACATGTGTGCATGTGACAAGCATGAGCTCTCCATCTGTGTGTATGTAGTGTATTTGGGCACTGGAGGTTTGTGTGTACATGTGTGTGACTGAGAGAGCATGCATAGGCTAGCATGTCCCTGCATGGACCAGGCAGGGACATGAGAGAGTGAAGAAGTAAGACAAGTGAGACTAGATAGAAAGGGTGGCTGTGTTAATCGGCTGAATTGAAGAATGATCAAAAACTTAAATTACTCACAATATCCAGGACTTTGTTGAGTGATATTTCTAAAACTTCAATTATTATTGTTATCATTATTTTTGTATTTTATTTATATATGAACATTATTTTAGGGGGCGAGTCGGCAAGGGATGAATATTAATATTGAGAGAGAGAGAGAGATAGGGAGAGAGAGACTCAGGGGGGGGGGGGGAGAAGGGATGTAAGAGGAACTGACCATCGAATGTGTAAACATTGAGAACTTTGCTTGTGAGAGTGCAGTAATAAGAAAAGGTACATGAGCGATGAACACATTGCAGAGAGAAGGGAATAAAGAGGGTGAGAAAAGAGAGAAGGGGGCTGGTTGTTTTATTGTTTACAAATTCATTTATGGAGATTACTGCTGCCAGAAAACTGGCGCAGCGGGCAGGGTGTAACATTACACTGCGGTTTCTTTGATTATCTTTATCATCGGCTATTAGCACATTCCAAAATGTATGCAAATAACGGTTAAACGGAGCGAGAAATGCTAAACGGTTTTGATGAATGCAGTCGGATAACCGTCGGTTAAACGGTTTGTCTCAGGCCTAATTTAGACATCCTTAAAAAAAAATGATTACATCCGATAATACTAGGGGTGGAAAGATTGCTTTACCTTTCTCAGTTTTCACATTAGAAGGGAGTCTTGACCCTCTCCTCCCCAACCTGAGTGACTTGACATATTAGTAGGGTGTCTGATCGCACACTCGGCTTTGTGTGCTTAAAACCCTTCCTATAGATAGGGACACTGATTTTCCGCGATCACGGAAAACGGACAGAATTCACGGAATTGACCATTTGAAACGGAAAATGCAATTTCGAACAGAAAATCGCCAGAAACTCGCGGAAAACCCCTTTTACCTCAAAACTTTTCATTTTTCAAGAAGAAAATCGTAAAACCTACACTATTTTTGTGACTCGTTATGCAGTGAAAAAATATTAGGCCTCAAATCATGGTTAATAATTCTGAATGTTAAGCGATATTCGTCAGATTCTTAGGAGACCGGGCGCTGCCATTTAGTTTCGCTACACCAATAGAGATCGTGACACAAAACATGGTACAAATAGCGGCGAAACGATCCTATCATGCCAGCTAGGCGCCTAGTATTACGTAGACGTAATACTAAGCACACACACGCCAGCAGCGGGCGCTACGTGCGGCCAGATTGTACACACGCTGTTGTACAGTTCGAAAAAAGGGCTGGCATGTGCGCCTAAAATCGATCGATCGGGACTCAGTTTATTGCAGAGGCATTCTCTGTGTACAATGTGAATGCCTGTGTGCTGCAGTGTGTGTGTGAGCTAAGCTGTATACTTCTTCTACTTCTACGACGATACTCAGCAGGATCCATAAGTCAGGATGTAGTGCTGAGGAATAAACTATCTAGTTCTTGATACGATGTGATGGCTGTGTGTATGGGCTATTGTGTACGATTTGAATGAAGTGTTTGGGCTGAGTTGGGTGATTGGTACACGTGTGTCTAATGTGTATGTATGCCATTCTATAAATAATTGGAACTTCTCCGGCCGTGTTTGAGACTTTGCAGGTGTTTCCTTTCCCTTCTTTCTCTCTCTCTTTCTTTCTGACATAAAATCTGCCTTACTGGCCTGATGATGAAAAAATAACAAAACTACTTGCTATGTAAAGAAAGAACATAAATACATCTACTAATCTACAATGAACACAAATACTTTTTTTGTTTTACCTCGTTAGCTCTCGTCAAGAATATGAATGGGAATTACTTTCCCAAAAAGAATTGGACTTTAGCCAGCAAATGAGCAATTAACCTTAACAAAATTTGTTTATTTATTTCTGCACATTCTGGAATAAAATAAGATAAACAATTTGGGATTAACCCTGTAAGTTGGGGCTCTGATCGGAGCGACACCTCGCAACTTTGATTGGTATCGGATCGGAAGATCAAGAACAAAAAAAAATCGGCCGATTTTTTTTTTTTTTTTTTAAATGACGAAAAATTTTAAGTTTTTGGCTATCAAATGCTTAAAAAAAATTCATGGCTGGGATAATTTTGTAATTTAGAGTTGTTGTAGACCATGTTTTATGATATTTAGTGCCTTTTCATGACTTTGAAATTAATAATGTTGGTCTAAGAGCAGAGGCAAAACATGTGGGCCGCCATCTTGGATTATTAATGTAGGTATTTTTTTTTTTTAATGACGAAAATTTTCAAGTTTTTGGCTATCAAATGCTTTAAAAAAATTCATGGCCGGGATTATTTTGTCATTTAGAGTTGTTGTAGACCATGTTTGTTGATATTTAGTGCCTTTTCATGACTTTGAATTAGTAATATTGGTCTAAGAGCAGAGGCAAAACATGCGATTGGATCTTGGATTATAATGTAGGTATACATTATAATCCAAGATGGCGGCCTGGCCTTAACAGCTGGATTGCCTCTTTGAAGAGCGTCCTGCGCGAACATATTTTGAGAACCATTGTCGCGAATGAGTTAAAAAAAAAAAATCCCAGAAAAAAATCATGAATTGCCATGACAATATTCATTTCAATTTTCAATGTTTCGGAGGCAGTTATCGACATAGCGAGCCAGTTTTCGACCGCATGTACAAAGTCAATAGGAAGCGCGCTGATCTATAGCACTAGCGGGCGGAGCAGGTATCCCACGCCGGAGCTCCCCGGTGCTTGCCAGGTCGGAAACTAGCTCTGCGTTGATCGGAAAAGTGGAATCTGAATTAGACAGAGATATAGTATGAGCGTTGCGGTGTCCGGCTGCACTGATGTAAATACATGCTCATTTTATGTTACCCATATTTCTTACAGACACGCGTACGATACTCGATATTTAAGTAGGGTGTCTGATCGCGCACCCGATGTTGTGTGCTAAAATTCTTCCCATAGAGATTACACGCATCCCTATGCAGTCTATGTGCATTGCGCGACCATGCAAAAAAAGTCAATTTTTTTTTTCAATTCGAGCTTCAAACCTTTATCTGTTAAGATCCTGAAGGTGATACTCAATAAATGAGGTGTCATATGAAAGAGCAGGTGAATTCCAATATTTCCAAAGGGGGGTCACCCCCGAAAAACTAAAAAAATCTTGGTCAAAACAGCAATTTAAACATTGTGTCCTGGCTAACTCTGAGGTTTGTCACTTTTGAGATATGACACCCCGATCGATAAGTAGTCCTAGTCCTAAGGAATATATCTATGTACTTATTTTTTCGCTAGCCCCCAGGGATCACAGCTGACTACAGTTTGAAAATATCCTTCTCCACATTTTTCGGATCAGCTAATTTGGGAGGCGTGAGCTCCGCTCAGTCCAAACCATGGTTACATCGCGTAACATCTGCGCGTATAGTGAATGAAAGTATGTATAGCCGTTCGCACAATAAACCCGGAAGTGAATGCACGTTATAGTCAATAGCAATATCGCGGAGACAACGTGCACGTTGTCTCCTCGATATTGCCATTGACGGTAACGTGCATTCACTTCCGGGTTTATTGTGCGACGAACGGCTAGCCATACTAGTCAATGGCACATGTCGCGGAGACAGCGTGGCTCAAGCTGCAAGTTGCGCATGACATGCGTACGCTATGCATACGCTTGCATATCGCGCGATACAGCCGTTTGGCTAAATTTTGCAAAACAACTTAACTCGTGTACGTCTTTTTCATCGATTCTGATCAAAATGCTATGAATATTCCAGCATTTCGGAGGGGCTGTATCTTTTGATAAAAACATCGGTGAGACTTGAAATTTGAAATGTATTGTTCTGATTACATTTTTAATTCAAATATCAAACCAAAATGGTGAAAAACAATCCCAAATTGAAATTGAAAAATCGTTCAGACTAGTGCTGTAAGTCAGACGCTATGTTCGTGTTCGGTTCAGTTCAGCAATTTTTCACCCGAACTTGGTTCGGTTCCGGATTCGGTAATATAATAAACAGCAGCATTATAGCCACGGCGGTCGGCACTGGGCGGGCCGGCCAGCCTGCCAGGCCCAACCAGCACGGAGGACTTCTGCACACTGCTTCCGACCAGCACAAATTTCACATTAAAAAACTGCTCTAAACGTAATTATTTGGGAGAAAAATACTACTTGCATTCGTATTTCCATCTTGAATCATGTTTTCTATTTGTCAATAAATGATATTCTTTAAAGATTTTCCGAGACGGTTGTTGTCTAATGTTAAGTCATGAAAGCTGCCATCTTGAATAGAGACTCGGGCTCATCAGTAGGAAAAATATGAAATCCCTATTTTTCCTGAATAAATAAATACCATACTATAATATATATTTATTTCATTATTTATATTGTAAAATTTGTCCGATATTGTTACAATTAAAATATTATTTTTTTGTTGAATGGGTTTGAGCTGAATTTGTTTTGATCACACACATGTATTCTTGTTTATGGCTTGCGATCGCGACCTAGCATGGTCAGGATTTGGGATTTAACTGGCGCCAGTGAAGTCGCGCCCACCACTGGATAGGCATAAATCACAAAGGCGGAAAATGGGAAAAAAGTAAATATAAAATGAGCAATCATGACATGAAAATTAGGTACAAAATGACAAGTTTATTAGCTTGCAAAAACGTTTACTTTTTCTGCCGAACATCTGAACCAGGCCTTTGCGTTCGGTTCGGTTCGGTTAGAAGTGCAATATTCGGCGAACTTCCGTTCGGTACGGCGGTTCGGCTACAGCACTAGTTCAGACACCCTAATTTAAGATTCAGGTAGCGGGACCGCAGATTACATTGCTAAAATGTGATATTTTAAGATATATTTTCCATTGCAAATGTGGTTCTTCTGTGACTCTGGCATGGTATGGTATGTGAGGGATAGGTCTATGTGATATGCTATTATGCGATGTATTTTAAAGGGATCGTTTAACAATGTGAAATCTGAGATACACGGCCCTAAGTGTTATCAGTGTCTGTGATATGGTGTAATATTGAAGCCCTAAAAAAATTGCGCTTCAAAATGATTAAGAAGTGCCTCAAGAAAGTAAAAATCTTTGAGTGACCGGTTTTACCATACTCGTTTTCCCCAATAGACTGTAGTGTTATGAAAACCGTCAGGCGAACGGTTTTCAAAATTTGTAATTCCAATCATTAATATCTCGTTAATCAGACAGGCGATCGGCTTGTAAAAGTCATGGGGCTCCTGACTGACCTAAAGGTTTATAATTATCATTGCATCATGAGCTAAATCCAGAATTTTGTTTCAGAATCTGAGACAAAGTTACCGGATCCCTTTAAAGGGATTTTACCATGCATCCAATGGATCGGCCGAAAACTGGAGAGGGTCGATTACCCCCTCCTTTACTCTAGACCTAGACCTAGAGTAAAGGAGGGGGTAATCGACCAGCTTCAGTTTTTGGCCGATTGGTTGGATGCATGGTAAAATCCCTTTAAAATACATCGCATAATAGCATATCACATATCCCACACATACCATACCATGCTAGAGTCACTGAAGAACCACATTTGCAATGAAAAATATATCCTAAAATATCACATTTTGGCGATGTAATCGGCGGTCCCGCTAACCGAATCTGAAAAATCAAGTATCTTACGGTGTCTGTAAGAAATATGGATACCATAAAATGAGCTTTATTTCAAGTATTTTTCAAATTAAGAGCCCGATTTTGTGCTGGTCGCAAGCTCAAAGGTGTCTTACCGCATGTATTAAATCAATGCAGCCGGACACCGCAACGCACACGATATCTCCGTCTAATTCAGATTCCAATATCCGATAACCACAGTACTAGTTTTCGGCCTGGCGAGCTCCGGCGTGGGATACCTGCTCCGCCCGCTAGTACTATGGATCAGCACGGAGACGCACAGCGCGCACTTCCTATTGACTTTGTACATGCGGCCGAAAACTGGTTCGCTATGCCGATAACCGACTCTGAAACAGTGAACATTGAAATGAATATTGTCATGGCAATTCGTAATTTTTTTTCTGGGATTCTTTTTTTTGTTTAAATAATAATATTTGCTTCATGATTTGAACAAAAAATGATAATAAATAGGAAGTTAAGGGTAAAAAAAATAGGATTTTGTCTTAAGTGGCCGAAAACCGGCTCCTTTACTCTAAAAATTTTTTTTTTTAAATAAATATGTGTTCTAGTCTAGACCTATTCAAAACTAAAAAGACTCTTGAAATGATCTTCATTCTTTCTTGCATTAAAATAAATAGAGAAAAGGAGCCGGTAATCGGCCAGCTCCAGTTTTCGGCCGATTGGTTGGATGCAAGGTAAAATCACTCTAAAATACATCGCATAATAGCATAACACATATCCCACACATACCATACCATGCCAGTGTCACTGAAGAACCACATTTGCAATGGAAAATATATCCTAAAATATCACATTTTAGCGATGTAATCGCCAGTCCCGCTACCCAAATCTGAAAAATCGAGTATCTTACGCGTGTCTGTAAGAAATATGGGTACCGTATTTGCCGGCGTATAGGCCGCAGTATTTTTGGAAGAGAAAATATCAAAAAGTCGGGGTGCGGCCTATGCGGCGAAAGAGTAATTTTTTTTTTTTTTTTTTTTTTTTTTTTTTTTTTTTAGTTTCGATTTATGGCGCTATGCCTGGCAATGTCTCCCAGCTCAGTAATTAGTGTGTTGACTCACCACTCGGAAACTACAACAACACTAAAATTTGACTGTCATCTTGGTTTGAAAGTAATCTTTCTAATAGATCTCAATATGTAGTTTATAATAATAGTTCCTCAAATTTTTTTCTATAACAAATGGTGTACCACAAGGTACACCACTGGTACCATAGGTACTTTATTGTTTTTAATTCACATTAATGATCTTACACATTCTTCTAAAAACGACATTGTTACTATTATTTCTGACAAGTTTACAAGCACAAATCAGCGCCTTTAACTGCACCTCGATGTTAAATGAAGGTCCTTCCACGCGTGGGTTTTCGGCAGCAAAACAACAACAAAACAAAAAAACAAAAAAACACGATCCAAAATCGGGGGTGCGGCCTATGCGGGGGTGCGGCCTTTACGCCAGCAAATACGGTACCTTAAAATGAGCTTTATTTCAAGTATTTTTCAGATTTAGAGCCCGATTTTGTGCTAGTCGCAAGCTCAAAAGTATCTCATCGCATGTATTAAATCAATGCAGCCGCACACCGCGACGCACACACGATATCTCTATCTAATTCAGATTCCAACTTCCGATCACCGCTGTGCCTGTCTTCGGCCAGGCGAGCACCAGGGAGCTCCGGCGTGGGATACCTGCTCCGCCCGCTTGTGCTGTACATCAGCGCGGAAACGCACGGCGCGCGCGAGCGCTTCCTATTGACTTTGTACATGCGGCCGTAAACTGAAACGCTCGGCCGATAACTGGCTCCAAAACAGTGAAAATTGAAATGAATATTGTCATGGCAATTCGTGATTTTTTTCTGGGATTCTTTTTTTGTTTAAATAATAATATTTGCTTCATGATTTGAACAAGAAATTATAATAAATAGGAAGTAAAGAGTCCTAAAAATAGGATTTTGTCTTAAGTGGCCGAAAACGGGCTCCTTTACTCTAGATCTAGACCACCGTTCTAAATCTCTCTGATTAATTATTATCTGAATGAAATAGTACTAGTAGGGTGTCTGATCGCGCACCCGATGTTGTGTGCTAAAATTCTTCCCATAGAGATTACACGCATCCCTATGCAGCCTACGTGCATTGCGCGACCATGCAAAAAAAGTCAATTTTTTTTTTTCAAATCGAGATTCAAACCTTTATCAGTTGTGATCCTGAAAGTGATAATCAATGAATGAGGTGTCATATGAAAGAGCAGGTGAATTCCAATATTTCCAAAGGGGCGTAGCCCCCGAAATTCTAAAAATATCTTGGTCAAAACAGCAATTTAAACATTGTGTCCTGGCTAACTCTGAGGTTTGTCACTTTTGAGATATGACGCCCCGATCGATAAGTAGTCCCAGTCCTAAGGAACAATTCTATGTGATTATATTTTCGCTAGCCCCCAGGGATCACAACTGATAACAGTTTAAAAATACCCTTCTCGCTATTTGGTGGATCAGCTAATTAGGGGGCGTGCGCTCCGCTCAGTCCAAACCATGGTTACATCGCGTAACATCTCCGCGCACGAACGAAACCCCAAATTCAATTACACATTATAGTGACTGAAATTATGGTTGGCAATTCCCTCGATAAACCCGGAAGTGAATACACGTTATAGTCAATGGCAATATAACGTGCATTCACTTCCGGGTTTATTGTGCGACGAACGCCAACCATACTAGTCAATCGCACATGTCGCGGAGACAGCGTAGCTCAAGCTGCAAGTCACGGATTGGCTTAGCAGAATGCGTACGATATGCATACGCTTGCATATCGCGCGATACAGCTGTTTGGCTAAATTTAGCAAAACAACATCACTCTGCGTGGACGTCTTTTTCGTCGATTTTGACCAAAATGATATGAATATACCAGCGTTTTGGAGGGGCTGTAACTTTTGATAGAAACATCGGTGAGACTTGAAATTTGAAATGTATTATTCTGATAACATTTTTTATTCAAATATCAAACAAAAATGGTGAAAAACGATCCCAAATTGAAAATTGAAAAATCGTTCAGACACCCTAGTACTAGATCTAGGTGTACATGGTGTAGAGGTCTAGTAATGAGTAAATAATGTTGACTTTTATAAATATTTTCCTGGAAATATAAGTAGAAATTTAGTCTCGCTCTCCACAAGCATGACAAGTTCATTCATTACACAACGCCACTGCCACCAAACTGCACATCCACAGCACATCGCGGCGCGCGCTTTCCACCTACGGCAACCAACACACATGGCCTCCGCATCACGATTCAGCACCAGACTCATCGTGAACACCCAAATTCATCAACCATTATTACACTTAACCAGTGGTTATATTAAAATCTGAAGTGGATAATTCTTTTCTATATCAAAAAATCTTTTACAATATTACTTTGGGGTCCTAAATTTTATCAAGTGGAGCCTAATTTAGGCGCTTTTCATTCCCGTAAAACTTACCCCAGGCATGATTTTCGGCAATGCAATAAAAGAGGCCAATTTAAGGAATCTTACTTCATAAGTACATGTACGTTTATTAATATTCAAAATATAAAATTGAAGTAAAGAAATCTGAATTTATTTGTAAAATTATATTTTATTAATTGCAAACAAATATTTATCAAATCGATTTAACCACGAAAATAGGATTTCAATGATTTTTAATTTCGAAATTTAAGAGATGTAAAGAATTGAAGTTAGCAACAGAGATTGGAAGCCGGTCATTGCATGCCTGCTTGGCAAACTTCACTTTTTACAGATCAGTGAGCCGAATTAAGGAGCTGACTTATTTGTGATCTGTTATTATTGTATATTGTTGTATGTTGGAAGCTTGTCGAATAAAAATCAATCAATCAATCGAATGGCAAATAAGAAATCCATTGCGGGTAATTTTGAAAATTTAGTCAGGTTCCGAGGGATCGGAGGGAATTTCAAGTGCCCTTCACCCCAAATTTCCAACCTTAATCCAAACAAATCTAAAAGAAAACACAGAAATCAGAGAAGCTGAGTGGACTACCCTAGTCTGAATGAAATTGGACAAAAATAAGAAAGCTATGAATTTTTGGAAAAAGTTGTAATCACTACGTATGGGAACATCTGAATCGGTATATCACAGTGATGACGAGGTGCGCCCTTTTCCCCCATTTGTTTTACAATAAGTTACTAAAATGTCATACAATTTGCCATTTTAAATGGAATATGAGGGAAACTAGCCGTGCACGGGTATTTGCAGGCTATGTATTTCCATTCTTTTTTAAAGACAAATTTAAAGTTATAGCTATATAGCCTATAGAGGCCCGTAACGCCTAATTCAGCAGTATAAAGGCAACTTTAGACCAAAGAGGGGGCCAAATTCTCGAGAAAATATTTAGTGGCGAATTAGCCAGCCGCGGCCAATAAGCGGGGATATGGGAAGGGGGGCAGGATCACTATCCCCCCTAATTCGTGAAAAAAATCATTAGCGCCGAATCATCTAGCCGCGGTGAATAAGCGGAGGGGGGGGGGGGGGGGTAAGAGCACTATTTTTTTTTGCTCAACGGGGGGGGGGAGGGGGGCTAGGGTAGTGAGCACTATTTCAGTTTCTTCTCATCACCCACCCCCTTGAGCCAGCTAGGAATGGTGGCCCGTCTTCTTCTTTTTTCTTCAAAATAAGTTAAATTTACCTATTTTGGGGGCCAGCTAGGGTAGGCCGCCCCCTCCCCCCTCCCCCAGGTCCGCCACTGATAACACGCCACTGAACCAAAACTTCCACAAGGCTGATGTAAACCTTTTAGGCCCTACAGCTTTACAATACATGGGTTAACCAACATTTTAACAATGATTCTTGAAAATTAGATTTGTTGACATGCAGGTGTATTGGCCAGGAGCGGCCGAGCGACTTCCATAGTGGGGGGCACCAAGAATAAAGGCACTTTCTGGAGGAAAAAAAAGGAATCTACAAAGGGAAATCTCAAAGCGAAAATATACAATTTGTTAGACATTGGTATATACCCCTACATTATCAGGGATGATTTCAACATTTGTTTCACTTTATACACCATACATCTTATAAAGAGGAAAAACCCAATCCAAATGGGGTTATAAGCACATTCTCATAACGGAAGACTGAAAAGACCTTTGATAAGTAACATAAGTATAATCATCTATATAGATGCGTGCGAGCTGAGCGAGCGAGCTTTGGGGAAAATTGCTCTTAGTAGCATGAAATTAGCTAGGGCGGGTTTAATGATGAGAGAAAAAGGGGACACTTATCAGGAAAGAAAAGGGGCATGTGTCAAAGCACAAAGGGTAATTATCAGAGGTGAAAATGGGGCACTTCTTACACCCTCAAAAAAAGGCACTCACCAGGGTTGAAAAATCAGTCATGAGAATAGGAAATGGGCATTTATCGACGGAAAAGGGGCACCCATCAGATTTTGATAGGGGCATTTATAAGATATTATTATATATTGTTAAAAGGGAAATTATCCGACAGAGGTGAAAAGAGGCACTTATCGCACCTGAAAAGGGGCAATGACCAAATATGAAAAGGGACACTTATGTGAATAAAAAAGGGGCTCTTGTAATAAAAGAAAATGTGCATAAGTTAAAAGAAAATGGGCTCCGATCAGATTTCAAAAGGGCATTTATCAAAGGTGAAGGGGGCACTTACCTGAAGTGAAAAGTAGTAACTTCTCGTACCTGAAAAGGGTCATTTACCAGAAAAGCGGGGCACTTATGAGAAGGGGAAGGGGCTATTTTTATGGGGCACTTATCATTAGGAATAGGGGCACTTATTAGAAAGGCAAAAGGGTACATGTGAAAATATAAGGTGCGCTTATCCGAGTTAAAATTGGGTTAGTTATTAAAAGGGGAAGGGGCACTTCTTACAAAGAAAAAGGGGCACTTGTCAAAGTAAAAGAGGCACGTACCTCTCAGATTTAAATAGGACAATTATCAGAGGTGAAGGGGGCACTCATCAAAAGAGTAAAGAGGCACTTCTCGTACCTAACTATGGGCACTTATTATAGAGATTAAAAAGGGCACTTATGAGAATGGAAAATGGAAAGGAAAAGGAGCACTTGTCCAAATAAAAGGGGCACTTATCACAGTTGACAAGGGGAAGGGGCACTTTTACAAATTAATAGGGGCACTTGTCAAAGTAAAAAGGGCACTATTCCTATGTAAAAAGGGTCACTTCTTAAACAGTTAAAGGGGCACTTTTCGGGTGCTTGAAAAAGTGGGGGCACTGTGCCCCCTTGCCCCCCCCCTCCCCTCCCCCAGAGGGCCGCCTCTGGTAAAGGCCTATTCATTTCTGCAAACATCTTACTTGCACTAAAGTGCAAAAGAACTGAAATTCTTCTTAGCGAATTTTAAGTGAAATGAAATATCTCTTCCGGGATCTCTTCTGAGAACATTATTAGGCTCCGTTTATCACATGTAGCTTTATGTAGTCCGATTCATAAACCAATTCAGTTCCAAAATGACCATTGATGCAGCCATATCCGAGACCTGTGACTAGTGGTAGAAAATAACCAAGAATGAGTACCAAACTAGTAGTTAAAAACACTATTTTATGAGATTATGAACGGATAATAGTTAAATTTTACCCCACCCCAAATGCAATATATATAGAGTAGATTTTTAACTACTATAGTATATACCAACAAGACGCTAACTCAGCGAGGCCAGTGAAAAAATACGGGGAAGTAGCAAAAATTATGCTCAATCACCAAAAATTATGCCAAACCAACCCCCAAACATCGATTTTTTATCAGGAAGTATTTTGCGAAGTATTTTTCAGAAAGCAGACGATTCATTGTATACTGTTTTCGACTCTTAATCCTTGTCTAAATGGAGTTTCCCCCTCCCGCGCGAAGCGCTGAAGCTTTGGCGTTTCATCAAAATATTAGAGAAAGGAAGACGATTCGTTGTACCGTTGTTGACACTTGTTTGAATACATTTTTTGAGCTGATATGAAAGGAAAATGAAACTTCGAGAAAATACAAATATTGTAGTTTTTGTCACTCTCGAAGTCGTCACAGCGGTTAAAAAGTCACAGTTCTTAGCCGGAAAAAAACTTGTCACAGGCGGCCGACTGACATTATACATCTCACCGACTTCGACCTCAAACTTCTGCATTGATATAGGACACGAGGATCGAGCAAGAATACCGACACAGCTAACCCGACACAGCCACATATTTATGCGTGTCTAGGCCTTGCTACCTCGACGAGACGACTCCACCCACCAACGCCCCTCTCTCTTTTACTGCCATTTCTCCTCTCTCAGGCACCTCCCCCTCTCTCTCCTCTCTCTCATCCCCCGTTTCTTTTGTTTCGGCCCTTTTCTCTCTTTTCTTCCCTTTTATTTCTTTTCTTTCTTTTCCTTTCTTTCTTTTCCTTTCTTTCTTTTCCTCCCTCTTTTTCTTTTTTCTCTTTCTTTCCTCTCTTTTCTTTCCTTTCTTTTCCTTTTTTTCCCTATCTTTTCCTTTCTTTCCTTTCTTTTCCTTTTCTTTTTTTTTTTCTTTCCCTTCCCTCTCTTCCCCCCGATCCCCTTTTCTCTTTTTTCCCGACGGCAGCGCAATTTTACTGACAATATCTGGGGGGGGGGGGGGGGTGTCGCACCCCACCGTGGCCCCCCCCCCCCCCCCCCTCTTTGGAGACGCCCCTGGTGGTAAGAAGCATTAAACAAAACACAAAATAAATAAGGGAATATTTAGCGGCGGCTTAGAAAAACAATAGAAAAGTGGAATGATTTACCATCATATATAACTACATGTACTTGAAAAATGTATTCAAATTATGCTTAAAAAAAGCTCAAATTGTGCCAGAATTTTGCTAAAAACAGCCAAATTATGCCAGGCATAATGCCAGATGCTAAAAGTGTCAAAGTTATGCCAGAAAGCATAATTATGACAGATCTGCAACGTACGTTGCACTAACTACAGTCCCGTTATTTCTACACAATTTCATGGGTCGATCATTGGTGTAAATATAATCATCAATTTGGCTAAAACCACTGAACTCTGACACTAGGCTAGAGTTTAGTGGCTATAGACTATTCCATTTACAAAAACGCGCACGTACGTGCGCTGTTAAATTTTGCGTGTGCTTATACGATATTTACGTGTATAATATTAGTGTAGACCCACGTACTGTACATGTCTGTAGTGCATAGTCAGTGTACATCACAAATTTTCCTGTGTAAGTTGATTTTTTTATCCTTTTGTGAATACATTTACCGCCATTTTGTGTTATATGGTCGTTGTTATAAATTCTAAAAACCCTTCCAATTACTTTTGATAACCTTAGACTTTAAAGAAAACAAAAAATACAGTGTTAATTTTCTACGAATTTTCACCCGCAATTAAAATTAAAATTAAAAGGAGATCAGTTTCACGGTGCACAGTTTCAGTTTGAAGTTTCATAATTGCGAATATAGTCGAAGTCACAAACTTAATAGTCTAGGATTTCAGGGATTTGAATATGCTATAATTAGTAGATCTATATAAATAAGTATTTAACATTAACAAATGAATTGGACCTATGATTAGGCCCTAGGCCTACACAACAATGACAACAAGTCACAATTCTTGATTTGTTGACAATGTGAATTCTCGCTACCCTAAATAGGTACGAAAATCTCGAAATTCGCGAGACGAGGTAATTTTCACTCTCTCGGGTCGTCACTACAACTTCCGGTATAGAGTCCCATCCCACTGGCGCTAGCGCCTGTGTTCGCTGTGCAGAGTTTTCACGCACGCTAAAATCGATGCCAATCAGTGTAATTTGTACAGATTATAATATGCAATGGAAAGCTTCGGGCAGAATTAGTGACTTTAGCACAAAAGGCCGTTAAACTCTACCGTGAAAGAGAGGGTTGTGATCACGAACGCCTGCACAGGAAGCTGTAATGTCGAAAAGCTATCCCATAATGCAATGCGCGTTTTCAGGATTTTCCCCGGATCTCGGCAGAATCGCTATTTGGGGTAGCGAGAATTGTGATGATACTGACTGACACACTGCACAGCTGAGCTGAGCTGAGTGATACTGATAACTAAACTGTAAACAGCAATAACTGATGATAGTGATAACAGTCTACAGTCCACATATCTGCAGATGCTGAAAGTGATGGGGAATTCTTTCAACTTATTAATAAAGACCCTACTTCCTAGATCTATCTGTTGAAAATACAAAGAACTAGACGGTGCCTCGGCTCTAGCCTCTAAGCCTCTAGGACTTAAAAATCTGAGTGGATTAGCCTAGATGTACGACTACGAGAATATACACCTGTACTTGGATCTATATTATAGCGAAGAAAAAGATGTAGACGTAGGCCTATGCAAAACATTTATTTCCTTACATTATTGCGCAAAATAAAGGCAGATCGGGGGAACAGTACAGAGGACAAGACAAATGTGCCATTTTTAGTTTTGACATACCCAGCAACACAAACCTCATGCCTTTGCCCTTAGTGGTCGTTGCTAATGCGTATTGACTGTCTTTTGATGACGTCATTATGTAGACCAAACGGGCTTCGCACTGTCCTGCAGCTGCCTAGACAGAAAAAAACTAGTGCAGTAGTCAAACGTTTAACCGTCCGGTATCCAACCGCCTATGGCGGATTCCGTTTTCAATTGGACGGTTTCGTTTTCCTGTTTTGTTTTTTTTTTAAATATTTTTTTAAAGTTTCGATTTATGCCCCTCCACCTGGCACTATGCCTGGCAATGTCTCCCAGCTCAGTAATCTGTGTATTGACTCACCACTCCAAAACTAGAACAACACTCCCAATTTGTTTGTCATCTTGGTTTGAAAGTAATCTTTGTAATAAGGTAGTCTACAGAGCAAATGGTACAAATGACTGCAAATATCTATCTTTTACACATGGAGAAGTTCCACTTTGAGCATAATAGAATAATAACTGCCAAAGTCCTAGATGTGCTTCATGAATACCTTTTGTTTGCCCTCTTGAAAAGAATACTTCCACCTGCGTATCATAGAATGTACCGTTGGTGCAGAAATGAATAATGTTACATAACTTTCATGAGCGCATATCCAGTATTCATCTCTGTGGGTTTTACCTTTTTGGTACAAATGACCTTTATCTGCCCATTTGCAGATTGTATCTGTAAACTGGCTTATAGATTTCAATATGAAGTTTATAACAATAATTCGTCCAACTTTTACACACGGCATACCACAAGGTTCTTTCCTAGGTCCTCTACTGTTTTTGATTTACATTAATGATCTTACACATTCTTCTAAAAACAACATTGTTATTATAATTTGTGACAAGTTCACAATCACAAATCGGCGCCTTCAAATGCACCTCGCAGTTAAATGAAAGTCCTTCCCACTTTTTCACACGACCTGGCCTGCTTTTAAAAAAAAAAATTGTTTAACCGAAAGCCGTCCGTTTTTAACTGGCGGTTAAACGGAATTGGAGATATCTGTGATGTTACTGCACTAGAAATAACCATCTAGTATGGGGATTCTTTGATTAAATTGATATTTGTCAACCTTTCCCATATATGGTAACCCTTGCATGCACACAGAGAGAGGGGGGGGGGTACTGATAACTATAATTTTCCCTCAGTTTTTCTTAATTTATTTAACAGTTTGATTAATAAAAATATGATCAGAAAGAAAAAAATATACAAGACTCATATACTATCAAAAGATAGGCGATCACACACAGATTGAAGCTTTGGAGTATGGTCTAGCATTGTGCATGTTGTGAGTGTGACATTTGTTTGATCATGAAAAATTTCAAATCATCAAATTATTAGAGAAGGAAGATGGAACTTGGATGACAGATAGACTTGGAAACTTGACTGCAGATCTCTGCATTTTTCCAGTACATCCGGTTAAAAGGTAATAAGCCATAAGGTAATAAATGAAGACCAGGTTTGTTGTGTACATGTGTTACAGGTTTTTGTGTTTGTTTATTTGTTTTTTTTGTTTGTTTTTTTGTTTTTCAATTTATCTATTTTTTTAAAAATGTATTTATTTATTTTTTTTTGGGGGGGGGGAGGGGGAGGGGAGGCAACATATGGCAAGTCTGTTATTTATTAATTATAATGTCAGACTCTTTTAATTGTCTTTTTCTGACTACAGTTGCCATGAATAATTGATGCCATTTGATCTGTGTGTGATTACATTTACATGGGTCCATGCTTTCTTGTTGCACCGGTATAATTGTAATATTATTATAAAGTTATAATCTTGCTTTCAATTAGTTTTAATTTTAAAAAGAACATATGTCAAAAAAATTGTTTTACCACATCCTTGTCATACTAAGAACTGCCAAGAATTATCAAAATTGTGACAAATGATTAGCAGAGTTGACCTTATTCCCAGTAGATCTTATTCCCAGTAGATCTGGTAATTTTAAAGTAAGGTAATTAAGTTAGAAATCAGTCTAATTAATGTCAAAAATATGTTCCCCACAACTTTATGCATGTGAAGTTTGAACTTCTCCTACCTGAAGATTTATGGAGTCAGATAAAGTCTGAGAGGCAATGATCAATTTACCCGTATTTACCAGGTTATTGAAATAGTGAACAAAAATGGCAGATATGGCAGTAAAGAAAATAAAATCAATTGCTGAGAAGGGTCTGGACATCTGTAGAGAAGATTACATCCTAAGACTAGGAGTGCAATCTCCATCTAAATTCTAGTTTTCAGTGGATGAAACATATTTTGCCAAAACCTAGAGAATTTTGCTTTCATTCGGCTGTTCATTGTTTTTTATGTTAAATACAGTATAAAATTAACTTTCAAAATCAACTTTCAAATTCCTGAAAGCTTTATGATAAGTACAAATTTTGACATCCCAAATGTTATGTCAGATTAAACTGAGTTTATAAACTTCCTTTTTTGATTTTACTATTAAAAAACAACAACTGTATGTTAAAAGCAGATTTACCATATATGAAATGTAGCACTAAGCAGTTAATTTTTTGAAAATCATTCATTGATCGTTTATTTAGCAACATGCACAATTGCACAAATACTTCCAGCAAGTAATGCTGCATGTTGAAATCACTAAAGTAAGCCCTGTCGTATGTCTGTACACTATGTCTAATATAGCAAGAGCCATCACTGGGTCATGCGGCACAGTTTGAGACCACATACTGGGACTCTTTAATAGATTATTTTGATTTATTGCTCAAGAAATATTCTTTATATTCTGGAGCAAATATATAAGAAATGATGATTATGATACACAGAAATGAGTTCATGATCCACAGAAATAGATTGATAACTTTTTAAAAGTTTACAGTTGGTAGTGGTTGTGGCTTTACATCAATTTAACAACTCGTGAATTTGTCCTTGAACCCATGATTTGTGAAAATATCTTTAGCCAAAAATATTGGCTTATAATGTGGTAACACATTTCTCATATTTTAATTTTCCACTGTAGCCAACTTCCTATAAAATCCATTCCCCTTTAAATATACATTGAGTCTACAGGGAGTGAAAGAATCGACCAAGAATTGCATCTTTGCTCTGACTGGTGGGTTTACCGATACAAATTGCCACTTTTGCCAGATGGGGTAATATGGCTAAAGAGGTGAAGAACTACATTGGTAGATAAGCATATTTAAACTATCACACTTTTCCTTTCACTCCTCTCATCCCCTCCAGATTGCCAGCAGGGCACTCTACCGTTGTCGTGGCGAACAATCAAAATAAATCCACCATGCCTGCTTTGTTGGAGAGACCCAAGCTAAGCAAGGCTATGGCTTCAGCTCTTAGGGTTCATGTCGTCAAAGAGAGAGAAAGAAAACGGCAAGGTGAGTGCATTCATTCATCTAGGGAGATGGGAAGATGCATGTATTTCCTAATCCTAATCTTGAATATTAACATTTTAATTCATGATGAAAGCATGCTTTTCATTGTCATTATATATGCATTGTGCCTGCCATGCAAAATTGGTTTCCCTTTTAATGTTTTTAACAGATATGTTAAAAAGTCATCTAAGGTCAAATGATTGTGTCAAAGATCAAAGATGATCTTAATGGTACTTAGAATTTGATTATATCAAATATGTGAAACTAATTTGATAATCATAGTGATCATAGTTAGGCATTAGAACAAATTGAATATACGTTTATCTAATATATATTCTCCTATGAAAAATCTGTGATTATTTTTTATTCTAACATTTCTTACAAAACTTTGTTGAGGACCTGTATGATTGGGCATTATTCCATAAGAAACAAATTGAAATTGACAGTTTAACATACTTTTATTTACAGAGGAAGAAGAAGCAGATAAGGCGATTGAACGAAAGAAACAAGAACAGGAGAGATTACGGAAGAGACAAGAAGCAGAGACGCTGTCATTAGAAGAGACAAAAGAACAGGTACATGAACATTTGCTTTTGATGATTTTCAAATGAGTGTTTGGCAATTCAGCTGTAGTCGTAAGATAATTACACAGCATAGTATATCATCATTTTGTCACGAATAACTTTTCAAAAATTCAGATTATCAAATTTATGCTTGCTATCATCATTATCAATAGTGATCTGTCAGTTTATGACAGGTTCAGTGACCCAAGCAAAATTGTATATCAAGTGTCTCTCCAAGTTCCTCGGTCTTGAGCCATCTGTTTCAGCATTTCATACCCTGTTGCTCCACATTCTGTAATTACATAGTCTAGAAAGCCTTTACGAGGTCTTCTCCTTTTCTTCTTTCCATGAATACGACCTTCTATGACTATGAGCATCAAGCCCTTATCATGCCGCATTATGTGTCCAAGCCATTTCTTCTGTCTTTCTCTAATCGTTTGAATCAGCATCCACTTTTCTTGAGCTCGATGCAACACCTCTTCATTCGAAACTCTGTCCCTCCAAGACACACCTAGTAATTTGCGCCAGCACCACATTTCGACCGCCTCCAATCGCTAAATGTCCTTTTTAGTGAGTGTCCATGTCGCTGCCCCATACAACAGTAAACTCCATACTAGAGACCTCACAAGACGCTTTCTCAAACTAAGGTCAATATTGTGGCTCATCAGGATAGCTTGTCAGTGAATGAAGGCAGCTCTTGCCAGAGCTGAGCGCAAGTTGACCTCTTTGGCAGACTTGCCATCCTCAGTCAGCACACTGCCTAGATACTTGAAGTGGTTGACTTGCACTAGTCTGTTGCCATCATAGGAAAGTGAAAAAACTACCGTATTCAGTTTAAAAGATTTTTGAAATGGAATGGCATGAGATGATGCTTCAATTTTTTGCCCGTATTCATTACAAACAAAATATTTGAAGCTAATCCAACTTGAGTTTCCAAACTTTTTTGAGGGGTTTATAGATATGGGCTGTTTGAATGAGTGAAAGAGTGGACTCTTGTCATTTGTTAGAGAATTCTTAACCATTTTATTGATTTTCTTTCATTTTCAGGTCAACAATATGGAGGAGAAACTGAAATCCCTACAGCAAGAGAAACATGAGCTTTTCTTACAACTCAAGAAAGTCCTGAATGAAGATGAGAATAGGAGAAGACAACAGGAGAGCAAGAAGAAGTAGGTTTGAATTGCAACCAGTAGAGGTCCACTGCTATTGTGTTGATTTTAGAACCAAATTTGAATGTGTTCAAACATGTGTGAAGAATTCATTTTGTGAGATGTTTCCTTCTTTTGCAGACAATTGAAATGAATAAGCATATCAGCTTCAAGCATGTGGCAGTAAGGAACATCTAAATGTAATTTTGTTTAAAGACGCTGAAAACCATTTTGTTTCCTAATCAAAGTATGAGATCATTCCAATTATGCTCTATGAGCTTTACTTATGCGAAAGTTTTATATTGATGCTGGTTTATATTTCTACAATAGTGGGTGCCTATATAAGTTAGAAATGTCAAAATAATGTCACTCCATATCATGGTATATGTGCAAGGAACTTGATGATTTAGTAATGAAAAGGACACTAACTGTCGTTTCTCTGGGTTAGGAGCCAGACATTATTTTGGACTGTGTATACCATGCCCATGTTAGTGTTGAGCCTTGATGTAGGAATTTAATCAAATTATATCTATAATTCCATATTTTAAGCATTACTATTACTTATCTGTGATATTGATCTTAATTTTCCATTTTTTGTGTCATTTATTGCAGTGAAATGCTTGTTGCTATGAGTCAGTCTTACCATCCCGCTATGCAGCTACCAGGCCCTCACATGCTGGTACAGAGTAAGTCCATCGTTTGCACTCTTCACATCACTCCATGACATCATTTGGTCATTACCAATGACAAGATTAACTTGCATCAACGTGGTTGCTGAAAGGCCAAACACACCTAAGGTCGTCCAGCGATCAGTTAGGAAAAGACACTTGTCTACCAAGGCAGGTACTCCCAAAGATCATGGGAGATAGAACTAAATGGAAGAAAAACCCTTGTTAAATCAGTGGGAGTATGCTGGACCCAGTAGTAGTAACTGGGTTGAGTACTGGAATCTGTCAGTAATGTGTTAAGTTACAGTTGTTATATTTTTGGTTTGTTTTAGGGTTGAAGTCCAAAAACAGCACAGTCTATTCGGTGACGGTATAACCAGGGTTATTTTCATATTTGTTGCCTATTTTAAACAAAAGTGAAAACAAATTTTCGAACATGTCAAAAGTATTTACTACCTGGAAATATCTGTTATGGCAGTTTTAGGATATTGCCAGATTCCAGACCCAAACACTTGGTGACTCAAGGCCTGTTCTTTTCAGACCTCATATTGTACAGATTATAGGTAGTTCTTATGGATTCCTTATTATGCATGAGCCTCTACAGGTTCAGCATGTAAAAAAACCAAGGAGATAATAGGTAAGCCTGTCTAGTATCTCCTTAGTAAAATCAATGGGTATCTCTGAATACAATATATCAATTGATTTGAAATATTTTGCTTTAATCAATGTCTCATTGCACATGGGTGTTATCATAGCATGTATGCTTAATGAGAGTGTTATTCTTGCCCTTCTCCTTCTTTCTCCATGATCAGGTGGAAGTTTAGCAAGGCCGACCTTGCTGGGAGATGGACCCAAAGGGCATTACTATCGCGGAACCCAGACTCCTCCCTCACAAACAGTTCAGGTTAGTTTACTTAATATAACCCCTATCCATCACTCAAAGCTTGTGTATCACATGGTCCCTAATTTGATATTAGTCTGACACCAATGCAGAGATGCCAACTGTTCCTTATTTTGCCATATTTGTCAAAAATACTGTTTTTTGCTCTTAAGAATACTTTTTTTGTTGATGAAGGTTGGCATCTCTGCCAATGTCCTATTGTCAAAACGTTCCTCTCCACTTGCTGTTCTTGACCAAGGAAATGTATTTCATTTGAAACCTCAGGGTACTGAAAGCCTTGTTACTGATTTGCCTGATACCCTCACAATGATAGTTTGACAGGGATACTCCTCAGGGAGTGGAGATGGTTCACAAATGTAGTGACTTATGTAATGAGAATTTAGAAAAAAAAGATTGTCGTTTATTCGTTTTTGCTCATGAACCATTCACTAATTATACTAATGTAATGCTAATATTGAAATGTTTCTTGCATTTTTGTTCTTTATTAGCAGAGTGTGAAGCGATCTAGAAGTCCATCGCCCCCTGTGGTAGACCTGTACCCTAAACATCACATACAAGGCAGCCATTATCCACATGTAGCTTATACGCAAAGCCAAGTCACTCATGCTCACAGCCCATACAGACAACAAGGTATGGTTTAGTAGTCTTAGAATTCAAATTCAAATTGTATTGATTATATTTTATAGATGATCAAAGGAAAAAAAAAAAAAATTTTGGGGGGGGGGGGGGGGGAGGGGGGGGGGGGGCATTGGAACTGTACTTCAAACATCACATATACACATCTTCATAAATGCAGAGAGCCAAGGCACTAATGCTCATCGCCCTTATGAGCAACAATGTATGGCATACTTTATTAGTCTTGTGTTTAATCATCTAACAAGTTAGGGGGTTGGTCATTGGCTTGGGGTTTGGACCCTACAATTAATTTAAGTAAAGACTTTCAACTTTGAGAGCTTAGAATCTCAGTGGGAAGGGGGAGTATGTGTATGGAATTCTATGGATTTGAAACCACTATTTATTTATTTATTTAATTTATTTATTTATTTATGCATGTTTACAATTTCACAATTCATTGAAGTTAACATCACATGAAAAATTAATATAAGATGACAAATCATTTTCAATTTTACAATACATTTGAATTAACTTCACGTGAAAAAAGAATATAACATTGTTTTATCAAAGACAAGTTGCAACTTATATACAGTTTGAAGAATAAACACACAAAGGTGATGAAACATAAGCAAATAGAGCTTGAATCGTTACAACACCTTTCAAATATATAATATATGACAAATAAAATTCCTAAAGTTTTGTTGTGAACTATTTACATTATTTACAAAGTTTTAAAAAAAAGAAAGAATTTTTTTGTTTTTTTGTTAAGCCTAGTAACAAAATTATGTTAGATTTAATTAGAACTGATAAATAGATTATAATGTAAGTAATATCTTACATCTGTGAAATGATAATACATTTTAGTGCCCTTTTAAAAGAGTTTGTTGATTTTATATTTCGAATATCATTAGGTAAAGAATTCCATACATCTGGACCTCTGTGTCTGATTGATTTCTGGGCTAATGTAGTGTGAGGATTGACCACATGTAAATTCGATGACTGCCTTGTTGAATACGAATGAACCATGTTATTAGGTTGGAACATTGAAGATAATGACGTAGGTAATAATTTGATATTAAAACGGAACATAAATATGGCAAGTTGGAGGAAGTTAATATCATCAATCTTTAAGCATTTCAGTTTAACAAATAGTGGGGTAGCATGGTCACGATAACCAGCTCGGGTACATATGCGTACAGCTTTCTTTTGTAACAGAAGAATATTATTAGTCACACACTTGGATGTTGCCCACAAAATATTACAATAAGAGATGTGTGGTAAAATTAGACTATTATATAGCATAAGTAATATTCTATCAGAAACAAAACATTTTATTCTATACAGTACGCCAATATTTCTGGAGATTGGTGTAACAATATGTTTTACATGGTCGCTCCAGTCAAGTTTTTCATTGATATAGACACCAAGGAATTTTGTACATGTCTTTCTCTCTAAAGAAATATCATCTAGTTTAATATTAAGAGCAAGGTTGTCATTAGATTTTCTACCTCTAAAATGAATATAATTTGTTTTAAGAACATTGAGAGAGAGCACATTACTTTTTTTTTTCTTTCTCATGTTTATTCGCCTGTACTTGTACTTGGAACTGGTGGGGGGGGGGGGGGGACGTACAAAATATAACCACCAGCTCCATATTCCACTCTTAAGTTGACCTCATACAGTCTTATTACAATGTAGGCAATTTTTTTTAAAACATTACCAAACAAAAACAAAAATAGACAAGACAAGACAAAATAGGTACAATTTACATCGAAAGTGAAAAAATACAGACAGAAGATGGTTCAGCATGTACCCAACAGGTCATATTACATGTATGTAGAAATACCCTATATTAAATTTAAACAAATAAAAAAAGAGCGTTTAATACCCAGAATATAAAGCATACACATCATTTAAATATTCAAAAGATCCCATTTCTTGTTCGAAGAGTCAAGTCTATCCCGACCAAGGGCAATTTCTTTTTCGATAGCACAACTTAGTTTTAATTTACAAATAAATTGATACATGGTAGGCAATACATGTATCTTATTATATCGACAGCAATACAGATAATACTTGGCATGAATAATTACAAAATTAAATTTGTCAAAAGCAGGATCCGTGATACCAAAAAACCCATCTCTGTTGGTAATAGTAAAACTGTTGTGCAGTTCTTTGTGCAGTATTTCCTGCACTTCTAACCAAAAAGAATGAGCAATTCTACAGTCCCCCAAAAAATGTTGCAATGTCTCATCATCAATTTTACACAAGGAACAAAGTTTTGAATCAATAAATTTAATATCAAAAAGAAATTAATTCAGAGGGAGATATCGATGGAGAAATTGAAATTGAAAATATCTTAATTTAGTGGACAAAGTTGCCTTAAAAGAAAGACGGTAAATAGTAGTCCAATCCAGGTTTGCCTCATTCATGTGGATGGCCCATTTCCTTTCTGAATTTGGAGTATTGAAAATACTATTAACACAAAGTTTTTGAATGAATCTGCAAACTTTACTAGCTTTACACATATCGCCAATTAACTCATTCTGCCAACTGTTGTGGTTCGCTCTATCAACAGCGATTTTAGATTTTTTTCCAAATAGACGGAATTGCATGGACCAAAGAAAAATAATCCATAAAATTACATTTCACCCTAGGGTAGTTTACAGTGAACTGATTAAAAGTGAGTGTGTTACCATTATCCTGAAGTAAATCCTTATAGTATTTAATACCATTGTTATACCAATTGTGGTTATATTGGGTATTGTTGTTTATTCTGATAGAGGAGTTATTCCAAATAACCTGGTCATGATAGTTATTGTTAATTGTTCTATAAGCAATTGAACACCATGAGCTGACAGTATTCCTAACAAACATAGTATTGATTTTGCCAATACCTTTTTCAGACGGATTCATATTACAATACCATAGGAGGTTGCCACCAAGGGGCCTCAAATTGTAATCAAAGAAGATTTTCCATTTGCCAGTATTTTTAGAGTCAATAAGGCGCTTCACCCAAGCAATTTTAAGGCCTTTAATAAGAGAAGAAATATGGCACATACGAAGACCACCCTCCGAATAATCACCAATGACAGTGAGTCTCTTAACTTTCTCCGGCTTCCCAGACCAAATGAATTTATAAACCACGGCATCAAGCTCTTTAATGAATTGAGCAGGGGGGTCAGGGAGGACTGAAAGAAGAAAGATAAGTTGGGAAAGGCCAAGAGATTTAATTATTGCAATTTTACCCAGTGGAGTTAGATCTCTACAAGACCAAATTCTCAAAATATTCTTTAACTTCTAAAACTTTGGGATAAAATTCAAATCGAAAAGATTACTGAGGTCCGCATTGAAAAAAACGCCCAGGTAGCGCACCGGTCCATTAAAAAACTTCATTTTAAGGGCACTGATATCAGGAGGATCATCTTTGAGGCACCCTAGTGGCATAATATCAGATTTGTCCAGATTAATTTTTAGCCCAGAATAGATTTTAAACCTTTCTAGAACAACAATAGCATGGTGGACAGAGGCAACATCCTTAAGGTACAAAGTTGTAATCAGCATAGGAGTTGATAGTTACAGTAGATCCTAAAATCTCAATACCCTTTATATTGATATCATTTCTGATGGCAATACTTAAGACCTCCCCACAGATTATATAAAGATATGGGCTAAGGGGACAGCCCTGGCGAACACCGCAGAACAGATTAAAAAAGGGAGATGCATTACCATTATTAATTACACATGATGATTTATCATTGTAAAATATATTCACCCAGTTAATAACATCTTTGCCAAAATTTAAAAAAATCATTGTTTTAAAGATGAAAGGCCACTCTAATTTATCAAAAGCTTTCTCGAAATCGATCATAAACATAATACCAGGCATGTTGTTACGAGATAAATGATCAACCATATCCCGTGCAAGGCGAATATTCTCACCTATGTACCGACCTTTAAGAAAACCAGTTTGGTCACCACTAATGATATTATGTAAAACATTTCTGATTCTAAAAGCAATGCATTTAGAAACCATTTTATAGTCGGTATTGAGGAGCGAAATAGGTCGCCAGTTTTTCAAAGAAGTTGGATTCTTATCCTTTTTGGGAATCAAATTAATAATACCTCTCCGTTGGTCAGGAGAAAGTTTTCCATGCTGAAAAGCATAATTAAAAGAATCAACAACAGTTTGGCCAATATCCTTATAGAAAAATTTATACCATTCGGGTGGAATTCCATCAGTGCCGGGTGTTTTATTGTTTGGCATGGATTTCAAAACAGCCAAACATTCCTGCAAAGTGATAAAACCCTCACAACTATCTTTTTGAACATCATCAAGTTTAGGGCACTTTGTGTGAGGAGGAAGCATATCTTCTGTAATATTACAATCAATCGGGTTGCATGAACTGTACAGATTCTGATAAAAAGACATTTCTTCAAAAAGTATATCTTTGGCATCAGTTAACACTTTTCATCTTCTGTCACTAGTTTAGTGATTACCTTTTGTCGTTGGTTCCTTTTCTCCAAGTTAATAAAATAACGAGAATTTTTCTCTCCAAATTCGACACATTTAGCACGTGATCTTATTATACAACCTTTTGTTTTATAACTATACAAAGACTCCATATTCGTTTTACATTCATGAATGTCTTTTGCAATATTATCACAAGGGTTATTAGAAAACTCTTGCTCAAGTTTATTGAGCTTCTTTGCTAAATCAGACTCATATTTCTTGCCGCGCTTTGAAATTTTCGCTGAAAATTCAATGGTAACCGAACGAACCTGACATTTCATAAAGTCCCATAGTATACTAGGATTCATATTAGCATCATTCTGTTTTGTTTCAAGAATACACTTCTTAATTTTGTCGACATAGTCATGCTCATGGAGTAAAGATGAATTAAATTTCCAAAAACCTCGGCCTCTTGCCTCATTGACTGGAACTAAATAAAACTTGATAAGAGAATGATCTGATTTAAAACCTGAAGAAATTTCAGATTTATTAATTTGGGCATATAAATTGAAAGAAACTAAGAAAAAATCAAGACGGCTCTGAATTGGTGGATTAAAAGATCGCCAAGTAAAGTGTAATACATTTGGGTGTTGCTCTCTCCAAATATCAATCAAATCAAGGGATTCCATCATATTTTTAACCTGACGCTGTGTATTAACTTTAGTGTACCTGCTACCACCTTTTTTATCTTTTAAAACATCAAGAATAATATTAAAGTCCCCACCCATCACAACAGATTCACAAACAAATTCTTGCAGATTTGTTTCTACCTCTTCAAAAAAAATAGGATTATCATTGTTATAACCATAAATATTAACAAGGGTGAACTTTTGGCCTTTAAGCAAAATATCAAGAATCAGAATTCTGCCATCATTGTCATGAAATTCTTTATCAACATGAAGGTTACAATTATTGGTTAAAATACAAACACCTCTACTGTTAGAGGTACCATGAGAAAAATAAATATCATCACCCCAATCATCCCTCCAATTATTAACAGAATTTACTGTACTATGGGTTCTTGTAAAAATTGAAACAGGATGATTTTTGAGCCAGAGGAAAACCTGCTTGCGTTTAAGAGAATTGCCCAAACCTCTCACATTCATTGAATAAATACCAACATTATGATGATCATTCATTGAAAATGTTTGTTAACTACAGCTTTCAAACAGCCAAATTGATCAGGATTCAATGATTCACATTTATCTAAAAAACTGTAGAGCCTGTTATAAACAATTCGTTCCAAAACTTTAAAAAAGCTAGGCAGTAATGAGATTGGTCTATAGTTAGAAAGGACCATCACGTCATCTTTTTTATGAACAGGAATCACCCTTGCCAGTTTGAAAAAAGAAGGAAACACTCGGTTCATCAAAGAGAGATTGCTAATGTGTACAAGAGGCGTTAGAATTGAACCAATGATCTTTTTCAATAAAAATGTACTGATTTCATCATGCCCAGAAGAGTGACTGTTTTTTAGCGATCTCACTACATTGAGAATTTCAATGTAATCTGTTGGTTTTAGAAAAATAGAAGTATTAGATGGTTCATTGTGGTACTGTGTGAAGTTGGTTCCATCTTTATTTATCATCTTGGCTTGATTTAGGCCAACAATGACAAAATAAGTGTTATATGCATTTGCAATATCTTCTGCATTTGTTATTTCTTTATTACCATGAACAATTTTTCCTGGAACTTCATGTTTTCCTTGCTTGAATAAAATATCCTTTACAATTGTCCAGGTAGATGAAATATTGCCATTTGCACTTTCAAACCTCTTAGAGTAAAATAAACGACGTGAACATCGTATAATTGATGTTAATTTATTTCTATATTTCTTGTATTTTTCAACATTATCTGGTGATCGTTTTTTCATACTTCTTTTATATAGGACGTTTCTTCTTTTTATCAATCTAAGTATCCCTCTAGTAATCCATGGATGATTTCCTTTTCTCTTGTCGTTTAATTGCACATATGGAAAATGTTTATTAAAAAGATAATAAAACTTATTCCAAAATACTTCAAAAGCACTTTCTACATCGTCACAAACTATAACATCATTCCTATTTTCCGAGAGTAAATCTTCATTCAGACAAGAAACATTTTCATCAGCAATTTTACGTTTCTTTTCAATTCGCCTTTTTGTGTCACATCAGTTTTGTGGTCAAAAAGTAAGCAAAACACAGGTAGATGATCTGATATTTCACAATAAAACAGACCTGATTGAGAAAAGCCTTTAGATATTTTTACGAAAATATTATCCAACAATGAAGATGAATGATTACTAATTCTGGTTGGTTTATCAATCATTACACTGAATGCATTGGAATCTAGAATATTTCGAAGATGAAGTGAACTTGGACTATTATTCAGTAAATCGATATTAAAATCACCCATAACACAAACAGATTTATTGAAAGAGTTGACAGTTGACATGAGCAATTCTAAATCATTTAAAAAGTCTACCATGTCTGTGCTGGGCGGTCTGTATATAACGCAAACAATAAAATTCTTTTCATTAGGAAGATCAACTTCAATACATAAGAGTTCTGCAGTTTCGTTTTGGAAAGAAATATCATGTCTGGGCTTAAAAGATAAAGAATCCGCGATATACATTAGAAGTCCACCGCCCCTACCACTCGACCTGTCTTTACGTATTTGTTTGTAACCTTCTAAGGTATATAAAGGTGGAGATTGAGGATTTAACCATGTTTCGGTAATGCCTATAACTGAGCAATCGAACTGTAATGATGATAACAGGATATTCATATTTTCATTATTCTTACTTAGACTCCGAACATTACAATGTAAGAAACTAAGAAATTGTGTTTGTTGAGGTTGATCCTTTACAGGATTAAACTCATTAGGTACGTAGTACCTACAGTCAATATTTGGTTGTAATTGGTAATCTTCATTAGTCATTTAAGGATGAGAGTCTTGCAGCATTCAATATTTTGGTTGAATATAGTGACAGCATAAGTTGACACTGATTGGGGAGGCAAACTTGCCAAAAGAGCGAAATAAAATAAAAACAGAAAAGATATGAAACATATGAAATAATAATCATCGTTAAAGAATGTTAATCGTAAATATTGCCTACTTTATTAACTTGTTGATATCGTCTACTTCAACTTCTTGATATCATCCTTGGTATGGATGATGATCGCAGGTTCCTTCTCATCTTTCCTTACGAATATCTTGCCGTTGACGGTCCACACGAACTTGAAGCCCGCCTTCTTCCTTTCGACATTCACGATTCCGTGCAGCTCTTGGGTAACGCTCGTCAGGTTCTCATTGACGTAGAATTTGTTTGCACTGCCATGAACACTGATGTCCCTGGTTGTGACATTCTTCAGCTTTTTTCGGCCATCGTAGACTGCATTCCTTGCTCTGTGACTGTTAAATCGTACAATGATGGATCGTGGTCGACGATCTGCCCCAGCCCTTGGAGCGCCCAGCTGATGCGCAATGTCGATGTCACTCTCCTTCAGTGAAGGAGCAACACATTGGGCGACCTTCAAAGCTAACACAAGAGGACTCTCTTTTCTGCTCTCTGGAATTCCCGCCAGCTCCAAGTTTATCCTCCTATGGTACTGGTCGAGGTCATGTACCTTGTGATGGAGGTCGCTGACCTGGTTATCCAGCGACTTGTTCTTAGCCTTCAGATCTTCGTTGTCTTTTTCCAACCGTCGTGTCGTCACCTTTAGTTCCTCGAATTTTTCATCCAGGAAGGATAGAGAGCGGACGATGTCTGTCTGCCCTTCCCTCACTTCCTGAATGGCAGCCTCAAGCAGATTCAACTTGCCAGTCAAGGCGTGCGAAAGTGTTTGTAACTCCTCCTTGAAAAGAGAGATGATATCGGGTTTGCTCCCACAAGGCCCAGCTCCTATTTAAATTCCTCACTTACTTGCGACCTGGTTTTCTTCGGCATTGTTACGTCATGCGTCACTGAGATGGCGTATTATGGATTTTGTCTAGATGCGCTCTTCTGCGCTTCAATAGTTGTGCGCAGTATATTGCGACTTTCAAAAAGAAAATAGAATAGCTCTATTGGAAAAAACTATTAAAAAATACAAGTTTTTCGAAAATATCACAAAATCGTCACCTCGTCATTCCAAGATGGGTTTAGAATCTGAGTCCTGGTTAGAAAAGCTAACACCCGATATAAAAATTAGCATGCATAGTCCATTGCATTCTGTTAAAAATCAGTCATTACCGGGAGCTCAACAAAACACGTCCACCCAGGATGAAGATGAATAATTTATAAGTTACTTCCACGCAAAGAACAAAATCAGTCTACGCGGTTCGTTTAGGCAACATGGTATCATGATACTTTATTAGTTAATATGATATGAAAGTATTTACCAGTAACAAGATACAATACATTACAATATTCACAATATTTAGAACAATGTGAAAACGTCAAACAAGTTTGTTGTGACAAGAATAAGGAGGAAAAATTGATACAATGTAACCTGTGTTGTGGTGGGGGGGGGGGGGGGGTGAATAAGCAAAGTGATTGTGTTTTGGATGGGATATTAGAACCTTTTCATTAATTCCAAAGTATGGTTATGTGCATTTATACTGTTGTCCAAGATGTTAATCCCAATTTTCAATTTTCAATTGTTTCCCTCTTAGTCTAAAAGTACCTGTACACAAATATGTTTTCTTCCCTTCCCCTAACCTCTAGGACACATAGCCTACACGACAGCTCAGGCTCCATCAGCCTCCTTCATCAACCAATCAGCGAGTGGCTATCCTCCAACCCAACAACCGGTCCACGCCAACTACGCCTCCAGCAGCCAATCAAATCCTAACAAATACCAGGCAAGGGAGTCCGCTTTTAGTTCCTATGGCAACCACTTTGCGACGGCGCAGAAAGGCATTGCAGAGCAGATCTCTCAGTCCTACCAGCAGCAACAACAACAACAACACCAGCAACAGCAGCAGCAGCAACAAAGTGAGTCAATGTTCAACGTTGAATGGGCCAGGTTCATTTTGATTGTCTCTGTCAGGATTCTTTCATACATAATGAAGATACTTGACAATTTGCTTGTAGGTGGAACTCTTTTTGGTATGAATATGCCCATGAAATGTTCATATTTTTTATTATACATGTACAGCCCTGGAAGGAAATACTATTTAAAGTTCATGTAGGGGTATTAGTTATGTAGTAGTTATATCACTCATGTAACTAACCAAACATTATATTTATTTGTATTTCCATGAATGAAAAAAGTTAAATCATAATTTGCTTTTGTTGCCACCTCCCCCCCCCCCCTTTCTTAGCACAGAAATAATATGAGAGAAGTTTTCAATGCATAAAAGTTCAACAAATAATACATAGATTGTTGCAGTTTAATTTTATAAACCTTCATAGACTTGAAATTGGATGAATGTTTTATCAATTATTTTTGCTGTAACAAAAAAAGTTCAGCTTTATTATTATTGGGCTTATTGTTAGGTTCTAAGTCTTATTTCAATATTATTAGGATATCTTTTCCTGGCATGTTGCTCTTGTCACAGAACACCAACAAATTAAAGAGTTTTGTCTTTCAAGATTGGCTCATGTTCTGGCATCTGTCTTCCATCTGATTTCAAACAAACCCATTTTTGTCAGTGTCAGTTTGTTGAACTCCTGTTAAACATTGATTCATAGACTGTGAATAGTACAACTCTGGGGAAGTTTTCTTCATCTCTGTGATCTTTCACCCTCTTGTTCCCACATGTCCTAATCTGTTAATTATCATACATGGTATTTCTGCCAGTGAAACATGGAAGGTAGAGGAGTCATGGTCTAATGGATATGTCGCTGGACTGTGAATCACATGGTCCACTGTGGCGCTATTGTTCTTTGGCAAGACATTAATCTACATTTGCCATTCTCCACCCAGATGTAGTTATTGGGTACCCAGTAGGAAGAAATTGCTTGAATATTTGAGTGCCTTTTCATGGTAGCTCGGTAACAGCTGGAGTAAGAATATGATTGCCAGGCCCTTAGGGAGTACAGTATTAATACTGATGAAGCTTCTATTATTATTATTATTTTTAAATGTAAATATTTCTGTCACCCATTTGGGCTCATCTGCAGTAAAGAGATTATCTTGGCACACCTGAATTATTTGAAACTTTGTTGACTTTGCTCCAAAAGACATGATAACTCCAAAAAGTTTGCTCCAAAAAGTTCATTTAACTTGAATGTATTTTGATGGTTTTGTTCAAGGACAGGATATTTGTTGTCAAATTTGTCTATCCTTTTGCCATTGTTCTATAGAGGAAATATATTAAAGCTAGAACATCAGTTTACTTGACTGGTAATTTGTAAATAAATAACTGCATTTAAACAATCTTTTATTGCAGACCCTCAATAAGAAAATATTGATTAATATAGTTTACAAACAAAGTCAAACAAATTAATGAGAAGAAACAAAGGCAATAAATAGGTTTACTTATTGCATAGGTATTATGTTAGTCTTAGTCTCACATAAGAATGAACAGAATTATAAAGGATATTTCCAGTGTTTCTGATATTAGGTCATGATAAGAGAGCTACATTGTGTTGATTTTGCTGGCTTACTAAAAAAAGGAATGATAAATAAAATTTAAAAAATCATAGAATTTTTTCTTTCTAAAACAGTCCATTCTTGATATCATCCCACTATGGGTAGACCCATATGTCATTTGAGAACTATCATCAGGTGTTTTATTTATGTGTGAAAACTTGTAGTTATTCAAGGACCATCGTGAAAGAGAACAGAAAAAGCATGATTGTATTTACATTTTCATTTTTCATTATCATGTCATTGTTATACATTGTTAGTCAAGTAATTCGTCCAAATTAAGCGCATTGTTCATTTCACGTTTTTTGTTGATCCTTATGACATATTTAGTTTAACCATACTTTTCATTTCACTTGTTTTGTAAAGCACTTAGAAAGTAAGAAACTGTACTTGTATACCAGCGCTATATAAATCTTAATTATTATTAGTATTATTATTGATTAAAGTTGGCCAGGTATCGAAATGAACTGTTGTTTTCAAGGTTGCAGGGTATACAATTATGTCTGAATTCCTGGTAATGTCAACAGCCAGTGGCATCATTCTGTTGATAAAGCTGATCTTATTTTTTACATGGATATGTTCTTTTTGAGTCACATGCAACATCACAGAAGTCTGGACAAAACAGAGACAATAGGGGCATTTACACTACAAGCAAATATCCTAGGTTTTTAAACTCACATTCTGGAGTTTCGTTGGAAGTTTCCATAAACAATTAAATGTTGAAATACCACGGAGTGTGATGTTTTTAAATTCTAGCCAAAATTCCGCTTTTGTAGTGTACATGCTTGTTCAGATATAGCGTGGTAAAGCTTCCGTGTTTTGTTAGTGTGCTAAATAATGGCAACTGCAGGCTACAAAGGACTTGCACATATTTACTGAGCTCTGTGTTAGATACAGTGTATTATACTTCAGATCATCATTAAGAAAATGCCCTGGTTTTGTTGCGTCATGTTTGAAGGAGCCTTTAATGTACGCTCTCCAAATAACAGTGAATTATTCCAGTTTTTGCACACGTGACTCTCCTCTCTCCTGCATGCAAAGGAGTGGAAAGTTGCGCATGGGAAACAGTCTCCAAATACCAGAATTAGCAAGCACCAACAGGTTTTTATGGGTAATGTAAAACACCCCAAAATGATGGTTTTTCAACAACAACAAAAAATAAATTTAAAAGTGTTAATGGCCTAATTTCCACGACATCTTTCCCACGTTCCCACATCAGTTGTTGTATTAATTAGAAGAGCAAGGATACCGTCTCAGTTTTGCTATAGTCATCCTTGATGAAACGGATGATCTACCCAGACCTTTACCCTCTGTTCAGACTAGCGATTTCAATCATTGAGCTATAAAAACCGTATGGTTATACAATAATGTTTTTTTTTAGGCTAAACATCATAAACATGTAAACAAACGTTATTTAGCGCTACAGAGGTATGAGCATCATTCCAAACAAAATACTTGATATAGAATCAGGGTCCGCTTCTCATGTGAATGTCTTATTGTATGAAACCGGTAAAACTTATCATGCGGGCGCAATGATAATTGACCAGCTGTCTTGTCAACTCACCTCTTCTAAAAAAGTTTCTTTATACAATACATTTCTTTGGATGACTGTTCACACCCCTTCCATTAATTTCCCCTCGTGTGAACAGGCTAACGGTCTTCCCTGTAGGAGGAAACAGGAAGTAATTGCATGGTGACCTTTCCAGAATTTAGTGTTGACTTCCTGTGGTCGTGGAAGACTGTTCAGTTTCCATCCATCTCTGTTTGCTAATTTTATGCTAATTTTTGACATATTCGTGAGGATGTGGATGGTTGCTATTTAACAAGATTAGTTGTATTTTAGTAGGCCTTGCTCTGCTTCAGTATTCACAAAGAAGTTGCGTTGGTCTTTAGAATGACCAACCAGTTAAAGATAAACAGTTGTGAATTATTTCATTAATGCAATAAAACCTGTCTATAAAGGCCACCTTAAGTGGAAGCGGTAAAAAATGATCCCTGACCTTTCTAAACAGGTTCTGCAATACATATGTCCTTCTTTTTAAAAGTAGGCAGTGTAAGGGGACATTACTGTAGAAGCACTTAACCTTTTTTGAGAGGTGACCAGTGGTAACTATGGCAAGTTTGACTGTGTAGTGTTGAAATTGGATGCTTGCCCCTAATACCTTAGTCTCACCAACAAGACCAACACCAGATCAAAAACAGATTTATAAAAAACATTACATTACTGATGGAAACTAATCTGTCGTTGTAGAGTCGGTTTGGAGCAGGTTTTATGAGGTGACTAAAGTATAAGTAAGAAAGTTAGGAACTTTAGAATCAGAAACATATGCAGGGTAAAGTGTGTTTAATTCAGTTTTACAAATTTCATGGAAAGTTAATTTCCCTCACATTAACAGACAGAAACCATGATCAAACCAGTGCGGGATATCCCATCAAAGCAATTTTTCTACAATGGATATGTGACGTCATTTATGCATCAATATCAGAAGCCAGACACAAGGAAAGTAACACTTTGTAAATTTGCATCACTCACAGGATATTTGCAAGGTGCCCCTTCATCCAGCCTGCATTCTGCCTCCCACCATGGAGTGGAACAGTCCAGGAAAGCCAGTAGTGAAGGTGATGACCAAGGCTACTATCAGGCCAAACTCCAAGGCCAGCAGGTAGGTTGAATTCATTATTTTCTGAGGGACAAGGAATAATGGATTATTCACCTGGTGTGGTTTGCAAGCCCAGGCTCTAAATTATGGTAGAAGTTGTCTCATGGAAGATGAATATTTTGAATCTCATGTGAGAATGCTCTTGATGGATTTAGGCAAATGTAGAAGGTATTTTTGGTATTTAAAATAAATGCTAACCCTTTCACTCTTTGGCAGACATTTTGATCAAATATATTGAACTAGTATAGAGCATGATTAGCTATTCAATAATAGAATATGGTACTTCACTGTACCAATAACTCTAAAATCATCACAACTTCATGAGTGATTTCATATAAATCCCATACCATTGTCACCATCCTTAGTGTTGTTCCTATTTCCTTTTGGTTTGTTTTCTTTTAACCTTGTTTTCTGTAGTTCAATAGTATCTAAGATGATTTGTCTTAAATTGCAATGCATGTGTGAAAAACAAAAAACCTCCATCCGGCGGGGGAAGGGTGATGAGTTGCCCCCCCCCCCCCCCAAAAAAAAAAAAAAACATGTTTTAAACTATTTAAAATCAGGATTAAAAACAGGATGCCAATTAACAGGAAATGTACCACTTTGGAAGGAATGTTTGGCTGAGTTTCAAAATGTTTCACAACTTGGTAAAAATGGCTGTATTCCATTTTTGCATGATGAAATAATAGTATATTAAAATGATGGGAATTCTGTTTGCCTTTGTGTTTGGAGGTCCTACATGTGTTACAAATTAGTACCATCATACATAGCAATGTGTCTCTAGACTCTCTACTGAGAATCTGATGCAGACTCTCACCATTTCACTTGTATGGCTAGACACATAATGTATTGATAGAGATCCTCTCTCCACAAGCTTTCCTGTCAAGCTATCATCTACATATTCAAATTTTGTTGTTGTAACATTTTGTTTAATTTATAAATACTGGTATACATCATATGCAAAAGAGTATTCCATAGGAATTTACTCTTCAAGGCGGGTTCATGGGGTCTCCCAAGTTTGAGAAGAAAGATGATTTAAGTCTGCAGGTTTGTCTGGATGAAGATAATGATGTCCATTCTGACATGTTTCCTTCAATATTTGTACCCCAACAAATATGCAGTAATTTTACATTTGTTCGAGTGACACTAGCTTTGGGCTTAATTTCATAAAAACTATAATGTTGCAATTGGGTAATAGGTTAGGTTTAGGGTTAGGTGCTAAAAGAAGAGTGTTTAGTCCAGGGTATATGGTGGGTATTTTATTAGTGTAGGACATGACCATAGAGCAATGGTGACTGGATCATGTGTGACATACAACAAAATAGGAATGATGTTTTAAGAGAGACAATGTCCTTTTTGTACTAGTATGGATCCACCCAATGTCTTTTTTTTTGGTACACTTCACAGCATCTTCGTCAGCTGAATTCTGGTCACCCTCAAGCCATCCATCATCCAAGCAGTCATCAACCTCTGCTAACACAAGGTCAAGTCCAGGCTCACATACAACCTGCGCAGACAAAGGTATGTGCGCACAAACCAGACCAGTTACTACTAAAAATTCTTATAGACCAGTTTACATCAAATTCATCTTCGTGTAGACCAGTGTACATCAAATGTTTATCGACCAGCTTACATCAAATTCTTATTGACTAGTTTACATCAATTTTTATCGACCACAATACAAATGTATTAAAGTCATCTAAGCAGCAGCGTCATCTAAGCAGCAGCAAATCAATTTGATACCCTATTTGGCTCTTCTTACAGGGATTGCTATTATTACCAGATATCATCATTTTGAGTTAATACCTGAAATTGCTATTTTTCATGATTGCTCTGTTTAAAGCCTATCTGCACTAGTTTGGCCAGGAGGGATTAGACTAGACCTCCGTGCATGGTCACTGGCAGGTGATTATCTTTAATCAAATCAGCTCTCAATTAAAGAAAAAGGGGATCATGGGGGACCAACGGGTAATGCTTAGGCATTGTTTGCTATATATAGGGCGCAAGTAGCTACAAGAAGTGCAAGAAAAGTTACTTGATATGAAAGCTTGCTGGGCCTTACTAGACACTGCAACAAATAACGCAATCCTCATTCTGACTATGGAAATAAAAAATTATGTAAGAGGGTGAATTCAATTCATTTTTTTCCCTCTTTCAAGTAGTATTAGAAGGTATTTTTGAAAGTGCTCATAAAATGAAATGAATATACTTTCCATGCCCTCCTACTTTGCAGCCGAGTATCCCCACCTCGTTTGCTACTCATGGAAGAAGGAAAACAGACTCACCTGTGTATCACAAGAAACCAAGCCAACAACATGGGGTAAGTCAGAATCATTCTTATAGCCTCCTGTGTGTTAGCTCATGAATCAACAAAGCACAGCTGCCAACCATTCCGCTTTTGCCGGAATTACTCTGTTTTTTCCTTTAAATTACGGTATTACGTTTTTTCTTCATAAAATACTTATTTTTTTTTTAATATTTATTTATTTATTTTTATTTTTTTATTATTTTTACATACCGCACGTCAAAAAACTGCCCTAAAATGGTGATTTGATCACAAATTCAATAGAAAACTAAATTTAAAACATACTTCAAAAGAAAAATATTTTCAACAAGAATGAAATGCCGATAATAACAAAATAACCACCAAAAAAGCAATTCCTGCTTGTATGGAAATAAACAGCATGATGAATGAACATTTCTGCATTGGAAGTGTGTCGCACGTGGTTGTAAGTTTCGTTTTTATGAATTCCTTTTTTTTTTGCTTGAAATTCCTTTTTTTTTGCCATCATGATTACTTTTTTTGGTCGCACAAGGTTGGCAGCTCTGACTAATGAGAGAAGGAAAATGAGCAAGAAGTCCACAGCTTTGTGCAAAGTGTGAATGTGAGGTTGCTCTTCTCGGTCAGATAGGATTTCCAGCAAGTACCCATTTATTGGCTTAGCTTTGGTTTCTCCAAACAATAGTCTACCGCATCATGAAGAAATTACAATTATTTTAAACCATTATCTCTCAAGAAGACTATTCCATTACCAGATTTCAAGTAGTTTTAAAGGTACTTTCTAAAGTGTTAATAAAATGAAATTAATTTAAAGTGTTGTACACGTAGATGACAAAGTATTATAGAAAACACAAACACTTTGTTCTTTAGTCCTGTTCATGTGTGTTTTGTTGTTGTTGTTGGAGTGTAGAGGCATTCTCTGATATGCTGTACACTGTACGGTCCGACTGATGTGCTAATGAGGCTTACAGTGAAGATTTATTCCGCATCTTGTTTGTGAATTTCACTGCATGCGCTAAACTGAGCCTGATTTTCAGTGTGATTTTGCAGCATTGAGCTTTTCTAGCGATAGAGAGCATTATCTTCAGTTGTCATGGCACAATGCAATAAATTCAGATTGTTAAGAATCTGAATTTGCTCCTCATTTCTATATCTAAGTTAACATAATTCATAATTTTTAAAGTATTGTTTTCACAATATGAACTGAATGTAAATTTGCAACTTTTTCATCAGGGATTTTGCTCAGTGGTTAGTGTGTGTGGTTCCTGACCCACCTATACCAGCAAATCTTATAATTTGAGTGGTTTATCAGAGAATTCATTTCGGTGTAAGAAATATGTGTAATTGAAGTTGACGCAAATTTGTATTCTTGGAAAAAGTTTAGCCTAAAGATATAGAACATTTAGATTTAATCCTGAATTAGATACTTAAATAATTTTAAGCTGGTGGTAAAGTATGCCTATTGCATGAATTTAGTTTAATGTCAGGACCAGGCTGGCTCTCCCAAGGTGTCAGGGGTGGTATTCTGAAAACCGTTATATCTGTTATATTGTTGTACCCTCACCTGATCCTAACCATTACAATAATATTGATATTTTGAGTATCTTTTTTGCCACTAGCACTTTCCTCTCATAATATCCTTATCCAGTGCATGGTCACAAGTACATGTAGGGCGCTTACTGGGCATAAAACTGATTCTAAGGAGTGTACACGTAATTTACATTATAACGATGCGCACTGGAATATAACATAATGAGATAATTGATTCCTTTTCTGAAATTTTTAATATTTTGGGGTTTTACCTCATCTTCCATGGTATTTACAACAAAACTTACAACTGCTAGAAGCTTCTGTTTATCTCGGGATGAGGGCAACATTTCTAGCTCAGGATCAGACAGTATGTTCGACTAGCAAGAATGAGACCTTCTCATTTTTGTTGATGCAAAAGTAATTTAATGGTGAAAAATAGCACTGGAATGCAAAGAAAATGAATCTCTTTTTGCCATTTGATATCTAAACCTAAATATCCGTTCCCAACACCTCGCGGATATGATTTTTATGCCTTGGCAAAATGAGTGACTCTGAGAATAAAAATCACAGATTATAACAGCCCCATGCATTGCTCATTACATATACATGCACCAATTTTTTTATTAACAAAATATGAATAAATAAGACTCAGAATGGACAAAGAATGGAGGAATTTTCAGTCATTTTTTACTTTGTCATATTACATTTGAGAGATGGACTTAGAAAAGAAAGAAAAACAAAGGGACTTAACTTTTTGGGCAAACAATGACAAGCGGTGCTGTCATGGTTTAAAGAACTTATTTAGCTACTAGGGGCAATTCTTATTGGCATTAGAATGGCAATTATAAAAAAAAATAAGTAAGTAAAGCTCACTCGTATATAAAATGTTCATTCACAACATTCATATATGCTGGTATTTGATAAACTGGGGGAACGCCAGTAAATATTTATCTTATTTTGAACATGCTTGTCGAGTGGATGTGGCCGCCTAAGGGAGACTTTACGAACCCTTTTACAGCCCCATGGTAGTTTAGCCCCATTTTGTTTGTTCAGTATATGTGTTATTGATCTGAATAGAGTCAGTCATAAAAATTCCAATCTTCTTAAGAAATCTTTACAGCCTGAAAAAATTCAAAAGCATATCTACGTAATCTATGAAAAACTGGTTCGGAACATAGCCAGTTTTATATCTTTATTGTCCCTGGCTTTAAAATGCTTTTGAAAAATGGAATGCTTGCCCGAAAAAGAGAGCGAGATAAGTAAACAAAACGTCCACTCAAAATCAGATTTATGGTATTAGCTCTATCAAAACTGTCCATGGAATATGACTGAGAAATCACATAGTAACTGGTCAATGGTCCATGCATAATGTGTTTACATAAAGCGGAATTCTGAGCTTATCTCTATCCAAGATGCAACCTTTGTGGAGTGTTTACTGAAGGAAAGTGAGATATTTAAACAGAACCCAAATTCCAGGACAGTAGAAGATAATGACCTTCTTTTCAGTTAAAATTCTTCAAATATCATACAAGTCAAGTTTTCTACTCCACTGTCTAATCTGAAATATTGTAATATTTGTAGGTGTTGGTAATTTTCACATGACTTTCAACTCCAGTGGAATGCATGTGTTTGACAGATGAGTGGAGCCATATTGTTCTGATTTGTGAAAGTCTTAAGGGGTAGCATAGATTGATGTTTCAATCACTTTACATAGACTTGTGTATGGTATCAAATTGGAAGATTGGTTTATCCATAAAGCTTTTTTCATCGTCATGTCTCAGGTATACATGTAGAAAGCACAGCTAAACCACTACATGTATCAGTTGATAGATGAGCCAATACATGAATGATTGAAGGAAGGAATGAAGAAATAGATGGATGGATAGATGAATGAATTTATTAAAATATGAATTGCTCTATAAATAAATATTAAAGATACTGGTACATGAATTTGTGAATAATGAATCAATGATTAAATGATTGAATCAGTAAATGAATATATGGATGGATACATGGATGAATCGATATTAGAAAGAGAGAAAGAGAGAGAGAGAGAGAGAGAGAGAGGAGGGAGAGAGAGAGAGGAGGGGGAGAGAGAGAGAGAGAGAGAAAGAGAGAAGGAAGAGAGAGAAGAGGGAGGGAGAGAGATAGAGAGAGAGGAGAAGGGAGAGAGAGGGAGAGAGAAGAAGGGAGAGAGAGAGGAGAGAGAGAGAGAGAGAGAGAAGGGGTAGGGAGAGAGAGAGAGAGAGAGGAGAAGGGAGAGAGAGGGAGAGAGAGAAGAAGAGAGAGAGGGAGAGAGAGAGAGAGAGAGAGAGAGAGAAGGGGTAGGGAGAGAGAGAAAGAAAAGATCTTCAGGGAATGAAAAGGGAGAAAGTAGCAGATACATGTAGGCTAAAAGATGTATCAAGAGAAAGACAAAAACTGACAGAGAAATGACAGAACGTGACAAGAAAAAGAGAGGATCATGTAAGAACTAGCAGGACCCGCGGGATTCTAGAGGGGGGCGGGGGTGTAAATAGATATATAGAGACTCTCTAAATTAAAACCACCTAGAACTTTATTTGCCACTTATAAAAAAAAAAAACGATCCAACTCTACAGGTAGTTATTCTTTAAGCCTCTTTTACACTGGAACTGCATGGAGTTGCGTAGTGTGGCGTAGGTTATGCGTAGGCTTGCGTACAGGTTTGCTTATGGTTGCTTACTGTGTGGAAAGCTTTTACTGCTTTGTCGATCTGGCGTAGGGTAGCGTACTGTTGCGTAGGCATGGCGTACAGTAGCGTAGTGTTGCGTAAAAAGGCGTACTTTCTGCGTCAAGTTTCTACGCCGAAAGTATGCGAAATAAATAGAAATGTTGAATTGTTTGCGTCCATCTTGCGTACCCCTTTGCGTCCCTCAGCATAATTATAGTAACGTAGGCCAGCGTAGCTGGTGCGCAACACTACGCAACTCTATGTATGGACCCCACGCCAATTAGTGACCTGCCCGGTTCACAAATGAAGTATTAAAAATATGCTCATCTGACCCTAATTAAATGCCTAAAACCCCTGAGCTTTCGGGGGTTTATGGCCCCTTGAAACCCGTGGGCCCCACGCCTATATACACTGAACTTGCTGCAATCTAACTGATCCCCCCCCCCCCCCACTTTGAAAATCGTTTCTTGGAGCCTGCATGTAACATGTAAGACTGGTGCATGGTAATGCAGATTTTTTTCTGCACCCCCCCCCCCCCCCCCCCCCCTCATTACGCAACTGACTGTTTCGCAATGCATGAAGTCACATACTTCTGTCTGGTTGATATTGATCTATTTTATGTAAATGTACAATTCATAACCTTATTTAATGCTTTCTTGTAATTTACTGTAGGTATAAGACAATATTAGTCTCCGATGGCTGAGTAGACCGTAGAGTTGAATAGTTTTATAGCTGTATAGGGGTACAAAATTATGGCACTTCTGCTTGCACGCTGTTGTGTTGACGGGTTCTTCAATGGATGGATAGACGTAATAATAACTATGTGTATAGTTGTATAGTTGTACGAACATTGGCCTGCTTGGCCCCCCATACTCTTCGACTATAGCTCACTCAGTCAAAGTCCCGGCCCGGCCCCCCATACTCTTCGACTATAGCTCACTCAGTCAAAGTCCCGGCCCGGCCCGGCCGCCACACTGTATGGTACGTGTGTTGATTGAAGGCAGCTTGCGACTGAACTGTCAGTCCAATGATTTTCTTGTGAAAACTTTCCTTTTAGAAATGATAATTAAAATTTAGTAAACATGGCCATAATAATCACAAAATAAGCTTTGATTTCATACCTCCATTCACAAAAACTATATAAAAATCGCGGCAATAATGATGGAAATAGGTCTCTTAGTTTGGACGTGGACAGGAAGCCCCGTGTATCTCTCTGGCTTGTGCAGCTACTACAAAGGATATCCTTTAGAAAGATACTTTACTCGGGTGTAAGCCCGACTCGTTGCATCCTAAATTTGCTATGCCTTATTAGGCGAGTTAATGGTCATCTGTCGTGTGTCTCTTTCACACGGATGTAATGTTGAATATGCAAGAGGTATCTCTGTCGTCACGCATATCATGCATTATGCATATCGCGTCTGTTTTTCGCCCTGGACGTCGACACGGAGGAGGACCTCGGGTGGAGTATAGCCAATTCCACAGAGTAGACTCTCCCGCGGACGATGGCACCGGGCACCGGTACCCCGAGGGGAGGGTTCAGGAGGAGATAGCTGCACCAACTTCGGTCGGCGATCTCATTAAAAAACAATAGAATACAAAGGCTCGCGGAGACGTCATGCCCCCCTGCGGAGTCTTAGCGTATTACTTATAGTGATGAGAGAAAAAAGGAAGCAAGAGAGAAGCCTTGTACAAGGTACATGTATGTAGTAGAGAGAATAATACGTAATTATAATGAAATAAACCCCCCCCCCCCCTCCAAAAAAAAGTCTCTCATTACCTCCATCATTTCTGCCTCACTTCAACCTCCAATCAAACCATTTAATCGTCATTGTACCTTCCTAATGAGCCCAACACATATTCATTCAGTAATTGGTTATAATTTACACAGGGGTCAAGGGCTCTACCATTCACCCCCTCAATTGGTAATAATTACCAATGGCTCTCAGGTTTGTTTCCATTGCCAGAACTAGACATTTAATTCAGCTTTAAAAAGGAAAACTTAATAGTTTGCATGACCCTCTATAAACCTTTTGTTTGGCTTCATACCAGGCTCTTATTCCCTGTTACTTGGTCTTGGTCAGGCAGATGAGGAAAAAAAGTATTAACAAACGTTAGGTACCACTCTAGATTGAATTTGACTATATGCAGAATAATGCTGCGATCTTCAACTGTGAATCAGTTGTGATTCATTTGGATCAATGGCAACTGCCAAGTCTTTCGTACTGAGTTGCGATGAATATTAACATTATGCAAATGCAGTAAGACATGTTAAGTCTCATGGCCCAAAACATTCTTATAACCCACGACAGTACAACAACTGTATTTGTTTTGGTATTTCCCTCGGTATGTCTTTCCCAGCCTTACATACTTTGTTTGATTTCAGTGCGTATGTGACAGTCTAATCACATACCGTATTTATGCATAAGTTGCTATGAAAATGGGAACTGACCCATCCAGCTTTACCAGGCCAACTGAGGAAAGAAAAAGGAGAAATGAATTAGCTATTAGTGGATGTGAAATAATTGGCAAGAACTTGTGGGTTTTTCACTGAAAAGGAAACAAAATGTCATTGTTCCTGGCAGGAGGGCTAAATAGTGTACTGGCATAGCACCCAATCCACTCCTATGCTTATCATCACCCAAATCATAACTGCTTCCCCCCAAAGAATACAGGGTAGTCAAAAGCAGGGACACTTATAATATACCCTTGGGTTTATTTGAACAGAAATGTGTATATGAGAGTAGTGGAAAACATCCTGAAAACGTTTAGCAAGTTTGATACTTTTTTGTTCTTTTGAGATTGTATCGTGTCAGTTTCTAGACATTTCAATTTCCATAAAATATTTGAAAGAGGTAATATCAAAACAGTATGGCCGAAATAGGAAACAATGACAAAGGAATGTATTTAGTAGTAGTAGTATGAAACAGAAAATGATGTGTATTTATGTGAATTTGTGAAATAAGAGGTCAGTAAATTGATAGTAAAGCATTTATAAGAGATAGAATGAGTTTTGTTGAGAATCAGTTATTGCACTAAGAAATTATTTTCTTGAATATACTCACTTATGAATGTGCTATGTTTTGTTTTTGTTTTTTCTTTCTTAAAGCCCCTACACATCCAATATAAAATATTATATTATTATACCCTTAAACCAGCCATTTTCTGTGTATGCAGTTTGTAGAAGATATGATTTGGCAGTTCAATATTTGTAATCATTTTACCATTTTGATATTAATATGAAAAGGAAGTGGAGATACATGTTTATCTATTTTTGAACTATTGTGTGAACTAATGTTGGTCTATTCTGTCACTTTGCAGTCAAACTACCCACCAGGACAAGGAGGAGGAGGAAGATCAGGCTACGGATCAGCTCAGGGGCAACACCAAGGAACTACAAGATACTACTAAGGACCCTAGTCATACCCCAGGACTGTCATACCCACCCACATCCAGAATGAGCAGAAGGTTACCACTAAAACTTTCCAATGGTTACGTTATGGGCAACACCAAGGAACTGCAAGATACTACTAAGGACCCTAGTCATTCCCACCCACATCCAGAATGAGCAGAAGGTTACCACTAAAACTTACATTATGGGCAACACCAAGGGCCTGGAAGAAGCTAGATTAGACCGACCCACAAGACTTTACAGTGGTTACCCCAACAGTAGTATTGAGGGTTTAAAGGATACTATAAAGTGGCAGAGTATACCCCATCATCTACATCAACAGATAAATGTAAAGAGCCCTCCAAGATTATGTGAAGATTGGTGGAAGAGCCAGGACCAAAGAGCTTGGAAGGACTATGTGAATAAGACTAGGCAGTTTGAACCTCCAATCATATTCTAGTACCCCTTTTGCAAGTCTTGAAAGATCCTGATAGATCCTGATAGCTTACAATGTTCTGATTATAAAGGTGGTTTCAGAATCTTTACGAGATGCTTTAAGGAAATGTTCTGCTACTAGAACACCGTCCTTTCTTAAAGGACGCTTCAAGACATGTACATTATGCACTCTTGTATCCCTACCATACACATTAGAGACAGCTAGATGAGTTAAGGTATAGGCTATTCTGGAGCCCTTGGGAAGCATATTTTATTACTTGCTATATTATAAGGTCATGGTGTAATCTCATTCCACCTGTGAATAGTAAGGCTCTGACCAGTCATGTCATCAGGTTCCAAAATGTAACACACCAAGATTTCATTTTGACAACTTCCAGCATGAAAAATCATACCCAGGTTATGCTCCTTGTGTATAAGTGAGAAACTTCCCAGTGAAAAATGGCAACCTTTTAATGAATAAATTTTGTGAGTGGTGCCCTTGCATTTAGTTGCAAGAAAGTCATTTATATTTGTATCATTACAAGAGCTTCATGTTTTCTCTTTGTGAGGATTGGTTATATAATACCAAAACATTTCATCTGGCATGAAAGCACTGGGAGTAATTTCAAATCTAAACATATGGGTGACAGCACTAGAGATATCCTTTGCTTAGGGTTTATGGAAAATATGAAATTAGGTGTTATGAATTTCTTGTTAACACCCTATTTTGATTTAACTCTTATGCAAATATGCTAGGTGTATGAATCTTATTATAGACAGTTTACATGGGTGTCATTGTGAAAACAGTATGTGTATCCTCAGTGTCTTGTAATATAAGTTGTGCAGAAATGTGAACTTAGGGAACATATAAAAAGCCAATCATAATTTCTCATGCATGTTGTTGACCTCAAAATTACACAATCATTAGGTATGTACATGTACCTTCATATTATAAAAATCATTTTGACAAATTGGGCCATATCCGGTTAAATATGTGTAATCATTCTTGTCCTTTTTTTCCCCATCTCTTTTAAATTAGATGCTTGATTTGGATTATTCTAAAGTTCTGAATGTATAGCTCAATCTATTCTTGAAGTTTCTAAGAACTTGATTATCCGTCTGAATTATATTATAATGTGGTTCATGTTGTCTCTATCTCTTATTATAATCATGATATTGTTATTGTTGTTGAATATTAAATGTCAAATGAATCAGAAATTAATATGGTGCACCATAATTACTACCGGTAATTGTTTTTTAGTAAAGAAACTTGCGTACATGTACATGTGTCTCATGTCTATTAATTAAGAGATAATGTGAGGAAATTTGTTTGCAAGATTTGTAATTAACCACAAAGCATTAGTCTATTTCCCAGGGGCACTGTGTTGTGTATGAAGGAATTTAGGGTTATTTGTAAGATAAGGGGACTGTTTTAGGAGTTTGGAAGAAAAATCTTCATGATTTTTCTGATGATACTTGGGAACATTATCGGTACTCCAATATTTTGAGGGGTGTGGTAAAGTGATTGAAGATGAAGTTGAGTTCTGGTCATGCGATTGCATTGTGAAAGAAACGGTGTGGAACCGACCAGAAAAGGTTGATCATCTAGCATATAAGAATTTGTGTGTATTGCAAGGTTCTGGAATCATCAAAATGATAAGAAATGTGGCCAAGTCTTGGTAAAGTTGCAAACACTTGCAAAGAAAGTTGTTTATGGGACTACACGAACACGTGGTGTAAAAAGCCAGCCCCCGATTTTTACGATGTTACATGCATATTTAGAATATGAAGGCATTTGAAGAGCCATGCTTTTCAGGGAACATGTCTTAACTGATGTTCTTCCACACTTGCATAATAAGAATGAGTAATGCTCACAAATTATTTTTCACCTCTTCCCAGAACTCAACCTTCTCTTTAAAATCAATTAAGATTGAAATTTCAAAGGAAACTGATGTACCATCTGTTGAAAATTAATAGACTTAATACCAGGTATGTGAAGAAGTGTTTGATGTTTTACTTTGTTTATTGACCCCATTTTGTTGGTTAAGTACCTACCATGAAGATTGTAGGTATGTTGGGATTAGATGTACGTGTGAACTCATTCTATGCCATGCTTCATCAGTGTGTATTATACATCCAGCTCTGTTCATACTATTTTGTATGATTCAAGAACATGACCTTATCATGTACATTATATATGCTGATTTGCTGTTGTGTTATATTCTTGTTAGGCTCTGTTTACATTCTATGTTATGGGTGTAAGGAAATACATTGGCACTTGTGACTGCCTTTTTTATACATGGGCCCTGTCTTACAAAGAGTTGATATTAATCGCAATATCAATCGCAACTATGTACATAAGAGATAGGAGACTGCAAACTTGTGATTGATTAGAGGACTTGTGATTGACTCTTTGTAAGACAGGGCCCAGGAGTTTTGACTTTTGTCTGTTGGGAGCAAGAAAGATATTAAGCCTGTAAAACTATTTGACTCTCCTGACAGAAATGTATGTGAGGTCGGTTTCGTAATTCTCAAAATCTGTGATAGGTCACTACATTGTACATGTAGTATAACCAATACCATAATAAATGAAAAATAGAACAAAATTTAATTTGTATTTGATATGAATTTGGAGGGATAGGAGACACAGTTTAGTGGACAAATAGCAATCTATATTGCATGCAGAGAGGGAGAAAATGATTACCTGTAGTAACGTAGTAGTATCTTAGCTTGCATAATCTGTAATGCTTTATGTGGTTACCTGGTTGTAGTTTTATATCAAATACATTGAGTGTATCTAGCTATTATAGGGAAAAAGCAATCTAATGTATACATGTTTTAATGCACCATTAAGCAAACAAATTGTGTTTTTAAACTAAGATTTGAGCTGAATGGAATTCATCATTAACCATGAATATTGTGTAAATTTGTGAAATAAATCTGTATCTGTAATCACTTTCATGAATTGTACAGCTTTTGTTATTTTTATGCTGTAGATCCAGTGTAACTTCATTTTCTTTCCTTCTGTGAGTTCTTTCTTTTTTTTTGGTTCTTTTTTTCTTCTTCTTTGTTTCTTATTATTTTTGTTCTTTTTTTCTTCTCACCTGAGCCAAAGGCCAGTTTCAGTAATTTGACATTTTCTTCTTCTTCTTGAAAACCCAAGGCTGGATTCTAACCAAAATTTGTAAGAATCACCTGCAGTAAAGGGAGATCTAATGCTGTTCGAATGGGGTATACGCCCAACAAGGGGGTCTCGGGGCAGCATTCGCCAAAGTGCCCCTTTTTCTTTAAAATTCATGTATAGATTTTGACTTAACTTGGTAGGAAGCATTCCTCAGGCAGGGGGATATGAACAAATTGTTCTGAAGCGCTACTGAATCCTTCAGATGGAGGGGGTTTGGGAGTAGCAACCCCCATCCCCCCCCCAAAAAAAAAGCCCTCTGGTTTACAATTTCAACTTCTCAAAAAATGCAAGGCCAGATCTTAACTGAACTTGGTAGAGATCATGCATCCTCATAGGCAATGGTGATCCAAAGTTGTTCAAATGGGGTACGAGTTCCTCGGCAATAATTTGACATTTTCTTCTTCTTGAGAACCAGTGGCTGGATTCTAATCAAAATGTGTAGGAATCACCTGCAAGAAAGGGAGATCTTATGTTGTTCAATTAGGGAACATATCCACAGCACAACGGGCAGGCCTTGGGGCACCATCTGTCAAAGTGACCCTAGGGCAGAATTAAAAAAAATGTTTTACTTTTCTTTAATTTTCTTGTCCATAAGAAGATAAGCATTCCTGAGGAAGGGTGGTATGAAATTGTTCTGAAGGGCTACTAACTCCTTCAGGGGGAGGGGTCCCCCCCCCCCCCCCCCTCGTTCTACTGCTGCTTCTTCTTTTTCTTTCTGTTCATTCATTTATTTTATTTCTAATGAATGTACTTAATTATAGACTTTCTTTAGTTTAGATCTGGCATCATTTGTGTGTGCTGACTCATCGTTTAGAGGCTTTGCACAAGGGATTAATCACTTGTATGGTCTGCAGTAGGATAATGTCTCTTCATTCATTTTGATTACATAACAAAAACATGATTGTTGAGAGTGAGAGAGAGTAAGAGAGAGCATAGGGAGAGAAATTGAGAGACAGATAATAGGGGGAGAGAGAGGGGGGGGGGGGGGAGAGGGAAAGAGAGAGAGAGAGAGAGAGAGAGAGAGAGATAAATAAAAGAGGACTGACCAGATTAAACTTATAAAAAGCAGAAACACAAAGTTGCAAACCATCCAGAGACTCCTAATAAATTGCATTACTGACTAATTAATTATGTCATTACAAATCTTTATTCTCAGTTTTCTGATGTATAACTGATTTTCTTATAAAATTGAAGATATGGCGTATATATTCAATACTGAATTAACGACATTAAACTATTACCAACAACAACAACAACAATAGATCCATTATTTAAAAGATTGCGAATCCTAAATGTGTATAATTTACATGAGTTATCAATTTCTACTTTCATGTTTGATCTAGTCAATGGCAATTTGCCTCATATTTTGATAGAGTATTGTGACATTATAGAACATAGCTATTCCACAAGACAAAAAGAAGATGGACAATTACGTCTTCCAAAATTAAGAACGACACAAGGTCAATTTTCATTGTCTTTTGTGGGCAGTGAATTTTGGAATAGATTACCTGATGATGTCAGACTGACAAGGTCTAGAAATAGGTTTCGGAATTCTGTTACAAGTCATTTGTTGAATAAGTCATGAATGAAATATCAAGTGTGCACAATTCATAATTCATATTTTACATTATTAGTTTGTATATTGTAAGACATTATTGAGTACTGATTCTTGTTTTGTCTAAGTATCGATTGTAACAGTAAATTCATTATTTTTTGTTTTGTTACGTTCTCTAAACTGATTTGTAACAAAATACTTTGTTTAGCTGTTTAAGGGGTTAGGCTCGACTAGCACATGTGCTATTATCTGGCCCCTTTTACCAACCAATAGTTTCTCTTTCTGTATATGTAATTATTGTATAAAATGTATGGAATGTATTGCTGTTGGTAAATAAATCAAATCAAATAGAAGAGGGAAGGTGCAGGCACGGATCCAAGATTTTCCAATAGGGGGGGGGGGGGGGCTGGAAATTTGAAAATTGCGCAGACCTTTTTTTTTTAACTCAACATATCAATACTTACAAGGTCATATTAGAAGCACCATACCGGTTTCCATCGGGGGGGGGGGGCTATAGCCTCTTGCCCGAAAAAAATAATTTTCTGGTTTTACAATTCAGCTAGTGAGCGAAGCGATAGGGTAAACATTTGAGCATAATATGTATATTGTGAAAGTGTTATTTATCACGAAAATAAAGGAGAAAAAATACCAAAAATTCATATTCAGCCTCCCCTCTCCTCCCCCATTACGCGCGAAGCGCAGAAGCTTTGACGTTTCATAAAATTTTTAGAGAAAGAAGACGATTCGTTGTACCATTCTCGACTCTAAATCCTTGTCTGAAGTCAGTTCCCCTCCCCCTCCCGCGGGAAGCGCGTAAGCTTTGACGTTTCATTAAATTATTAGAGAAAGAAGACGATTCGTTGTACCATTCTCGACTCTTATTCCTTGTCTGAATTCAGTTCCCCTCCCCCTCCCGCGCGAAGCGCGGAAGCTTTGACGTTTCATTAAATTATTAGAGAAAGAAGATGATTCGTTGTTCCATTCTAGACTCTAAATCCTTGTTTGAATTTAGTTTTCTCCCTCCCGCCCGAAGCGCGGAAGCTTTGAACTTTCATTACATTATTAGCGGAAGAAGATAATTCGTTGTTCCATTCTCAACTCTAAATCCTTGTTTAGATTTAGTTTTTTCCCCTCCCGCGCGAAGCCCGGAAGCTTTGACCTTTCATTATATTATTAGAGAAAGAAGACGATTTGTTGTACCATTCTCGACTCTTAATCCTTGTCTGGACTCAGTTTATCCCCTCCCGCGCAAAGCGTGGAAGCTTTGACGTTTCATTAAATTGTTAGAGAAAGAAGACGATTTGTTGTACCATTCTCGACACTTAATCCTTGTCTGGATTCAGTTTACCCCCGCCCGCGCGAAGCGCGGAAGCTTTGACGTTTCATTAAATTATTAGAGCAAGAAGACGATTCGTTGTACCGTTTTCGACTCTTAATAATTGTCTGAATTGAGTTCCCTCCCCCCCTTCCCGGCCGAAGCGCGTAAGCTTTGACGCTTCATTAAATTATTAGAGAAAGAAGACGATTCGTTGTACCATTCTCGTCTCTTAATCCTTGTTTGAATCCAGTTTCCCCCCTCCGCGCGAAGCGCGGAAGCTTTGACGTTTCATTAAATTATTAGAGAAAGAAGATTATTCGTTTTTCCATTCTAGGCTCTAAATCCTTGTTTGAATTCAGTTTTCTCCCTCCCGCGCGAAGCGCGGAAGCTTTGATCTTTCATTACATTATTAGAAAAAGAAGATAATTCGTTGTTCCATTCTAAACTCTTAATCCTTGTTTAGATTTAGTTTTTCCCCTCCCGCGCGAAGCCCGGAAGCTTTGACCTTTCATTATATTATTAAAGAAAGAAGACGATTTGTTGTACCATTCTCGACTCTTAATCCTTGTCTGGATTCAGTTTACCCCTTCCCGCGCGAAGCGCGGAAGCTTTGACCTTTCATTAAATTATTAGAGAAAGAAGATGATTTGTTGTACCGTTCTCGACTCTTAATACTTGTCTGAATTGAGTCCCCTTCACCCCCTCTCCTCTCCCGCGCGAAGCACTTAAGCTTTGACCCTTCATTAAATTATTAGAGAAAGAAGACGATTTGTTGTACCATTCTAGGCTCTAAATCCTTGTTTGAATTCAGTTTTATCCCTCCCGCGCGAAGCGCCGAAGCTTTGACGTTTCATTACATTATTAGAGGAAGAAGATAATTTGTTGTACCATTCGCGACTCTCAATCCTTGTGTGAATTCAGTTCCGGCCCTCCCTTGCGAAGCGCGGAAGCTTTGACATTTCATTAGATTATTAGAGAAAGAAGACGATTCGTTGTACCGTTCTCGACTTGTCAGAATTTCAAAAATATTTCCTTGTCTGCTCCTTTTTCGTCCTAAGTCCTCTTACTGCCCCTACCGCCCCTGGCTACGCGCCTGCTTTAAAAGGAAAATGAAACAATCATGATTGTGATAGCACACAAGTAGGTTAGGAGAAATGAAAGATCTATTACACCAACCATGGCTAAATCCATGGTTTTACCAACATGAGTTCAAATACAAGCCCAAGCGAGTTGGTATGAGCTGAATCCAAATAGCTTCTATTTCAAAGACATCCAAAATATTGTGCCCTTTTCAAATTTCTCACTAAAAAGTGGTGACCTTTGTAGCGCAGGGGCTGTTTTTAACGTTTAACTTTGAATCCGCGGCTCGAGATTTTATGCGGACGGCCCGGCCCTCTCTATACGTTTGCCAAGCCTACTGGAATGACCCCAAATCTCCCGATTACAGTTTTTCCCTTATTCTTCGTTACTGTCACTTAGCGCTATTTCCTTGTCTTTCCCCCTTTCTCACCCGACTTTTGTCTCCTCACCCCCCCCCCCCTCCCCCCACCCACTCAGTGTAATCTATGATACGCGCATTTATGTTCCCTTTGAAAGCACCCCTCTATCTCCGCTGTTTAAAGTCAGTACGGGCCGGACTTTGTTGCGTGAAAAGTAACCCTTTTCAGAGATTTTGGGAACACAAATTTCGGGGGGGGGGGAGGGCTTTCTTCGTTTTCTTTTCTCGTTTTCTATCTCTCTCTTCTCTTTTCTTTTCTCTTCTCCTTTTTTTCTTCTCTTCTCCTTTCTTTTTTTATCTTCTTTTCGGCTTCCTCTTTTCCCCCCTTTTTTTTGCGCCGCCAATAGGGGGGGGGGCTGTTTCGCCCCCCCCCCCCCGCCCTGGATCCGCCACTGAAGGTGTACATTTGTTGTTTCAGTTCACTTCCATCATTTTGTCTACATAATCATATCACAAACTGATTATTAATATATATACATATATATATATATATATATATATTCTAATGATCCAATAAAAATTCATCCATCTAAATGAAGAAAAAGATAACGACGGTGGCAATTCTATTACTGAAATCCCAAAAGATTCGGCCACAAATACCAGCATGTACTTTGCGACTTGCGAGAGAGACCTTTGTTCATTTGCACTTTGGAACTCTCTTCGCAAAACTTCGGGGCCCGAACGAACGTACGCACGCATACTGTACTGGTACCTGCGGATGTATATATCGGAAGTTTTGTATTGTTCGATGCGGATAGATTAGACTTTGTGTACATTGAGAGGGCGCAGAATTGGCGTAGAGTTGGTTGCCGGTGAACACCGCTGGAAGTTTCGCTTTCCAGTTTGGAGAATAAAGCTTGGTATTTTTCGTCTTTTGCTCGCCGACTCACTTAGGAATTGAGAATCGTGTGGAATATACATACCCAGGATAAAATCATCTCACTTCTGAGATAGTTTCATCCCTCTTTTCCAATTTGAAAGTGATTAAAACTCGATTGCTACCATGCAGCTTTTGGCGTTTTTCACCTCTGTGCTGGTGGCGGTCGCCTGTCTCCTAGCGATGGAGCAGCTCCCGGGCGTCACCGGAGTGCAAATCCGGCGAAACGGTAAAACCTGTCAGGAATATCCCGTGGAAAAACGCGAAGAAATCGCTAATGTGGTCATCTCGGGTTACATTCACCGTATCATGAGGAAGCCTAGGACTATCATGTACGATTGCGACATCGAAGTCGTTCGCGTGTTCAAAGGGTCCGAAGCTTTGTACTCTAATGTTGTTCCGCCTATGGACGGCAATACGATTCAGATCGGCGGCTTTGGCGACCCGGCGATCTGTGACAATGCCGTTACCCCAGGCGAAACCAGAATCTTCATGATGAATAAAAATGGAAATGGACACCTGATGCTGAACTCTAGCGTCATCAGAATCACCCTCAATAACTTGGTCCAGGCTGAGGCTGCAGTATTTGGTACGTATCAAAGCTGCAAAATTATAATTGTGATCATTGTGGTACTGATTGTTTTGAAGCATGGAGGTGATAGTGGTGATGGAAGTAAGTAATGGTATTTATGATTGGTGGCCGTGCATGATGATGATTGATAAGGAGTAGAAATTTATTAATTATAGATTATTCAACTTGTGGTGAATGTTTAATTGGTCTGCTCTATTCTATAAACTATTATTAGCTACTGTATTCTTAACAATTTCTGTAGCTCGTTATTTTGTATCACTTGTTTTGGAACATACATAAGTATCAAGAAACTTTAATATGGCTTTTCACATACAGTGTATTTTGTACTCTTATTGACTGTGCACATGATTTAATGTAACACATGAATAATGCTGGCCTTGTAATTAAACTTGTGAACTCCATACATAAGGAAGTACTTGCAAATATAACTCTCAAAACATGAAAAGTGCAGTGATGCATGGAGAAAATTAGGCCTATTAATGATAGTTCACAATTCTTACACAGCACTCCAATTTTGTAAAGCACTTGTAACGATATGTTTGACCTAAATTAGCTTTATAATTACCTGTCCAATATTGAAAGGTTAACTGAGCTAGATGGCCACTAAAGTTTCATTTCAAAATCATCCACTAAATAACATCTACATGTATATGTGCATGATTGATAGATCAACAAATAAGACCCATACACATTTCTCCATACAAAGCAGTGACAACAATTTGAAATGCACCCCTACAGTTTGTAAAAGCAGACTTCTTTTTCTCAAACCTGCACCAAATAGCCTACATACTACATGTAGCTCACAGTTGAAGAATAAAGGAATCTCAATGTCATTTGCTGTCCCTACTTTGACCCTGTTCAATAGAACTCTGTTGATCACAACTCTGTACGATACCATCGCATTGTCAAATATCTGACTGAGGAGATCATACAAAAATGGTTCTATTTTTACACCCTTTGAAATTATATTGAGATCAGGCAGTGCATTCATTCTAAAAAATTCTCAAAATTAGGGTGCACAGTGTGATAAAAAGTTGTAAAGATTGTTTGATACTTTGCTGGTATGTTTATACCAAGGCCCCTACTCTTCCACTTGCCCCTCTTCTCCTTCCCAATCCACACCCTACCCCCTCACCCGTACATGTTAGTACATGTAGGTCATGTATCATGAACATGATCCCAGTTTGTAGACTTGTGAGATTTATTTCTGCCCAACTGTGGCATTCCAGAGCTCAAAATTTCTTCATCGCACCTCTTCTTTTTCCTCAAATCCACCCACTCATATGCCCTGCATGAACTCGGTAAATGTTACAGGAATAATTTATCTCAACTGATTTTGGCTCTGTGCACCCTCTCTGTCTCTCTGTCTCTCTCTCTCTCTCTCTCTCTCTCTCTCTCTGTATGGAAACCTAGACCAAACAACAGGCTAGAAGTGAGAAAACCCTTTTTTTGCTCGCACAAAGAGTACTTTGTAAATAGTTTTAAGCCCTGCATCCTGTTGCACATGGAACATGCATTGAATAACCTGCTACTCCTGCTAGATTCTTCAGGATTTCGGGAGGTGAACAAAAAGTAGAAGACAGTCTCAAGAAACATTGTATTGAAAGTGTTTGCAGTGAATACAGTCCAATGGTTCTTTGGGGCCACCACCCTATAAAGGGCAACTGTTGAAAGTGGTCACTGCAGGTCACCTTTATTGTCTGTTTGGAGCCAGAATGGCATTAACACAAATACTTTGACACAAAGTTAATACCCTTCTGGCTCTGAACCGACAATGGTATCTCCCTCTAGAAAGAACTGTTGTAGAACCTGTCTAGAAACACCACCTCCATGTACATGTACTTTTAAGTTCTACTCTATTCTATAGCCTATACATATATGTTTATAGACAAGTTTGACATACATGTACTTCTCTGGATTGTAGAAAGCTCATTGATCTGCCACTACCTCACCTTATCCTTTTCATTGATGCCTGTCTGGAGAGTTGGTCCTAAAGAGAATTAAACTGAGTTCCCTTGTCTGGGGCAGACATTACTATTTGCGCTCTTTCTACTATTTTCCTATTGTCAGTACACTGTAAAATTCCTCATGATGGGGGCTTTCATAGCCCGGCTTTGAAAGAGGTTGCGACTGGTTGTACATTATGTCAGGAATTAGGCTTATTATCACTCATTTAACATCCCTTTTCCCTTTGTTCTCTCTCTCTCTCTCTCTCTCTCTCTCTCTCTCTCTCTCTCTCCCTCCCTCCCTCCCTCCTTCCTTCTTCCTCTTCCCTCCATCACTCTCTCTCTCTCTCCCTCCTTCTTCCTCTTCCCTCCATCTCTCTCTCTCTCTCTCTCTCTCTCTCTCTCTCTCTCTCTCTCTCTCCATTCTTTCTCCCTCCTGCTCTCTCCCTCCTTTTACTTTCATAGTCTGGCTTTGAAATGGGTTGCAGACTGGTTGTACATTATGTCAGGAATTAGGCTTATTATCACCCTCTTCATCAATCTCTCTCTCTCTTATCTTTCCTTCTGAATCCCTCTTTCTTTCCAACTCTTCTCTTTCTCTCTGTATCTATTTTTTTTTATTACGCATTGTATTGAAATAGAAAGTGTGTGTGAAGAGATGGGGAATTGAGATCTAAAGTGGGTTCGCAATTTTGCATCTGAAAGTTTGTTTAGGTTGCTAAAAATAAATATGATTAAAAAGCTGACCAGTTATATACCGGTATATAAAGGACATGATGGGCTGCTCAACCTGCATTTGAGATTTCCCATGAGAAGTTGTGATAGATAAGATAAAAATATTGGTGCATCTTATTTATTCAGCTGTTACATAATATCCTCTTCCCTCGATACATAGAATAGGATGGTCATACACTTTCTTTTGTTTTAGCTACATGTACACGTATGTACAGTATGACAGTACCGATGAGCATGTTTGTTATCTTTTTTAAAAAACCATTCCACCATTATCTAGCCAGTGCAGTTTCCTGTCTGTATTTTACATTTCAGCCAGTGAATGAACTTTGTTTTCAAAGTTTAAAATAAGTGGTTGTATAATCAATTGAATGTGGCAAGTTAAAACCTAATAGATAGAAAAAATATCATCGGCTGAGAGCCAGATGGACATTAATATTTGGGCCCTGTATTAACACCATTGTGACTCTCAACATACAACAATTTGTTTAATGAGCTTACTAGAATGGGAAGTGTAGCGCCCAAACTGGTTTATTTTGAAGATGAACAATTGATGAAATACACTTTATTTTAATACTTGAAAAATATGTTAACTAAATTAAGTTAAAAAATATTAGGGGTTTGTTTCTTTTTATCCCATATATTTGTCCTACATGTACATGATGGTGCACAATAATTTCAGTCATTTAGGGCATATGAGATTTTGTTTTTGAAGAATCTGAAGCATCGTTTTAAAACTAACCTTTAAACGCTCATCTGTACCTGTCTACATTTGATGCTACCTGTGGGAAAATAAGTAAATCTCTGAGGGATGAAAGAGGTGGATTTTGGTGAACATGTGTGCACCATAAGGTGGGAGGAGGATGCCGGAAGTCATCACAACCATTAATGTTTGGTAGATTTATGTCATCTTATACCAGACACAGACTATGAAGGTTATTGAGGTATTGTCATGTTTTCACATTCTCTCTCTCTCTCTCTCCCTCTCTTTTCCTCCCTCTCTCTCTCCCTCTCTTTTCCTCCCTCTCTCTCTTTCTCTCTCTTTCTCTCTGTCCAATCTCTCTCTCTCTATCTTTATCCCTCCATCTTTCTCTCTCTATCTTTCTCTCTCTCTCTATCTCTCCATTTTGTCCCTTTTTTCCTCTCTTGCCCGCTCTCTCCCTTCTCTTTCTTGCTGTGCCATGTTGTAGGTCCAATTCTAATGAAAGTTTCCCATTGTTTACAATAGGTTATGCATGAAAGTATGTCTTGTTTATTCTATGGAAGAAAATAGGCAAGTGCCAAAACATGAGTACATTAAGAAATGATAAACTTCCTATTTTATTATTGCAAGCTGTAACTCATGAAAGGAAATGGCAATGAGAACTTTGTCCCCCCCCCCCCACAAGGTTTTGAACAACATTTTAGATATCGGTAGATACCTCTTTCTGTTGCGAATGTGGTTTCACTGTACATGATAGTACATCTACAATGTACATGTTACAGTTACAGAATCTAATATTCAAGGGATTGATCACTTCTATTTTAGAGATTCTGTTGATACCGGTAAGTTTAAAGTTTTAAACCATCAGCCTATCTTTAATGGGGAATATGAATTTCCTTCCAACCCACAGTTGTTTCATCCACAGTAGTCTGTCAACTTTAAGAATAGTTTATGGTTTTAAACTTCGAAGTTATCTTGTAGTTACATGTAAGGACCTTGCAGATGCCTTTGTGGTTACAAAACTTTCCTTGGTTTGTTGTTAAATCTGAATACTCAATGTTTAAAGTCGTGTGTGAACCCTTGTCAATGAATCATAACTTCCAGGTTTCACAGGTTTAAAACGATGATGGATCTGTGTGAACATAGCTATTACAAGTTTTCAATTCTATAATTAGGGTACATGTGTGCCCTCATTCCCTCTGAATGAAAGACAAGCACAAAGGCTGTATGTTCTTCTCTGTCAAGTGTTGGTACGCATCACTATAAACTATCAAAGAAGGATTACAGTTAAATGAATCACCAAATCTCTCATGTCAAAGTTAATTGCTGTTTGTAATCCGAGTTCCTCTCTTTAACACCTAATCTCTGTGTCATTCAGGCAATTATATATTAATGAGCGAATATGAAGCACAGTACCTCTACATGACTATCACTATGCTGATGTATGTTTGCTCTAAAGTAAACCCCAGCTCTTCTATATATACATGTATATTTGTTTCTTTGCATCTGTATCTTGCAGTGCCCTTTCAAAGAAATTACACATAGACACATTTGTAATTTGTTGAACCCCACTTCTATTTAATATCAATTTTTAACTTTTTTTTTCTCAGCTGTTT